GTTATAATATGATTCATTTTACGCCCCTGCAAGTCCGAGGATCGTCCAACTCCCCATACAGCTTGTACGATCAACTCGGCTGGGACTCTGGTTGCTTTCCCAATGGCGAGAGCGACGTTGGGAAACTGATCCAAAGCTTGGAGAAGGACAATTCCCTGCTGAGCTTGACGGACATCGTACTCAATCATACCGCGCATAATTCAAAATGGCTCCAAGAGCACCCGGAAGCTGGCTATAACCTTTCAACTGCGCCATGGCTAGAGTCTGCGTACGAACTCGATTCCAAATTGCTAGAGCTGAGCTCAAAGTTGCAATCTCTTGGCCTACCGACTGATCCAAAATCACCCGAAGATCTCCTTCTGATCATGGAAGCTATTAAAACAGAGGTCATCGCAAAGATTCGTCTTTGGGAATATTATGCACTTGACGTGGAACGAGATGCTGACGCTGCTGTGGACACATGGGCTGGGACAGGGACGTATACGCCTCAAGATACAGAGAGCATTCGAGAAGCGGTTGAACAGCTTAGGGATTCCAGCGTCACTCAACAGGCCGATTTCCTCCGAAAGTTTGCGCTCTTGGGCAAGGATCGCCTAGGTGAACGATTCAGAAGAAGGGTCGATCCTAATATAGCGGCAAGTTTGCTCGCATTCTCCCTTGGCCGATACGAAGGCGAGTCGTCGAACTCTGCAGACAAGGCGGCGGCCCGCTTAAAAATGGTAGAGATCCTACATGCATTGAATGTCCCATTGTACGAAGAGTACGATGGCGACATAAAGGAAATTCTTGAACAACTATACAACCGCATAAAATATGTTCGTCTGGACGATCACGGTCCCAAACTTGGTCCTATAAACGATGAAAACCCGCTGATAGAAACATACTTTACACGTCTGCCTAAGAATGGTACGACGTCAAAGCATGACCCGCGAGATTTGATGGTAGTGAACAATGGCTGGGTATGGGGCGGCAATGCGCTGATAGACAATGCCGGCCCTGACTCACGGGTATACTTGCGACGCGAAGTCATCGTTTGGGGTGACTGTGTCAAGCTGCGGTATGGTTCGAAGCCGGACGATAGCCCTTGGCTTTGGAAGCACATGACGGAGTATGCTCGTAAATTAGCAACTTATTTTGCTGGTCTGCGCATAGACAATTGTCATTCAACGCCGATTCATGTTGCTGAGCACATTCTCGACGAAGCACGCCGCGTGCGGCCAGACCTATATGTCGTGGCTGAATTATTTAGCGGTTCCGAAGACACTGACTACGTGTTCGTAAAGCGACTCGGACTCAGCTCGCTCATTCGAGAGGCTATGCAAGCATGGAGCACCGCTGAGCTCAGTCGACTGGTTCATCGCCACGGTGGTCGCCCAATTGGCAGTTTCGAGGTTGACGAAATCGCCCATGGTGACCCATCGCCGTCACCAGACTCGGAAAGCGGGCGAGACCTTACTAGAGAAGTTATACGGCGAATCAAACCTACGCCAGTGCACGCCCTCTTCATGGATTGTACTCACGATAATGAAACGCCAGCTCAGAAACGAGATGCTCGAGACACCCTTCCTAATGCGGCACTTGTCAGCATGTGCTCCAGTGCCACAGGCTCCGTCATGGGATACGATGAAGTGTATCCCAGGCTCATAGACCTCGTCAGCGAAACTCGCTTGTATACGTCAGAATCATCTAGGTCCGGTCCCATCAAAGTTGGTCGAGGAAAGAACGGAATTGCTGGAGTAAAGAAGTTACTAAATCAAATTCATACACTAATGGGCAAAGATGGCTACGACGAGACGCACATCCACCACGAGGAAGAATACATTACTGTGCACCGAGTTCATCCTGAATCGCGAAAAGGATACTTTTTAATTGCTCACACCGCATTTCCTGGCTACGGCAATGGCAATGGTGCTTTGACTCCAGTCCATTTGGCGGGAACTCGAGCCCAGCACCTAGGAAGTTGGACTCTAGAGGTGGATGCCAGCGCAGAAGCAACAGCAAAAGCCGTCAATGACAGCCATTTCCTAGTTGGTCTCCCAAGCCGTGTCATAGATATCGCTGGCGTCGATGTGGACTCGCAGGGCGAGGACACCGTTCTAACTGTGCGGGACAACTTCCCTCCTGGAAGCATTGCACTTTTCGAGACGTGGATTCCTGCCGCGGAGCATTCTACTGGCCTCGACACATATGTCACATCAGGTGCAAAAGCAGCTTGGAGCCAGTTGAACCTCATTGACTTGAACTTTTTAATGTACAGGTGCGAGGCTGAAGAGCTTGACTCGAATGGTGGGCGTGACGGTACATACAATGTCCCAGGCCATGGAAAGCTGGTTTACGCCGGATTGCAGGGATGGTGGAGTCTCATGAAGAGCATCATTCGGGAGAACAACCTCGCCCATCCTCTGTGCCAAAATCTGCGGCAGGGCACTTGGTCTCTCGACTACATCGTCGGCCGTGTTCAGAAAATGAGTGAAACAGAGGGCAATGAGCAGCTTGCCAGGCCAGCCACGTGGCTCAGTGAACGTTTTGATGCAATCCGAACAATTCCTAGCTTCCTTCTCCCCCGGTATTTTGGTTTAGTTCTTCGAACAGCCTATACGGCCAGCCGTGACAGAGCCTTGGAGCTAATGGGCGAGAACATCGAGAAGGCACAGTGGTTCATCCAAAACCTGGCGCTGGTTAGTGTGCAGCAGACGGGATATGTCAAGTCCGCGTCACTGTGGCCAAACAAGGCAGTTCCTTCCATTGCTGCAGGGTTGCCTCATTTTGCAGTTGAATGGGCAAGATGTTGGGGGCGCGATGTTTTCATTTCCATCCGTGGCTTGTATCTGGGGACTGGCCGGTTTGATGAGGCCAAGGAGCATATTTTGGCATTTGCAAGCGTTTTGAAGCACGGAATGATCCCCAACCTACTGAGCAGTGGCGATGCGCCTCGCTACAATTCTAGAGATTCAATCTGGTTCTTCCTGCAGACCATCCAAGACTTTATCAGATACGCCCCTGAGGGGGTGGACTTGCTAAGGTCAATTGTCAAGAGACGTTTCTTGCCTTATGACGATACATGGTTTCCAACACAAGACCCTAGGGCATACTCGAAAGAAAGCACCATAGAGGAGATCATCCAGGAGGCACTTCAAAGACACGCCACCGGGATGAAGTACCGAGAGGCAAACGCTGGATCACAGATTGATTCTCAAATGAAAGATGAAGGTTTCAACCAGGATATTCATGTCGACTGGGAGACGGGCATTGTCTTTGGTGGCAATCAGTCCAATTGTGGCACCTGGATGGACAAGATGGGAGAAAGCGAACGAGCCGGCTCCAAGGGAGTGCCCGGAACTCCACGAGATGGTGCTGCCATTGAGATCACTGGTCTGCTGTACAGCACCTTATCATGGCTGTCTGAACTGAATGAACAAGGAAAATATGCCTACTCGTCAGTCAAAACTGCAGCCGGAACGAGTGTCTCATTCAAAGATTGGGCAGGGCGGATCAAGGCCAATTTCGAGAGATGTTACTTTGTCCCTCTCTCGTCAAAAGACGACTACAAATACGACGTCAACCCTGCCATCATCAATCGTCGCGGAATCTACAAGGACCTCTATAAATCCGGCAAGGAGTACGAAGACTACCAATTCCGCGCCAACTTCCCCATCGCCATGGCCGTCGCCCCATCTCTATTCGACCCAGGCCACGCAATGCATGCCTTGTGTCTAGCCGACTCGGTCCTTCGCGGCCCGACGGGCATGGCCACACTGGATCCCGCAGATCTCAACTACCGCCCATACTACCGTAACAGCGAAGACAGCGAGGATTTCGCCACAAGCAAGGGGAGGAACTACCACCAAGGCCCGGAGTGGCTCTGGCCAACGGGCTTCTTTCTCCGTGCGTTACTAAAGTTTGACCTGATGAGACGCACGACACCCGAGGGTAGAACAGAGGCCTTCCAGCAGGTCACGAGACGTTTGGCGGGGTGCAAAAAGATGATTGAGGAGAGCCCGTGGGCTGGCTTAACAGAGTTGACGCAGAAGAATGGGGAATACTGCCCTGATTCGGTAAGCTTGCGTCTACTTCTCTAAACAATTGCATAAGATGCTAATGAAATGCAGAGTCCCACGCAGGCATGGTCAGCAGGTTGTTTGATTGATCTGTACATGGACGGTAGGGAAGAGCAGCAGAAGCAGCAGTAGCTAGGAATCTGGAATATTGTCCCCGAAAATGTTTTGTTTTCTACACGTGTTTATAGAACCGCCATGAGCATACGAATACAATTTGGTCCTATTGACAACGCCTCCCATCACTGACTTATACATGGGACGCATTGTGGCGTAAGAAAATATATATATATAGCTTGCCGGTTTACATGGCCCTGTCTCCCAAACCTTGGGTTACCCGGTTCTTCATCCCCACGACACAAAGCAAGGCTAAGCCTGTCGGCACCTCTAAAATGCAGTGTCATGATGTCCACATGATCCCTTCGAAAACGCCTGCAGTCCCCCAAAATAGAGCGAGAAAGCTCAAATCCCACCAAACATATTAAAAGATATAGACTAGAAATGTCCAGGTACAGACTAGGAAGACAAAGAACAAAGGGTCAAAGCGTAAGCGTTGTCCTCTTTGTTGCCTGTGCTTTTGCCCCCAAGTTTGAAATCTGAAGCAAAAGACACAACATTTTGTGGCTCTGGAAGAGCAAAGATCCTTCGGGCGGGTGAGATTACGGTGACAAAATAACGAAAAGATACGGCCGTATTGACAATCCTGTGAAGAGAGGAGGCGCACAAAAGTGCAAGCCAGGATGTGTACTGTATATCCAATAGGTCGCTATCGATGAGTGTCAGAAAGCCAGCTATGTATTCATATTCCGCCGATTCGAGAAGAACAAATGCAAAGCAATATGCGGCGGAAAATGAATTCAACTATGCAGAGAATATGAGAAATCAGGTCGTAGAGAATAAATCGCAGGCTGGTCGTTGATAACGGCAACAAATAAGAAACTTCGTCTAAGTGCGCTGAGTAACTGTCCACTTCTTCTTAGGTTGAGTTTTCCCTGCCTTTTCAGTGGCAGCCCCTCGCTCAGGGTCACGCCCAGCGTTGTGTGCCGTAGGGGTCCCAGTCTCAGTACCAGTAACGGTGGGTCCCCATGAAGGATGAGAAGCAGACCCTGAGTGCTTCTGGCCGAGTGAAGTTTGCCGGTCCTTCTTTCGCAAATATCGCCGGCGCCAGATGCATGCGCCTATCCAAATACCGGCAATGGCAACGACGAGAATGACAAGCATGATCACCCATTGCCAGTGGTTGGACAGCCTGGTTTTTCGCCCAAGGCACATTAGTTCCCGTGTCGTCAAGGACTATCATATCTTCAGACTTACCAGTCTCCGCCATTTCCACTGTTGCTGCCACCAATATTGCTAGAGCCTGCAGCATTCGTTTCTGTAGCTGTATTCGTTCCTGTTGTCTGTGGGGTGTTTTTAGGGGCCTTGCCATTACAGAAGCTGGTAAACCAGTTGCCAATGGAACTGAGGCCCTGCGGGTTACCTGGGCAAGCATTCGGGCAGACATTGGCGCCGCCGCCTGAGGAAAATGGTGCAACTCTTGAATCGGCACAAAAGCATGATTCGTATGTACCTGCATCGGCAGTAGGTAAGGCTGGAGGCACACAAGCGCCGTTGGCATCCCAGAGAGGGCCACAAGCATTGGCACAAGCCGGAAGCTTGCTGATATCGTTGAATGGGACGATAGTATACGACAGGCCATTGCCGGCAGGTTGTTGCGCTACAGCAAGATTCGGTTAGTGAATAGGGCCACCATAATCATGGCAAGATATTCGAAGAGAAATCGTACCCATTTTATTGCCAATGATGTAAGTCGTGAATGTTTTCCTTGTGTGATAATCGTATAGTGGTACTGGATAAGAGCCCTAGTCTCCCGGAGCACAATCTTTAAGAAGCGATTGATTCTGCCGTGCAGGCTCAACCAGAGAGTGTTGTGCCAAGCGGAGCTGAAATACAGGAGGCTGTCCCTGTGTTGCCTGTGCCGTCGTGTCGATGCCCGCCGAATTGTGTATCGCTGCGGCTAGTTTTCTTTGGTGGAAGAAGGTAGGATGAGCCGGTCCGTTGCGGTATTTGGGCAGCGCTGGCAAAATGAGACAAAAATATTTGGCGGGTGATCAGACTCCAGGTGTAGATTTTTGTTTCGAGACGCTGCCTACTTTGTGGTGAAACTGGCCAAGCGGAGCCGGAGCACCTTCTTCCTTGCAGCAACCGTGCCAGCCGCCAATATAACGAATGAAATAGCGAACGGGCGAAAAGAGCGATAGGAGTCGGGAATGAGAAGGAATTGGCGATGCTGGGAGCAAAACAATAACGGGACGCAGTCGACGCGCCAGCGATGGTTAGGTTGTAGAATGTGTCGCTTGTTTGATTGTGTTGAGGTGAAAGGAATGGAGAGCCACAGCAGCGTGAGCGAACCTGGAAGAACGGTGGGCGGGACGAGAGGAGTCAACTCAGAACTAGTGTCAGGATGAAATGGGCAGGAGAGGTCAAGTCGGATGGACATGGCACCTGCACCTGGCACTGGCGTCATTTCAAGTGGTCAACTGTCTGGTAGTACCTCTGCAGGTTCTGCTCTGCAAAGTTGATAGGTGTGCACATGTACAGTGCCACCTCACACAGGCCGGACTATACGGTGAAAGCTGAGAACGAGACCTTGGGCTGGTTTTCTTGCTCTGTACTTGAGTACGGAGTACAGTGTAGTGATAGGGACCCACTGCTCGCGCGTGGATTCAGGTGAGTCCCTAATGACCAATGAGGTTCCATGTTCTGAGATCTAAGTGGCTGAAATGTCCACGATGGCTGTGGGTCCCAAGCTCAAATGCCTTGGCGCTTGACTATGTCTTAGGTACCTGGGTACTTGCATACTCGTAGTCCAAGGCAGGATGAAAGCGGAACAATGGGAGGGCCGAGGAGAGCACAAGAGGTAACTCGGTACTTGGGTGTAGAAGCAGCCAAGCAAACCAAGGGACGGGGCACCACTACCTGCATGTGAACCACCGAGCTCAGGCAGCTTGGGTGTCTTAGGGCGCCGACTTCCAACCAGACAGCACTGAGAAAAAGTTGCCCCCATTGCCCTCACATCATCCTCCCGACACAGCATTGCCCGACTTCATCGTCACGACTCGAGCCATGGGGTGTCTTCTCACAATTCGGCTCCCAGCCCGGGCTTGTGTTCCGTCGCTCGGAGCCAAACTTCAAATTATACGGAGTACTACATACTCTGCAATGCTGGCTTGGGACTAAACATTGTAGCCGTTTGCAGCGGGCATCTTGGCACCGTGGCTTCCAATCTGCTCCTTTTTTCTGTTCTGGGAACTTCTGGCCATCCAGCAGTGTGCACGAATGTAGTCACATCAATTGACCGCGCTCACGTTGTCATTACGCATTCGCGTAAGCTGCACTAAGCACAAAGATCCTCTTCTTTGTCAATCATCCATCATGAAAACACTCGGTTACTAGCTACCAGCACCGTCTTTCATTGTCCACTTGCCCACTGATGGTTCCAGAAGTCTTATTTTTGGTTGTTTGGTGGGGGCATCACCCAGGCGCTCATGCCGTCGGCTGTGGCGCATGGTCAAGACCAACATTCAAGGTACCACTTGACATGTATTCGAGACCAGGCACTGCGTCCTCGCCTCTAAGCGCCGACAAGGACCACCAGGAGCACGTTGGCGCAAATTCGGGAATGGAAGCTCAGATTGTTGAGGTTGGCCAAGAGGTCACGATGTAGTCCTTGTCCTCCACACAATAGTCGCGCCAATAGAGGCAAAAACACCTTCCGCCTGGCTTCAACTTTCATGTATTCCCAGCGATTTCCTAGACACCCATCCATCTTGAGAAGTCGGGATTTGCTTTTCTTGAGTGCTTGGTGGCTTGGCCCTTTGCAACGCGCCGCACATTTTCCACCGAAACGCTGGCTTGATAAGTATGTGGGGGCCCTAGCCGTTGCGCTGGTGCCCCATACCAGGTAGGTACCTAGTACCTAGTCCATATGTACCGGTATTGAAGTCAAAATTTCCCCAGCTTACGGAATCCCCCGAGATGAATTACGAGACGTGTTGGATTGAGCCTAGACAGTTTGTGTGTTCCTGGCGTTGTTTGACTGCGCTTTTCGCTGCGCCAATATCCACCATGTAATTTCCGCGTCGCTAAACGACCCCAGTCAGATCACAGTCAGATCATGCAACCAAAAACAGACGCCGCCGCGCCTGAGATATGCAGGTCCGTTGATTCTAAAACACGTCTGGCTTTCTTCTCGTGTTGTCAGCCCAACAAGCCATCGCAACTTTCCATCATGGATAATTCGCTGCCCTGCGCCTTCCCCGCATCTCCCCATCGTCCAACCGCCTTGCAGAGCCTGTTCTTTCACCAGTTCGACCTTCACACAGGGATTGTCGCCCTCGACGGTTAAACCCCCGAGTAACCCGGGCTGTGGCAATGGCGAACAGCTGTTGAGGGCGTGTGGGCCATATTTGTTGTGGCTTGCTGGCAACAACAAGCGGTACAACCAGAATTATTAGAGACACTGTCACAGCAACCCTTTCTACTGTCAGGCCGAGCCAGGTCTCTCACGGGATTGAGAGTCAACGCAATACTAGTAAGACCTCCCCAATTGATGCCAGTATTTTTTCGCTCGGGTCGTCTCCGGAACCAAGAGGCTCACCACGATACTGACGGCTCGTTTTTTACCCGTTTTCATCAATGTGATGAATTCGCCCAGCCCAACACCCCCGCCAGTGCTCATCAATTCAAATGAGTTGCAGTACCAAACATGAACAACATTTCCTAGATATGGTATCATCGGTAATACAGCCTCCCACTGTACACGATCCGAAAGCAGTTACCGCGGTCTGATAATCATAGAGTACAAGCGCGTACTCCATCGTTCGTCCACTTGCAATGCTGTTTTTTCTTCTCATGTCTCAGTCTCAGCACCAGGACTCACTTGATCGAACAGTTGGCCAGGAGTCTAGGGCCCAAAGCAGTCAACATCGTCCACTCGAGGGCACTGTCTCGGACCGGATCTGTGATATCCTATCAATCCATGAATCCACGATCCCGGAAACCTTTGCTTTCACGCGGCGATCTGCAGAACCTTGGAAACTGGCACCATTTGCGTCTACAAGACCATGAGCCTGAAGTCATTATCGGCCTCACATTAAGCACGAACATCAAAATGGATGTCAATGGCCAACAAGGTGAATAGTTTCATTGCTCTTGTTACTATGAATCTAGTCATGCACCAAATCCTTATTTCCGTTGTTTTTGGGGGGGGGGGGGGTGTGGAGAGAGGGAGAATGATGTCTGATATGAGCTAGTCGACGAGACACAACAGACATCGCACCCCCCTGAGCCCCCCCCAAAAAAAACATGTCGTCGTTAAAATGCCCTATCGATGTCGAGAACCCTGATGGGCAGATGCGTTTCCACCACTCGATTGACTGTGGTTTGTCCACGTAGGGCCATTGCTGGGTGGGATGGCCCCTTTGGCGACCCAGGGACCAGGCTCTGATAGAAAACTCTGCATGCCGTAAGAGGTTGTGGCGGAAGACGACGATGCTATCTTTGAATTGTTTGTGACTCCGGATCCTGGTACAACGTTAGAAGCATACTCTCGACTCTCGGAGTTTTTCAGCAACAGCTGGTCCATCGAACCATTATTTACCACTCCGTGCGTCTTGTTGTTGTTTGCAGACATCCTACAATTTAGAGTATTGGCAATGCGTAATATTTTGGACTTGGGCCTTCCGTTTTATCTCTTGTCGATGACTGAATAGCTGTTGAATGTGTCCAATTCATCAAGTCAAATTTGACATCGTAGGGCAAACCAGCTCAATTTATACTGCTTCCTCGTCAAGATCAAGGGACGAGTAACCATCTGGTATTGGTGTGCTTGCAGTGTCACGAGTCTTCGAGTCAATTCAAAGGCCCTATTTTTGCGGTCTCATCAAATCTGGAACTCGACAACTTTTGGCGGTTTCATTACTGCGGCGGCAGCCTGCATGATCGTGACGCTTCGTCATTGCGCAAGAACTTTTCTTTTCTGCGGCGTGAATAGCTGTGGAACAAACATGTTTGTACAATCCTGGACGGATCTTATCGGTCGCCGTCAGCGTCCTCTCCTCACTGTCGCACGAATGAGTTTACGGATGTGTCCCCGGGTTTTGTTTCTTATGGTCGCTTCAAACGGTTCACGCCACTCAATATCTGCTTCTTTCCGGCATATGATGCTGCCAGAGAGAAGGCGAATGGAAATCCTAATTAGCCAGCCACAAGGATGAGCTGGGAATGTAGCTTCCCGTATACAGCCGAGTCATATTGGATAGCTCCCATTTTCTCATCTCACTTATTTTCTCCCGCGACAGCAGTAACAGTCAGGTAAGCTGATGGCATCAATCATCCCGGAGCCATACTCAACGGTGATGTTACCGGTAGCACAGTGGCGCTTTTGTCACAAGAAGAGCACAATACCGCCCGCAAGGGGTAAAAGTTTTCTGGAAGAAACGTTACAGAAATTTATTGATGATGATTCCTGCTAACCTCCGCCGTCGATAGTCATTAGCACGAATAACGCGGACCCTTATATGTTGCTTTATATAGCATTCAATATGTTGCCTTTGCTCCTACGAATAGAACAATTTGGGGACATCGGGTTCCTCCACAATGAGACCACAATCTCACATGACTACTTTAAGGGATCGGGCCCTATATCTGGTACATAACCGGGATTTCTGACATGCCCACATACTGTAGTACAAGTATTGAGCAGGTTCTGTTTAGGAAATATGCGGCCGTTGGCGTGTTTCCTCACATTAACTCGTAGTAGGTACCACAGATCCTTCAGAACCCACCTGCAGCGAAGGGGAAACAACCGAATTACCCAATGTGGCACAATTTTCTGCTTGGGGACTCGGGAGACCGGCAGTCGGCCATCGGTCCAATCTTTGCGGACGGGCTGATCCCATATCACCAGTCTCACAAAATACCACGGCGGATAGCCAGAAGCAGAAAACTCCGAGTCACTGTAATGTATGCCAAGCTCCACCGACAAAGATCCTCTAACGGCAACGAAAAACGAAGCTGAACCTCTGTACTCCTATACCATTATCATGAGGCAGTCTACCGGACAAGATTCCCAATTTGTCAAGGCAGGGTAGCTTCCTGGTTCATATCGGCTTCGCCATTATCAATAACCTAAAGCATTTGGCTTCCGACGCTCTGGCAAATACTCCAGAAACTTCCAAGTGGAATGACCACATGAGCCCGTCACATGCTAGCAAATGCCATAGGGTCGGGATTAGCGGCGGTCGACAGAATAGTAGCAATACGGGGAGAAGGGCATGAAAACACACAAAGTTTCGGATAATTTGTCTCGTCACTCTGGAAAACAAAACTGTGCAACAATTACTTGGGCGTGTCAACTGTTTTGGCTGAGCATGTCCCATGCGGCTGACGCTCTTTCATCTTTCCCTCGGCGGAGTGACCAACACCAAAGCACATTAACGTCGTCCGACACGGTGTGACAGATGAATGCTGTGCTATAGCGATCGTGCTATTCATGGCTGCATTACATTTGCCCTCAAGATCCGACGGTGCAGTGCTCCTCAGGGGTAAGCGGATTGACACTCAGGTGATCACATTCAGCCGGTCTCCCACTTCCCGGTGACACCACAAAAGATGGCTATGCAAAGGCACCTGACAGAGAACCGAATCCATTGTGATATCACTTCATGAGCCCTGAAGCTTACTGGCCGGTAACAGGGGATTGATACCTGGAAAGTTTTGACGAAAGCATCGAGCCGAGAACGCCGGCTCACGAGCACAAGCCATGAAAAATTCACCAAATGATTTGTTTTGTTTTTTTGGGTGTGTGTGGCGCGTCTCCCACAAAATAAAAAAATCAAGTCCCGAATCCAGGTCTTTGTACGGAGTATTTGTGAGAACAATTACCAGGCATCGATGTCAGAGTGCCGGCAGCGCGTCACACTTTCTTTTGCCCACTATTCTTAATTATGCCCGCCTACCAAAATTGGAGAATGGGAGGGCTTTGGAATCGAGGTTCTCGCTTCTGGTTGACGAAATAAGGGGTATTTTTCCTGACAACCTGCATAAATAGTAGTTGAGCAATATCATCAAGGGAACAATTTTGCGCACATGGACTCTGCTTCCAATGAGAACGAATCGATTCCCTGGTGGCATATTCGTCCTTTACAGGTCGGGCATGATGACACTGTTATACCACGAGCACCTGAATCCAAGTATTGATTAACGAAAGGGTACTCAGTACCGCGCTAGATAATGAATTTCACCATTTGTGTCACAAGAAGCCGCTGATGGCTCGCCAAAAAGGGCGGCTGTGGCAAGGCCGATGATGGCCTGATCATCTGTACGGAGTAAGGTCGGTCGTATTGACATGGTGTCTGTTTGGCCCATGCTGGCCGGAGCTGCTCTGGAAGTCTCAGTTTGCTATTTGACGCCCTCCGAGTGTCACCCTGAAAATATGACGGCTCACTTACCTCGCGCAGGTTGGGGGCCAATCCTCTCGTTTGGTTATAGCAGTTGAATACTACTCGAGGCGAGCGGCCGTCTCCCCCCTTGCGACGTTGATGTGGAGGCAGTAATAATTCGTTGTGAGATGTTGTTGCCACACGTTACATAGGACAGTAATTGTTATGCTTCGCAAGTGCTTTGTCGCTTCGTTGGCTTGCGTCCAGAGCATGCTCGGTGCGTAGGGATGTCCAAGGGAAAGGGTTGTGAGCAAGTTACCGCGAGATACGAGTACTACCCATTGTCTTAACGACAATGATCCGTTGACGGCGTTCCAGGCCACTTCGGATGGTTTTTACATCGCCGTGAAAACAAATGTATGATTTTGTAGGCAACGAACAGTGCCCAAGGGTTGACATAAAACCATTTACACAGATATTGCACAGAGTATGTAGGGTAAGTGAGTAGGAGACGGGAGGTTGGCTAGGCTTCTATTGTGTAGATTCGAATGGGTAACAAAGTATACGAATGCATTTGTGACCTCCTGGCGGTCCAAGGCCATTACTTGGAGTGAAGCTAGAAAGCACATGCAGCACTCTGTTGCTGTCTCCAGGTTCTCGGTACTCCCCGTTAGTGGAGACGATTTGCAGACTGGGGCCAGGTACGGAGTACTTACCTAGGTAGTTACGCAACACTCGGTGAAGATTTACATAAAATTTGTTATGCATGGCCCGTGCACAAAGCAAGACGTCACAGGACCAAGGCCCATCATGCTACTATTGATCTTGAAGCTTCCAACCCGGCATTGCTTCACTGTCGTCACCCTTGTGTCTAACACCTGCTGTCACCGACGTCAAAGCCACCAAATCTCTTTGCCTATGCGTAGCCCGCCACACTGGCAGCTGCAGGTGCCGAGAACGCCGACACAATTATGAAGCATGATGGGGCCGGAGAATAACGGCTGTTCTCGGGAGGAACTCATCGCGCCCAGGAGCCAGACCATCAATGACCTCAAGCTGCAGCTCGTCTTGTCCCTTGTCCTGGGAGTCTCAGCTTTCATTACCTTTTGTGTGAGTGAATGGAGCCTAATGCGCAACATGTGTGCAAAAGTAGGAGGCACTAATGGTCTGCCTGCTTAGATACTTCGCCCACGATGGCCGTCGCTCTACGCGGCTCGCGAGCGCCGCCTCGACCCCAAGATCAATCTGCCGGCGTTGTCGAATTCATTTTTCGGATGGATCCCGCAGTTATACAGAATCAGCGAAAACCAAATATTGGCAGCTGCGGGATTGGATGCGTTTGTGGTAGGCACCATCCCGCCACTTCATACACGCTACCCACGGTTTCTGATGCTTAATAGTTTTTGGCATTTTTCAAAATGGCTATCCGACTCTTTTCCATCATGGCGTTTTTTGCGATAGTGGTTTTAGAGCCAATTAATATAAGCTACCGAGGAAACGAGACCTGGCTTAATCCGAACAAGCCGGAGCACGATGGACGCGACCGAGATTTATTTGGTTCATCACAAATACTGTATGGAAACGGCCTTGACGTGCTCAAAGATAACGACGAGGACAAGAGCAACGAGAAACCCTACTTGTGGGCATATGTCATTTTTACGTATTTCTTTGTAGCTGTTACGCTATATTCGATTAATTGGGAGACGTTTCGGATCGTCGACCTCAGGCAAAGGTATTTGGGCTCGCAGTCGACAGTAACGGATCGAACTTTCCGTCTTACAGGTATACCGATCAAGCACAGGTCCGAAGAAAAGCTCAAAGACTTGATTGAAAAGCTCGATATTTGCCTTGTGGATTCCATCACATTGTGCAGGGACTGGAAGTATCTCGATCAGTTAGTTCGGCATCGAGACTTACTATTGCGGAAGCTAGAAGCTTCCTGGGCAAAGTATCTCAAAATTCAAGAATCATCAACGCAACATAGTGATGCAACCCAGACACAGAACGTGGACGATGATACAGTCGGTCAAGTCCGCGGCATAAATAGGGACGAGGAGTCTGCCGAGAATGCCCGGCTTCTCTCAAGCCAGCAAGACCAGCCGTATATGTTTGCCGGCGACCGACCTCAGGTGTCTATTCGATACGGTCCACTGCTTCTCCGAAGCCAAAATGTTGATGCAATCGACTACTACGAGGAGAAGCTGCGCCGGCTCGACGAGCAGATTGTCCAAGCTCGGAAGAAGGAATACGAACCTACGGACATGGCCCTCGTCACTGTGGATTCAGTCGCATCTTGTCAGATGGTTATCCAGGCTAGAATAGATCCTCGACCTGGTAGATTCTTGACCAAGCCAACCCCCTCGCCTTCCGACCTGGTGTGGAAGAATACCTACGCCTTGCGCGGCATCCGTCGACTGAAAGCATGGGCCATCACACTCTTTATCACGGTGTTGACGCTCGTCTGGATATTTCCCACGGCATTCCTAGCGTCCTTGTTAAGCATATGCACTATTGATCGGGTCTTGCCAAAATTTGCCGCGTGGCTGAGTGACCATACTGTCATCAGGTCATTCATTCAGAACAGCGCGCCGACGCTGATCGTCTCGTTGCTCAACGTTTCAGTCCCATACCTCTATGACTGGCTTTCAAACCACCAAGGCATGGTATCGCAAGGAGACGTGGAGCTGTCTGTCATCTCCAAGAATTTCTTCTTTACGTTTTTCAACACCTTCTTCGTGTTTGCGGTTTCGAGAACTGGATTCGAATTCTTCAACGTACTGAGGCGTTTTCTTAAAGATACAAGCCTGATACCCCGGATTATTGCCCGTGACGTGGAGGATCTTTCGCTGTTCTACACATCCTTCATCATTCTGCAGGGAATTGGTCTCATGCCCTTTCGAATACTTGAAGTCGGAAGTGTATTTCTCTTCCCAATATCTCGGTGGCTCTCCTCCACGCCCCGCGATTTTGCTGAATTACAGAAGCCCCCAAAATTTCAGTACGGCTTCTATCTACCGACTGCGCTGCTTGTGTTCAACCTGTGTATCATCTACAGTGTTCTACTAAACGGAGAAATAATTCTCATCTTCGGCATAATTTACTTTGGGCTGGGGTACTTTACATTCAAGTATATGCTGCTGTATGCTATGGATCAACCCCAACATGCTACGGGCGGTGCGTGGCGTATAATCTGCTACCGCATAGTCATTGGCCTTCTGGTTTTCGAGACAGTCATGGTCGGGCAAATAGCCTCTTCTAGGGCATTTGTGCAGTCTGTTGCAGTCTTGCCACTGATTCCATTTACGATCTGGTATAGCTACTACTTTAACCGACGATTCGAGCCTCTGACAAGAGTGATTGCGCTAAGAGCGATTCGAAATGGGCGAGAGCAAAACGGCGAGGGCGAACAAGCTGTAGAAGATGAGGCCTCGGATGATGATGGTCCACATTTTCAGCGCCAAATCCTGAGAAGGGGAAGCACTCTAGACGAGTTCAAAGAGAGAGGCTTGACGTTTGTCAACCCAAGCTTAGTTACTCCGTGAGCGGTATGAGGGCATCCCCTTGGAGAATTCTGTACTAACTCAGGCACAGTTTACAACTTCCATGGATCTACCATGATCCACCGGCGCTAGCCGATGATGATGTTACGACGGAGGGCGATCGTTCGTCCCAAGGCCGTCCTACTCTGATCCTACCGAATGCAGACAGCTCGTTGGGTATTGGAGAGGATAATGTATGGGTAGACAGCACACAAAGATCTTGAGTATTAAGGAGGTGTTTGCTGTTTTATGACTTGCTGGAACTTGGACGTTTGGTGATGCATTCTTTGGCTGTTGGGTTGTGCGTGAAAAGGAGTTATGACATAATGAGGACGAATTATCTGTTAGATGGTGGACTGGTGGTTTACGTGGAATTCGTGTAAAGAATACCTTTTTTGTTAGCTTACGATTTTGTTTGCTTCTCCAAGACTCTGGTCGTGGTAATTATATCAATTATGAGGAACAGATGGAGCATGCAAGGTGAGCTTGTAAGGTGTCGGATGTGAAAGTTGGTTTGTCAAGCGAGTCTGGATGCATGGTTTCGTCAGGAAGGTGCGAGTCAATTACACCTAAGTTGACACAAAAAGACCAAGGAGGCTGCGAATACTCCGTACATCATCTCCTATTCACATCATTACCTAACTTTTCCCATGCCCTAAAATATCTGCTATTTGTTCCTAACGCCTCACACTACCTAGATACATAACAGCGGCTCGATCGTGACAATTGTACCAAACATACCAGCAAGACGTCGTCACAGATATTCGTTTCACGAGGAGTAGCTGGATTCTACTCCACAAGGGCGTCTCGAAGAGCGTCATTAAACGACACCCGGTCACCGGATCAGTCTCTTGGTACGATGGCTGTTGCGACCCGCATGCCTATCGACAATCGTGGCATCCGAGATCCTCCAGGGCAGCCGAACCAAGTAGAGGCAGCTCGAGGAGCTGGCTACATCCGCCATGATGCCGATACGGAAGGTATGTCCGCAAAGTCGAAGAGGTAAAGGCGTCGCACTTTTCGCTAACGCAGCGCGCTTATTGAACAGACAAACCAAGTTCAATGAATGTTCCTACAGAAATACTGCAATACATCTATTCTTTTCTTTCGACAGCTGATTTTAATGCGGCCCGTCATACATGCCGGTCTTGGTTTTCTGCAAGCTTGCATCGCGCACTGCTTGTGCAGATGCTGAAGCAAGGGGGATGGTGGAGCAGCATGCTGCGCATCATCACGCCAATGGGGTTGGCCAGATCACTTGGGATGAGCCAGGAACGAATAATGAGCAAGTGGATTTCAAGGGAGTGTAATCTTGCCAATCCAAACGGGAGGGTATTCGCTCAAGTGGGAGAAACCGACTTTCGACAACTACCGATTGGACGCCGGAAGAGTCAGCTGCATGGAGAGGTATCATTTACGGTCAGTCTCTGCGGGCGGTATCTGATAGCGGCTCTAGATCAACTGGCTTATATATACGAACTGAATCATGTTTATCAGCCTGGACGTTCGGGTTGGTCTGTGCCTTTGAGACGTAGGCAAGGCATGCCTCTGGGTTTCATGCGCCCCGTTGCAAGCATTATTTGCCCTCGCCGGATTCTGTGTTCCAGCATAGATACCTCATCGGGGAGACATTCAGTGGCATTTCTAATGGAAGGGCGTGTGGGTATGGTTTGTGAAATCGCAAAGCATGAGCAACTTACTTCGAGGTTGTCGGCCATTGCCTTGTGCACGGCTGGGCCGTCAGAATCGGGCTCTGTGCCAACCTCAAGGGAAAGTCCACTGACAGGATCAGCCAAACATTGCATCTGCTATGAAAGGTCACCTCAGGAACCACCTGCTGTAGAAGTTGGGGAGAGATCCGTATATAGAAACATCTGCACAGCTGACGATCCACCACGCTCGGTTGCAATTTGTCCTCAGCGAGACTGCGTGGCTTTTGGATGCGCGGCCGGAATCGAGCTACACTAGGTGGATGCTTTGACAGGTCAAGATCTTAGTCGGTGGTTTCCACTGTCGTCTCCAAGCGACTTTTTGTACTTTCTACCGGCGCGACGAGGGACTGATACGGCCCAAAAGCTTCGCCTAATCAGCTCTGCAGCTGGTTTATTGAACCCGCTTAATCCCTTGATGGATTCGGGGAATGAATTTTACACTACGATAATAGGAGCAGAAAGAACAGATTTGGCGTCACTTTGGAGTACTGGCGTAACCAGACTAGACAACCAAGCCTCGGCTGCAAGATCGAGCGAACCCACGAGGCCTATGTGCATGAGATCGAGAGCATTTCAAGACGGCCAGATATCGGACAGTGGAGCTATACGGACTGTATCGGCAAGGAGCGCAGACCATTACCGTGCTGTGCCTCTCAGCGATGGATATCATATCTTGTTCACTGACCCTCGAACAGGTTGCCTTTGCCTGGGAACTGACGCTCCGATTGGGTCTGTTACACGTCTTCTTCGGAAAGTGTGGTTTCGACCCCCGGGAGCAGCTTTTTCCGCAATACCAATACTGTATACGGCTGCATCAGATATAAGGCATGGGGTCCGAGTTGTAGCTACCTTTGCGGCAGAGTCACCACCGAACACCACAGACACCGTCTTCAACAAGCAATTGATTGTGTTCTTCACTGTTCCGCCAGACCTGTTCCATGATCCATCTTATGGAAGCACGATGCGTCACTTGAATACGGAAATTTTCAGTAATGAGAGGATTCGGAGACAAAGTAGTTCGGAGCCCTGGCAGGCTGAGGAGGGTTATGGTGAGGTAGATGTATTCAGCGATGCATTCCGGGACATCCCATCATACCCCCTCGAAATCTGGGGACAGACGATTACAACATGCGACGACCTGACTGAGATTGCCCTGGATTCCTCGCCAGAGATGGTTGTTTAGGCGTTCAGCTCTTCCGGGTGGGCAAAGGCATGGGCGGTGGACTCGGGAAGGTTTAAGCCGCTTACAAGGACAGCTATCCAGTTGAACGGAGGCGTGCGTCTGGTTGACCACGATGGCGATAGCCTCACGGGGTATGGCGAAAGCTCCAGCATGATGAAAACACCGGATATTGGCGGTATTGTTGATCCTTTTGACGGCACCGTGGGCGCGAACTTCGTGGAGCGACGGTCTGCATTTGAGCGAGCAGGCTGGTACACCAGAGCCAGGGGCAGCGACAGGATGAGCGGCACGGCGTCGGTGGACTTGGTGGAAGGAGTTAATGGCATCGCAAGACTCGACGTGCAATTACGATAAGGCGCTCATGTTGGGGCCTGGGAGTACGCATATGCATTGATGGCGTCGAGATTGGAGACTAGGGGCTTGACGATCCGGGCAGAAACTATCAATCTTATGCGAGCGGGCCAATAGGAGCGCGAGCCGGCAATCCTTGTGACGTCAAACTATCAAAACGTGACACGGGCCGTCAACTCCAGAGTCCACTACCGCCGACTCAACGACCGGCTTGAGGGTCTAGATGGAGGAAACCGGGCGCCAAGCTGGAGTCCCAATTAATTCTAGACCGCGCTTTATTTGTTAGCATAACCGATGCCGGCACTGGCAACCAAATTTTGCATACAGGAATGCCAATGAACACACTGGCCGACCGAAGACTGGACCCACACCGGCGCCGGGTGGAGTCCGAGAAGAATTTACCATGTCAGATCGGGGTCCGAAATACAGGGAGAGCGGAGGAAGTAAGACATGGGAAGTTAGGGGGAAAAAGGTGGACAACAAGATAAAACATGTATATAAGATAGCAATTGGGTCAAGTATTCTTTGGCTAGATTTTATCGCAACGTGGTATCTCTTGGGTTTGTGTTTTTGTTGTTTCTAAGGATGGGACCCATTCTCGGCTTCGCCATCATCCAGGGCTTTGTCCCTAATTTCCGAGCTTATTTCCTCGAAAGCGTGAGCTAACACCACCATGGGGCCAAGAGTGGATCCCAATCCGACGACAATTACTCGTTTGCTCGCTCCGTCAGTGGGGGCAAGATTTTCCGCGGACTCTTGAGTCTTCAGTCTCTGGCCATGGGCCACCTTGACAGCCAATCCTTGCGTGGCGCCGTGCCTGAAAGCTCACAAGGTTCCAGTATTACTCTGTTATTTTTAAGCTCTTTTTCTGCCTTGTGGGGATGCTGCTAGCTCACTTTTTCTTCGGATGCGGCTTGTCCGCGATAACCGTTCGCGGTACACGGGTTCGGCTATGCGTTTACGTGAAATGGGCAGGGAGGTGCCGAGGGAAGCCATGCGAGTTCACACCCTAGCTGACATGTATATATAGCTACGTATAAGTCGTCGAATATTTCAAAACCGCTCGTTGTTCTAGGCGCAGGTTTCTTTTTTCGCTTCCACCTTCTCCTTGGACGACGCCCGCCCCGTATTTCCCATTAAGAACATGGACGCAAGAGATGCCCCCTCTGAAGCGGACGCTCCCCAACACCCAGTCACCATGGATACGTCGTCGTCTACACGATGCTCGTCTTCTTCGAGGAGACCGTCTCACGGGGCTCATCCCTCTCAAAAAGAAACGCTCGACCCTAATCTCGACATCAACTTGCCCTACCGGACGCTCACCTCTGGCGCCCGCATGGACGAGTACACGATTCCATCTCGCACGGGCGAAATCCCGCTCGACCAGGCGCACAAGCTCGTCGCCTTTACGCCCGACGACCCGGGGAACCCCAAGAACTGGAGCAAGGCGTTCAAGTGGTACTGCACCATGGTGGTGGCGCTGACGTGCTTCGTCGTGGCGCTGGCCTCGTCTGTCGTGACGGCCAACATTCCCGGCGTGGCGGAGGAGTTTGGCACGAGCGAGGAGGTGGCCTTGCTGAGTATTTCGCTGTTTGTGGTGGGCTTTGGTGTTGGGCCGATGGTGTTTGCGCCGCTGAGCGAGATTTACGGCCGAAGAATTATATAGTGAGTTGCCGCCCCTCTTTCTCTCTCTCTCTCTCTCTTCTTTTTTTTTTTCGCTACTTCTTATGGCGATATGTGGTTGCAGACACTGACTGTTTGTTTTTTGCTGATAGCGGATCTACATTGCTTATTGCCGTCGTCTTCGTCATCCCGTGCGCCGTGGCCAAGAACATGGCCACGCTGCTCGTCTGCCGAACCATTGACGGCATTGCCTTTTCTGCGCCCATGACGCTTGTAGGTGGAACGCTGGCGGATTTATGGAAGAACGAAGAGCGCGGCGTGCCCATGGCCGCGTTTTCAGCGGCTCCCTTTATCGGCCCTGCGAGTACGTTTGCTCCCCGTCATGTCATCGCATGGACCGAGACACGCTAACCCATCCTTTTGTCAGTCGGTCCCCTCATCGGTGGTTACCTCTCTGATGCCACCGGCTGGCGGTGGCTTTACTGGATCCAGCTCATCTTCGCAAGCGTGGTCTGGATCCTCATTACCTTCACCGTGCCCGAGACGTACGCGCCGACGATCCTCGACCGCCGCGCCCGAAAGCTCCGCGCCTCCACCGGCGACAACTCCCACGTCACCGAGCAGGACCTGGACCTGCGGCCCATGTCGGAGCGCCTACGCATTTTTCTGGTCCGCCCTTTCCAGCTGCTCTTCCAGGAGCTCATCGTCTTTCTCATCTCGCTGTACATGAGCGTCCTCTACGGCCTCTTGTACATGTTCTTCGTGGCCTTTCCAATCATTTACCAAAAGGGCAAGGGGTACTCGGCCGGCAAGACGGGGTTGATGTTCATCCCCGTGGCGGTGGGCGTGCTGTGCTCTGCGCTTTGCTCGCCGCTCGTCAACAAGCACTACCTGACGCTTGTGAAGCGGCACAACGGCCGTCCGCCGGCCGAGGTGCGTCTGATCCCCATGATGGCTTCGTGCTGGTTCATACCCATCGGCCTGTTCATCTTTGCGTGGTCGTCGTATCCGCAGTTGTCTTGGGCCGGGCCGGCCATGGGCGGATTCCCAGTCGGCTTCGGCTTCATTTTCCTGTACAACTCGGCCAACAACTACCTGGTGGATTCGTATCAGCACCAGGCTGCCTCGGCGCTGGCGGCCAAGACGTTCATCAGGAGTTTTTGGGGCGCTGGCGTGGTGCTGTTCACGGAGCAGATGTACGATCGGCTGGGCGATCAGTGGGCCTCGTCGCTGCTCGCCTTCATTAGCTTGGCCTGCTGTGCTATTCCGTTCCTGTTCTGGAAATATGGTGCTAGAATCCGCGCGAGAAGCAAGTATGCGTATGGAGGGGAGGATGCCGAGGGCTCAGGGGTGGATGATGTCGAGAAGGCGAGGAAGGGCGATGCGAACGGTGAGCAGGGTCTTGTACGGGATGATTTGGAGCATGACGCCGATTTGAGAAGAGCGAGGAGTTATGTCAGCAACCCTTAAGAAGGGATGTGCATTGAGCGAAGTTATTTTTCTTTCTTCTTTTTTTTCCTTTGTTGAAATAGAGAGCCATGACTGTTGTAGACTGGGACGAAATGATAGACAAGAGGCCCTAGCTAGAATTCACTTAATAACGATAATTATTCAAGCTACACATTTCTGACGGGTAGAGAGGGAGACCTGTTTAACACCGATCTCTTGGTCAGCAAGTTCTTACAAGTCCCATCCTTGACAAACTCTTCAATATTTCGAAACGTGCAATCCGCAATCTCCGTCAACGCTTCAACGGTGAAGAAGGCCTGGTGCCCACACACCAATACATTGTGGAACGTGGTCAACCGCATCAAAACGTCATCGTGTATAATCTCCCCTGAGTGGTCGTTGTAAAACAGCGACCCTTCGCCCTCGTACACGTCCAGGGCCAGCCCCCCGAGACGTTTATTCTTCAGGGCCTTGATGACCGATTTCGTGTCGATGAGACCGCCTCTAGACGTATTCACCAACACCACCCCATCCTTCATCTTGCCGAGGCTCTCTTCATTGATAATATGGCGGGTAGAGTCCGTCAACGGGCAATGCAGGCTGATAATGTCGCATTCCGGCAGCAGCACGTCAAGAGCCTTGTATTCGCCGATTTCCTTGAACTCTGGGGATGGAAATGGATCGTAGGCAATGACTTTGCAACCGAAACCCTTCATAATACGAGCAGTGGCGATGCCAATCTTGCCTGTTCCCACAATGCCCACCGTCTTGCCGTGGAGCGTATGGCCCAACAGTCCGTCGAGAGCAAAGTTGCCTTCTCGAACGCGGTTGTATGCACGGTGAGTGTTGCGGTTCAATGTTTGAATGAGGGCCACTGCAAATTCAGCAACGGCCTCCGGTGAATATGACGGCACATTGGCGACGGCGATGCCATGCTTCTCGGCGGCGGCGAGGTCCACATTGTTGAAGCCGGCGCATCGCAAGAGAATCGCCTTGATTCCATGACTGGCCAGCTGATCGATGACGGAGCTGCCCACTGAGTCGTTAACAAACACGCATATGGCATCGGCCCCTTCAGCCAAAGCGACTGTGCCGTCGTTTAGAGATGCCTCATGATAGGTGACGTCGATATTGGTCTGCTGTCTCGCGGCGCGGGCGGCGTCGAAGTACTTCTTGTCATACGGCTTGGCGCTGAATAAAGCGAGCTTCATGGTCGATATTGATGGTCGGATACTTTTTTAGATACCTATTTATGATGAGAAAAAAATGCCGCCGCGGCTGTTGTTGTTAGAATTGGGTCTTCATGAGAAGTGAGGTGTGGAGGGGGAGGCTGCACCTAGATCCTGAAATGGACGCCGCAACTCTTGGCGTACAGGTCTCCGACTCTGCGCCGTCATCATGAGTGCTGCAGTCTCCAATCCGTCATTTTAATTCCATCATATTTTAACCTGTTTTTGTAAACCTGGTGCCTGGGCAGGGCTTGTAATAGTGCTGTTGCAATGTACAAAGTACTTGAACCAACCAATGGTGTTCGGTAGCTGTGCACCATGTGTTCAATCGGCACGATGTCTAGCAAGGAGATATACGTGCCTTTCGCTAGGAATACACCAAAACACTTAAGTGCACATATATTGTAGTGCGGCAAGTCCTGGATATTGTGTGGTCAAATGCGTGTTAGGCCTCGCAGATTATACCGCGACGTATCGGCGTGTCCGTGAGCATAGCTTAGTATCGCTTAAAGAAGCGATAAATAATACTCAATCAGGACATGAGTCAGCGTAGTTTTATATAAATATATGATTGGTTGCAGGGAAAACATTAACCAACGGATACCGTGCCAATTGAAAGGCCCATTCTTGTATTGCCGTGAATGGCGTTCGATGTTGACATTTGGTTTGCCCTTGCCCGGTCCCGAACCTCGAGTGCCGTGCTTGTCAGCTGGCATGGCTGCTTGCTGGCTTGCACCTGCCCTCCCAACTCGAGCTGCATTGATTGAAGTTGACGTTTGAATATTCCCCAGAAGAAATCCGATGGAGCCCACTTCCTACTTTTCACTACCGCCAATATTATTCAGACAAGAACACTGTGTAGACATATTTACAAATATAACCCACAACTGCCAAGATGGGTTCCGACGAGGCCCTCACATCCGAGGAGCAGTTGCAAAAACTACGGGCCACCTTTGACGTAAAGATCCCCCCCCTCTCTCAATCTACATACTCTCGGTGACTAATGTCTGGCCACCGTCGCACATACAGCAAACTGACGGCATCGTCAAGAACCACTCTTTCCAGATCGTCAACCTGCAAAATCAGCTCCAGCTTATGCAGATGGCGAGGGCGGAAGAGGCCGAAGAGAGGAAGCGACTCGTCCGAGACAATGAGCAACTGACGACAGAGATTGTATACCTGAAAGGCAGACTTGCCAAGCTGGCTGTGGAATTCTATTATGCGCAGGCAGCAGCTTCAGCAGCTACAGCTAGCCCTTACGGCAGCGAAAAACAACGGAGCATGTCATGGTGGGCTAACCGCCACAACAACAACAACAATAATACATCATCAAGCAAGTTGATACCGCCGCAGGAGGAGGAGGAGGAGGCACGCCCTCGAAACCGGGTTGTGGAAACAGTGGCGGATAGAATGTTGGCAGAGCAGAAATCACTGCTAGTAAGGGGATTGGTGAGCATCGAGTCTGCTTTGTTGGTTTGTTTGCTCAGGATATGTATTTTTGACATTTTATTCAGCAGGATTTCGCGCAGATGAACCAGTATCTAACTGCAGAAACAAGAGATCAGCTTAACGAACTCGATCAAGCCCACTTTTACGACGCTCGAGAGGACATAACCGGTGATGGTAATAACATCAAAACTGAAGGCGATGATGGTAGCTTCTCGCTGGAGGACGGATTGTTGCGAGCCCCTCCGGCGATGAATCCTACGTGCGCAGCTCTATAGACTTGTTGCGGGGATGTACCAAATGTTTGGCGTTCCAAAAGCGTTTAATAGACTCATGATTTACCCAAAGTGAAATAGAACACTAGTCTTTTCTCCATCTATGTATTCAAGATGCCCGTTGAGTATAAGTCTAACCGGGTCTGTCTAGTGAGGAACTGATGGCAACTAGGAGTAAATACAACTCTTGGAAATCTATCTAGTGTACCTCCCCTTGATCGAGTAATCCTTTTTGGGTCCTTTGACTGTGTATTCTATGCTCCAGTTCTGCAAGTTGACAGCTTGAAATGCAAAATTATACTTGACATCATAATAGTCATCAATGCAAAGGTGTCCTGCCTTTGCAGACCACCCTTTCTCACGACCATTTTCTGGTTGTAAGAACTCAATCTCGTGAAATAAGTAGTCTGCTCGCTTAGGATCGCCAGGTTTGGCGAACCAGACGCTCAATGATTCCTCCTTCTCATTGTATCGCCAGACGTAACGTCTGCTTGCTCTAAAGCCGAATCCTTGCTCAGTCTTGAATTCTCCATCTTCAATGTATAGGTATTCCATGCCTCCCTCTTCATCGGGATCAGACGACCCTAAACTTTGCCTCGCGCACTGCAGGCCATCTGACGTCTTGTCTCTCAGGAGGAACCGGGCCGTGCCGCTAAAATGACCGCTCGGGTGTGTTGGCAGCTTGCTTGTTAGTTCTCTTTCGAGCTTCCACGTGCCTAGCAGACTTCGGAACACCGCACGTGGCATAAAACGGGGTGTTGTCAGGCCATCCCTAGCGACGTGTACAGTGTCTTGGCGCAACTTTTCCGCGTCTGCCTTTGCTGAAGCGTCGTCTGACGGTGATGGATACCTTGCGGGAGTGAGCATGTCCAAGGGAAGACTGTTATACGAGAGCGTGGGAATACCACTCAATGATGGATCTACTCTGGGTATTGAAAGTGCTTCGGAGAATTCCTGCATGAGGAAAGGATAGTCGCCCATCGGGAACTGCGAGAGTCGCGGGTCGTCTCGGAGGTCAAGCGTCCTTTGAATGGACTTGTCGGACTTTAGTTTCAACTCTAGTGCTTCAGGGCGTGCATCTATTGGCGTGGACCAGTATTGTGCCAAGAAACGGGCCTGCATTTGCATCACTCCCCAGTATGGAGATCTATAGAAGCCAACAAAGCCTAGTCCTGTAACATCTGGATGGTGAGTTCCATGGAATGCCAATGCAAGTGGCTGTTCCGTGTGCTGCGGAGAGTGGTTGAGTGTCTTCAAAATCTTGCTGGGCAGGTAGCTAACGCAGGGTGATGGATCAAAACCTGTTGCTAGCACTATCGCTACGACGTCGTCAATTTTCGTTCCATCATCAAGTTTGGCCGTGTTTCCGCTGATTGATTCGAACTTCCCATTGGACAGGGATATTAGTCCTGATCTCACGAAATCGCAATACCAGTCGCTGACTGCCAAGTAAGGTGGCTGAGTCTTCGTTGCATCGTCGACATAAAGGAGAGGCGAAAAGGCAGACTGGTCCGTCCCCAAAGCGTTTAGGAAGATGCCGTTCACGACTTGTGCAGTTTTTTCATCGATGTGACCCTGAGTATTGACCAAGGGAAGTGGCCGATTGTTTCGATTATAGGATGAGAAGTCAAGAGGCAGGAACGGCGCAGCAGCAGCTTTGGGCTGTGTCCAGTGTCAGCTCGGAGCAGCAAAAGAGTTGTCGAATGGGGGGCTTGCCTCGGCAGTTGTGTGTAAAGGAAAGACCCAGATTGGCCGTTGGATAATATGATGAATTGAGCACTGATCGATATCGGGTACTGAGAAATCATCGGGCGAGTTTGTGGCAGACGACAAATGCGACGCAATGGTTCCCGCAACCTCAACACCAGACATTTGACCCCCAACAACGAGAATCTTGCCCTTGGCAGAGCTACGGGTTCCAAAAAGATTCTTCAAGTCCCTATATTGGCTGCTATGAATGACTGGGATTGCCGCCGAAGGTGCAATTGACACCCCCTCCGGAGTAATGGGCTTGCCGAAATAGCCTGATGCAACAACCAGATGTTCGAAATGCTGTGTCTGCTCCCGGCCCCCGGACTCCAGTCGCACATCCCACCCACTGCCATCTCCATCCCCTCGCTCTGCTCGGACGACTCGTGTGTTGAGATGCAAGCTGAAATCCGGGTGTGAAGACAAGTACCGAGACGTGTACTGCTCCAAGTAGCGGCCAACTTGCCAGGCCAATGGCAGCTGGGGAGCGCCATCTTCCCAGGCATGATCGCTAAACTGCATGGTGTGTTTACTTTGGTTGGCTACCATCAAAGGGTGTACCTGGCGCTTCGTATCCGTCTTTGAGGTTGGCCATAGCCCGCCAATGCCTTCATGAGCGTCGAACACGGTGACTTTGAAGCAGCCCTTTGGGGCGTTGCACAGGAGGTTCTTGGCTGCAAGCAGACCAGACGGCCCAGCGCCTACGGCAAGACATCAGCTACAGATCTCATGCACAGCTCTCTCCATCTGGACTTGCCTACGATGCAGACTGATTTCGGCATCTTTTCGCGGGTTGCCTAGAGCCGGGTCCTAGCATAGGCCGCGAACTGAGTAATGTGATGAAATGCCGAGTTTCCTAGACGTCGTAAATCAGGATTCACCACTATCACCACCTGGTCCGGATGATTTCGCACCCCCAAAGCCTCTTGGTTATTGTTATCGCATTAACTATCTCGTTGCGTCCTGCTTTAAAAATGAAATGGGTCAAGGTCTTTTGGTTGGTGAGTGAGGTGAAAACCGCCAAGCCACGCCCGTGTTGGCAAATAGTGGCGTGAGTCTGCATGACAGTTGAGCTGGAGCTGACATAATCCATACCGTTTGCCTCGGATAGTTACATGACATTACCATGCAATGTGCTTGGGGTCAACCATAGTCAAGAAGACCTTTCGTCAGACACGTCTGTCTAGGCAGCAAGATCTTAGTGGATGCTGTACCCTGGCGTCGATAATGTTAAAAAAATCTGAGGTCTGGCAGAATGAAACTTCCGGGTTCCAGCCCCGGCCTCCCAGTGTCACCAGCGACCACGTCTGCCAGCAGCACCGAGTCTGGTGCATTGATTACATGTACCAGACCCATCGACTTCTGGTGATCTGTACCGAGAGTCAACCACGTCTGGTGCCTCCAGGTGCATGTCAACTACAATACTCCGTATGCATCTCGGAACTGCACCCTGGCCCGTCGCGACCTCCAAGGTCCAATTTTACGGCAAGCCTCACCGAGTCAGCATGGAGTGAAGTAGTCGGCCCATCGGGAACTTGAATCCAACCATCAAACACTTTTTTTTGAGCCTGCTGGGGCCTGCGCAGTGCCGTTTATGTTGACTCGTTGCAGCATCGTCACGGTAGTGTCAAGTCGGATTGCCCCGCGGGAAAGGTGAACTTTTACCAACATACTTTACATAGTACGAACATAGAGCAAAGGCCAAGCTTGACTTTCGATTCCTCCAGCTGCACCGCGGCACACCTGAACCACGGATTCGTCATAGCTCGCTATTTGGCCATTTTCTATTAGCATAGTTTGGCTTGCAGGAGCCCTCCCGCTCTCCCTACAAGAAACAAGGCAGTTGCAAATATATTGACGTCTTTGCTTTTTAGAATTCCACCCCAGATGCCGTGCCATGATCACGCGATGAATTTTTGAACCCGCGCGAGGAAACAGGTCACGTATAACTATGGACGCCCGGAGCTGAAAGAGCAAACCAAAAGCTGCCTGATGGATAGATCCCGAGCCAATTGTAAGTTACATAGTTGTCCCCGAGCAGCAATTCTCTCCTGCTTCAATATTTGTATTCTACGCCCCCACTGCTGACTGCGGCTGACCTCGACTCTGGCTGTAGGATGCACCTGCCACCGGCTACTTGAGTACCTGCCGAGACATGAAGCTGCCCTGGTGACATGCTCCTGAGGTCTGGTACTTTCGGGTCGCCGCACTTGAAGCCTCGCGACTTCCTCTATTTGCCATGCAAGCCCCCGTAGAGCGCAGCTTGAGAGCGGACTATTGATGCATGCTAGAGGATCTGCATCATTTCTCGCACCAGTTGACATCTTTTTTCTGGGTTGTACAAGTCCAGAACTGCTATAGACCCGGCTATACAAGCCTCCAATGCAATATCGGCACAACTCAAAGCTGTATGGGTGAGATACATGCGCCTTGTTCACCTACAGCCTCCGCGGTGACTTACCTAGGTATATATAAGAAGTTGAGGCTCAGCTCATCTGATGCCGACTTTCTTTACGAACCTGAAAGCTTTAACTAGTCACATTATATCTCCGTACGTTGACCTTAGTCAATACCTTGTTCCCTTTCATATCCGGCACTTCACCATCCTATCCCATTCTTCCACTGATGACCTATACAAGATGAAGAATCAAATTCTTTTTGCAGCCTCACTCCTTGGCTTGGGACTTGCAAGCCCTACAGAAGACAATCCGCCCTCTGCCAATCTAGATAAGCGATGCAACGGGTCCGGGTCATTCTGCAACAATGGCGTTCCCTGTTGCAGCGGCCTCTTCTGCAGCAGTTCCAGCGTCTGCCGAGGCTGCAACGGATCCGGCTCCTTTTGTAACAATGGCATTCCCTGTTGCAGCGGCCTCTTCTGCAGCAGCTCCAGCGTCTGCCGAGGCTGTAACGGATCCGGATCCTTCTGCAATAACGGTATCCCATGCTGTAGCGGACTCTATTGCAGCAGTTCCAGCGTCTGTCGAGGCTGTAACGCATCAGGTTCATTCTGCAACAATGGTGTCCCATGCTGTAGCGGACTCTATTGCAGCAGTTCTAGCGTCTGTCGAGGCTGTAACGCAGCAGGTTCATTCTGCAATAATGGTGTTCCTTGTTGCAGCGGTCTCTCTTGCAGCACTAGTGGCGTTTGTCGATAATCCCACATACAAACCACACCGCGATGAGTTCTGGTCATTATATGGCGTGATCTGGAGTACACGCATTAGCAGGAGGCTACATATGTAGGACGAATCGGAATAGGACTGTCAAGGTTCAATGCACGGCTTTGAAAAAAGCAGCCATCTAGCCAGAATGGGTCCCAAAGGAGATATTTATTGCGAGAAGTCATCGACGCCTCCCTTATTAGATTGAGTCAATGAATGGGATTAATTGCATCTTCGACGCAATCCATAGCTACCGTTAGTGAAAGCCGTCAATAAACTTTGCATCACACAAGTTGTATCAATACTGGTCGCTGATGCTCGGTTGTCGAATTTTAGGAGCAGGACAGAGAGTGCACCAGATGTCAATGGCCGTGTAGATAGCACCACAGCGTCGGCGTCCAAGTCAGCTAATGGTGAGAGGCACATCGTCGATATGCCTTTGACTTGCTTGTGAAAGAACCGGAGCGGCTGTTTTCGAACCCTCGAAATGATGGCGATAGTCGGCGCATGTGGAGGAATGACAATTCCTGGATTTTCCAGAGATTGGGCAAGAACATGCGCGGCTACTCCAACATGAGCACCAAGACGATCAATGGGAGGAAGTAGTCCACAGTGAGACAGGGGCCGTTCGCAAGAATCTTGGGCTGGAAGAGAAAAATGTCGAGCCATGGCCTCTACCCACAACTACCTGACCTGGGTAATAGTAGGAGGAGACATTGGAGTTCGTGGAAAACTGCAACTTTGTCAATAGTATTGGCCGCAAATTAAAATATCCGCCGATAAGGACTGGTTGTTCGGGCCGTTTGGAGTAGACTTGACCTTGCGACGGGTCACTCGAGGGGTCAACTGGTACGCCAGCCTATTCATGGCAAGGCAAGTTCACCTGAACCCCTTGTAGAACCGTGTACCAAGAACGCCTCTGAACTGAGGACATCACGCACGCACTGCACTCGACGGAGAAGAGGAGCAGAGCAGATAGATACTCAACTTGACTTTTTGAAGAACGAAAATAATGGCCCCCGATCGTCCCGGGGAAAGTCCAAATCTAAACTCCGTCTCAGCCATCTCACTCAGAAAATCACCCCCAACACCGGTCGCTCATGATTTCTTGCAACAGCCATACTATCCCCCAGCTCCTTAAACGGGGAACTCAACCCTATATCCCCTCCTCCTTCTCCCTCTCCAGTCTCCTCCGATTAGCCTCGGCCCACCACCCATTAATCTCACTCTCACCCTTCCATCGCCCCTGCTCATCAAGCTCCCCCCACGGCTTGGGACTCAAAATATAATGCACATTCTTCACCTCCGTGTCCCTCCAGATCGCACCATGCACATCCGCAGTTCTCATCGTCTTCAGAGCGTTATACACATATGGCAGCGGAACCCATCGACCCCTGTACAAATCCGCCAGCAAATCCTGATCCGGAAAAGCGTACGTTTCTCCATGAGCATCCATGTGTTCTATAATCTGTTCGAACAATACCTCGGACGGATTTATAACCAGCAGCCCGCTATTCAAGTCCCCTAGGCTGCGTGCCGGATCAGCGCCTTCCACCTGAGCCAGGTCCGGATTATCATGCTGGTGTGTAAACGCGCAGTTGGCGGGGATCCAGGTAGACGGGTAGTGAGGCTTTTTGAGCGGATTGCAGACACAGGCGTGTCCGCTCGCGAATACCCGCTTGCTCGTCTCGGAGCCGGACTCGCTGAGGGAGACGGGGTCGAGGGCCAGGTCCATGAGCTCGTCCATGTTTTTGAGAACGAGCATGTCAGAGTCGAGCTGGACTACACGCGAGAACTGGGTGAGCGAGAAGGCGATGAGCTTCGTCCAGCAGTCGTTGAAGCGCGCATCCTCGAGATACTTTTTGCCGGATCTAGGCGCGATATAGGGAACGGGGATCGATGGGATCCCACGGCGAGAGAGGGCAGCTATACATGAGGAGGGGAGGGAGGGTGTGTGGAGGGCAATGAGGGGATATGCGGATTTGACGGTGCGGAGGGAGTGGTTGAGGGTTAGGAGGCCTGGGAGGTAGGACTCGTTGGTGATGAGTGTGACCCAGGCTTCAGGAAGTTAGCATGACGAGGCGACGTGGTCGGTATAGCGAGGAGGGACATGCCTTTCTCTGAGTGTATGATAGGAGGCACCGCCATCATGGACGGTATGAAGTGGTTTTGGGAAGCGATGCCACGTCTCTTGAGGTGGACGGAGTAACGTGAGGAATATTGTCGTGAGGATTGACGTCGTGGGATGGGGGGCCCATATGGGGCCGGCTGGCGCCGAGTTGACTAAGACACTAGCACATAGGTGAGAGACAACAACGGACTGGATTTCATTGCACGGGGAGAGAACATCCCTGAGCGAAGAATTGATAGGTTATCGTGGCAGGTCACCATGCAATCACCGACAAGACCGCGAAATTGAGCCAATGGCATGGACATTTGAGCCATAGAAGACGACGCTATTAGAGTGCTTTGGGGCTGCAGGGGACGCGATGGGCAGCGCGCGATAGAAGCATGCAAAAAGACAACTTGCCAGGAAAGGCTTCATTTTAAACTACTATATTATTGATCTTACATAAATTGACGTATTTTGGAATTCACCCCAAATTACAATACAGGAGGAAAAGCTGGGGATTGCATTAATTTAAACCCGCCAGCATAAATAAAATAGCTCTGGCTTCTCGGAGGTGGAACCCAAGCTTCAAATGCTGTGGGTCCCACGGATACAGTGATCGGCGCCTAAAACTCTAAGCAAAAGCGGCAAGTACGGGTCCGCAAGGCTCATGTGTCTTCACATTCACCAGTACTGCCAGTAATGCGCATATGACGTCATCATTCCCAGCGGTGAAATGAGGGGGCCAAGCTGCATTTGTAATCGGTCAATACATCAATCTTCAGCCTGAAGCGTTTCCCGGTTGCCTTTACGGAGTACTCGTCTTCAATCTCCGTGCGACTGAGAACTGCTTGGATAGCTACACTCTCAAATAATCGTCTGTGCCATAATCTGCAAATCGGACCTGCAGTCATCAAAGCATAGCTCCGACTCTTTCGCTGCACCGTCATCGAACCCACGAACCATGGCCTCATCTCATCATGTCCTTCTCATCGGCGGCCACGGCAAGATTGCTCAGCTGCTCACGCCCTTGCTGCTCAAAAGATCATGGACCGTGACCAGCATGATCCGTACTCAGGAGCAGGCCCCTGCCATTGAGAAGCTCGGCAGTGGTTTGCCTGGCAAGCTCCACGTTCTGGTCAGCAGTGTGGGTGAAGTTTCTACACAAGAACGTGCCGCGGCCATTTTAAACAACGTTAAACCTGATTACGTCGCGTGGAGTGCCGGTACATCCCACCAGATACACAGATTTTTGCAATTGCGAGAGTAGTGACTGATCTCGAACAGGCGCCGGCGGCAAAGGCGGCCCCGAAATGGCATGTGAATCACAGCCACCTTGAACCTGGCCGTCGATTGCTAACATTTCACAGACCTTCAAGATAGATCGAGACGCGGCAGTCCATTTCATCCGCGCTGCCGCTGACATTCCCTCTATTAAACGATTCCTCCTCGTGTCGTACGGGGGTTCTCGGCGCGCAGGGGCTTCGTGGTGGCCAGAGGGCGAGTGGGACGAGTACAACAAGAAGGTCAACTACGGCGTGCTCGCGACCTACTACAAGGCCAAGATTGCTGCGGATGAAGTCCTCTACGAGACGTCCAAGAAGAGTTCTACTCTTGTTGGCATTTGCCTTCGACCAGCCACGCTTACTGACGAACCTGCTGGCAAGGTTGAGCTCGGCAAGACGGCTCATGTAAATGGCGATGCTAGCAGAGCTACAGTGGCGGCCACCGCAGATGCCTTACTCGCTGCAGACGGTGTCAAGAACACATGGCTTGATCTTCAGGGCGGCAGTGAAGACCTTGACGCGGCTGTAAAGAGATGCATCAAGGATGGAGTTGATACAGCCGAGGGAGAGGAAATTTTTACTTCCAGAATTTAATAATTGATTAAAAAAGGTCCGCAAAAATATTCCTATCTACAGACGTGGTTAAAACAAAATACAATACTCTGCCCAACATTTACTTTTCTTCTTTCCCTGAACGTGTCTTCAGCCAAGGATTGTTTTCTACCCATCAAACACGTCGCATAGTCTGTCGTCGGTGTGCGGCACTGGAATTAGATGCGCGATGGACTGGTGCGGCCATTCCAATCCTCAAGCCTGACAACCTCTCCAACACATTTACCACATCCGCAGCGCTTTGTTCCATGGCATTGGGACTCGTTGAATGAGTCATACGTTTCCACTGATGAGATGCCCAACCTGCTCTCCAGGCGAGTGCCCCGAGGGTACTCGCACACACCCCCATAACCGAGCCTTGCTTTGAGCGTCTTAGCCTCGGCCTGGACATCTGACCAACTGGTGGTGAAGAAGATGATGGCATTCCAAACACCCTGGAGGGGCAACACACAACCGCTTGCAATGCTGAGAGGATAGCTGACTTGCCCCCCGTTCCAAAGGCTGTAAATCCGATTAATCGAGCTAGGGATCCATGTAATCAGCACCGAGATGCCAAAAATGCCACTCGTCCGCAGATAAGCCATCTTGACGGGATCCAAACGCTTGAGCTTCATCGAGGCCGTGGATTTCAACGCCCCAAATTTCCCGACTAGCGCATTATTACTATTAGTGTATCGCCCCCCAGAAGAACAAGTCGTCTCAAACAGCTGTGTAGGTATAACCCTCTCGCTATCCGAGTCATTGTGGGAATCTAGCCATGATCGGCCGCACATTCGAGAGGGTATTCTGTGCACAGCTGTAGGGAGAACGGGGATATCATCGTCGATAAACCCGGGGAAGTTGGTCGTGACTTGGACTTCTGTGATTGCGAGTCCATAACAGACATTTTGTCTCGTAGGGTTCTGCTGAAGTTAGATCTGTCTCTCTCTCTCTCTCCTCGTGACTGATGTACCGTGTTCTTACCTCTTCTCCAGAAATCTTGTTTTCGCTATCCGTCAGAGATCCATTGCGCCAATTCCTAGTTGGGTTTTGGAACGTCACATTCCGCAGCTGGTTCCTGCTACGAAAAACATGGTATCCCACAGCGATGTAGATCAAAATAGAGAGGAGGATACAGATCCAAATGGGAATGTAGTACGCATAAAGACGAACAATGCTCCATTTGGGCCGGATCCAGCACCACAGCTTGAGCTCCTGTCAGAATAGCCTTCCAACATGCAGGTATATCTGGGATACTCACGGCTGCGTCGCCAAAGACTGGGCCTCGCTCTTCATCACGAATAGAAACAAGCACGATAGCAGGCAGCAGTGGCCCCCCGAAACAAACCACGCAATATATCCACTTGTATTCCTGAAACTTGCTCGGGTTGGCGTTATTAAAGAATACCAAGAAGACATTGAATGCCATTGCAAACGACCACCAGGGGTCGGCTTGCATGAACCTGCAATCCATTGTCAACAATGCATTTACAAAACCTTGGCCACTCCGCTTACCACTCGAATATGAACCCTTGGGCCTGACAAAGCGTCGACTCTTCGCCCATCCGAAGCCCGTCGTACCCTATCATGGAGGCCACGCTCGCGCCAGCGTTTGCCATGGACGCAAACACGAGAAACGTGTTTGGAGTGGTGCGGAGTTTCTTGAATGCCAGGAACGGAGCGACGGTGAGGAGGATGGCGGCCATAGATAGACCTGCCCCTGTTCGCTCAATGGTGATGAGGGTGTTGATGTGGTTTGTGCTAAGGGTCGATCCATCGTCGCTGCTCTCCATGGTGATGAAAGCTGGTTGCAGGTAATGGAAATGGTTAATTACGGGTTAGATGTGAGGTTTGCAAATGTAGAGAAAACTGTAGAATGGCAGAGGCAGATTTTGGCGTGGTTTTCTCATGATGAGATGGACCTTTTTCCACGCGTTGGACTGTCGGCTGGTCAAGATGATTTGCCAGCTGGCGAGAGTATAAACGGCCCATGGCAGTTGGCAGGTAGACAGGCATTATGAGTGAGATGGACAGAGATGGCTGTGAATTTTACTACATATTAGAGGGCCACTTTGGATGACATTGAGGTCTGTGCATAATGGTCAGTCATCGGCATGCAAACGGATGTTTGCTGGTAGAAAATGATTTCAGCGCAACAAGTGTTGGTGCCATGTCTGTTGATAAATTAACCATGATACAAATACTTGGCTATCCAGTATGCTATTTCATACCAGCCTACCCACTAGGTACGGTGCCTGACTAGGTACCTAGGTAGATGGACACTTGATATTCCACACAGAATAGGTGGTTATATACCTTGCAATGGATAAATACTTCTTGACAAGGCGGGTAGTCGTGCGTGGATATTCACAGTCTGCCGAGATAACTGCAGGCACTTACACGTCGGGACTAGTTGTGCGACCGTACGCGGAGCCGTCCGCACCCCCACACAAGTAGCCACAGCACCAACCACCCACCCCGACTCACGGGCCTCGCATAGCCGAGGTCTCCATTTTCCCCATACCAAGTTCATTCACTTATCAATCAGTGAAGAATCAACACCAACAACTCCTCGACAAGCCCATCAATCCTCCCCAGTTTCACAACCACAACCACAACCTCCAACCCTATCATGTCAGAAAACAATAAACCCTCACAGCTCACCCCTCTCGATCGGGTACTCAGTCCCGCCCTCAACCTCCACCCGCCCAACACACCACCAAGCCTCTACCCATCCGCCCTTTCACACTTCACCTCGATCCCCTGGTGCGCCGACCTCCTCCTGAGCGAAAACAGCCCCTACGGCACGGGCCCCTCAATTCCGTTCATCCCCCAATGCTTCAACCCCGTATCCCCCCAGCACGATCAGTTCGTCGGCGCAACGCTCGCCTCAGAAAGGGGCCTAAAGCACGTGCTGTCCTTCTTCCGCCCCGACGACGAGACGCACCTGCGGGATCCCGCACGGCCCATCACGCGCGTGGACACGCTGTTTGCCGTGGGCGACGGGCTAAGCGGCTACCACAACATCATCCACGGCGGCATGACCATGACCATGGTGGACGAGAGCATGGGGACCGTCAACGAGATCAACACGGCGCTGGGCAAGGACGGGCTCGTGCACAAGCTGAGCAGCGTGACGGCTTCCCTCGACATCAGGTTCCTGCAGCCGGTGCCCGTCCCGGGTGTGGTGTGGGTCACGTCCTGGACCGAGAATATCCAAGGGCGGAAAACGAGGATGAGGTGCGAGGTCAAGGACGGGCAGGGCGCGGTTCTGGCAAAGGCCGCCAGTACGTGGGTGGCTCTCAAGCCGAATTTATAAGGCGCCGCCAGGGCGGGCGCGTTGGCCGCTCAACATGGCAAGCAGATGAGAGCATTGGGTTTAGCATTGTCACATACATTAAACACGTGGTTACGGGCATGTGCGGCGAGGCTGATCTACAAAAAAAAAGTGGTATCACATTATACAGAAGCATATAGAATACTAGACCAAGGGGACCAACTCAAGCGCTGACAGGCACTCAAACTTGAGGCTTTCGGAAATTGCAAGCACATGACACCACCAACCACCACCACCCTTTTCAACAGCCAACCGGTAGATTTTCAAGCTTCCACTGCTTTGCCCTTATTCGAGGGTTCTGACCCTTTCAGGGCATCTTTTATCGTATGGGGGTTCTCTAGGAGGGCCAATGCAGCTTCTCGTTTACTCTTCTTCCCCGATTCAAAGGTTTCATCGCGATCATTCAGCTCGCTCTCTGCCGAGCTGATACTGCTCAGACTCCTGTTCATGACCAAATTAACCATATGGCCTTCCTTCTTCTTCGCGCTGCGCTGATCCTCCTTCAGCTTTTGGAGCTCCTCATCCTCACAGTGCAAAGTGACGACGCCCAAGTTGGGAAAGTTCTTCTCGAAAAATTCCTTGAGTTTGGGTAAAATTGACTTATCCGGTCGGTAGGTCCCAGAATCATTATCGATGAAAAGCTGGTAGTACGCCGGGTTGGCGGGCGGCGACTCATCGGGCGGGCCACCTGAGATGGGATCCTTTGGGTGTGTCTTCTCTGCGGGTTCGGGATCATCCGATGCGACGGGTCGTTCAAGCCGTCGAATGAAGAATTCTCCAGAGCAGGCAATGTACGTCTCTACGTTAGAGTGCATGGTATGCTTGCTCAGAAGGTCAATGCCGAATTCTTTGCCCGTCTCGGTGAACCGGAACAGGCCGTCCAGCGTAAGTACATAGGTAAACGTTCGGCCGCCTTCGTCAAAGTGGGCGAGTCTGAGAAAGGCTTGGGTCGCTTCTTCAGAGCATGGCTCGAATGAGCCCCATTCTGTGGACTGGTCGTAGTTGTACACGCGGTTATGTTGCTTGTGCAGCGCCATGTTGAGAATTTTGCCACGGATGCCCTTTGACGAGAACATGGAACTGATGATGGGTCTGAACTCAACATAGCGGTGGTACAGTTCAGGTGGTACGGGGCCCTGTAGTTGCATTTCGTTTGCTTGGAAGCTATAAAATCCATCAGAATCGCAATTTCTTTTGTCCATGAATGGGGACGCCTTTCGCTTACTCGTATTTTTGACTCTTCTTTTCCTCGGGTTGACCGGTGCTCGTGGCCTGACGAGATCCCCCTTCCTGGTCATGTTCCTCATCCTTGTTCACTTTTGTGCCTGTTATTCTCCCAATCATGGGACTAAAGTGCTTTGTCCACCTCGTTGGCCCAAGGGTACACATCTGGGCAAATGGAGGATCTGATTTGCCGAGGACTTCGATGCTGACGCAGAGTTTTGGGGTGAGATGAGTATCAGAACGCAACAAACTTGCGATTCCCTGAACAAACAAAGCTCGCTTGCTGATGACGCGTTTCTTGGCCGCATACTCCTTACCCGGTGGAGGAATTCCTTCCCACTGTTCAAATACTTGAGGCACTTCGATGGTCACGTTTCCCAGGCGGTCGTCATGGTCAGCGGCGTCCTCATCGTAGAGGCGACACTTGAGTTTAAATCCTGACGGAGGCACATTTGCGACCACCCACTCTTCGTTCCATTCCGGCTCTGTCGTCTTCCTAATGGTGCGAGTGCGATGGACGAGGTCAGGGTCCTCCTTGTGTCTCTTGGGGTTGGACGCCGTGAGGGTGGCGGTGAGAAACGGGTCAGAGGAGGCAGTACTAAAGTCGGCCGGTGGTAAGTTGGCAGCATAGCGAAAGGTAAATCGAATGGTATAGCCTTGAGGCGCGTCTGGCAGCGGTGTTGTGTCGAACCCCCCAGGAGGCTTCTTGCCCTTGATGGCCTTTTTCAGACCAGAGCCATTCGCTTGCAGTGATTTGGGTTTGAGTGTCGGCCCTGTTTCGTTTTCTCGAGGCTGTGAATGCTTGGTGTTGGAGGTGCCCTGGCCCGCGTTGTCGTCGGTTTCGTTGTCAGCGTCGTTGGCTGCCTTGGGTGAATTTGCGGCATCGGGCTTGGCCTGGGGACTCTGATCCGCGCCATTGGCTTGGTCTACAGGATCAGGTAGATTGGCGATGTCGGATTTCGTCTGCCCGGCACCGTTGACACCGTTGACACCGTTGGTATCGGGTGTAGCCGATGGGCTTGGGGCAATGGTGGCCATTTGGCAGTGTTGAAGCTTGGGCCCAAAAGCCAAGCCAGGCCGCTCCTCTAATCTAGTGACAAATTTTTGTTGAGCTTAGTTATGCGTGTTGCAGTGTTGCGCGTTGATTAATGAAGTTTCAAAGGCCAGACAGAGTATGCGCTTGCTTGCCGGCCTTATATTTATGTATGCTGGAACATGGATGTTTGGAATATTTGTTGTGCTTCTGTTTTTAGTCTCAGGCGCCACAAGGAGAGTCAATGTTCAAGGAATGCGACCTGTCAACAGCTCCAAGTTCAGGATAACGAGTTCAGGACAATGGTCTCAGGCGACGGATTAGGGAACAAAGAAGATTAGGCGTCGGAGAGTCAGGGCTGAGAAGAAAAGGAGCCGGCGTTGTAACAAAGCCAACAAGAGGGCATCCTCGCCATGGCCGTCCGAACTCCGTCTCGGCCATCATCCGCGAATATTTCTCCGACAAGATTGCGAGACTGGACTGTCGCAAAGCGCGAAGTCAATATGTGACGTCAAGTGGCACCCTTGGAGGTGCCGGGATGCCGGGATCAGCGCCCCAAACGCCCCAAACAGGGCACCAGGCCGTTTATCGACTCTTGACAACAGGCCTGCGAACATCAAGCCTCTCGGGGAGCTTGAGTCAAGGTTTGAGGCTGGTAGCGGAGCAAGCACTGGGCAATGTGAGCGGTCCAGATTCCTTTTCTGACATTGACGAGGATGGCTACCGAATATTCCGAGCGGAAGTTGACCAGAATCATAAGCAAGTGCACGGGTCGTTCCTTACAGGTCAACTATTATTTCCCAGTGAGAGTCAATAGTGGGTGCAGGTAGGTACCTAGGTACATAGGCTGGCCCGAATACGAGGTGGCTGGGAAAGGGCACTGGGTCAACTGGACGCTTCCCTGCCGTCGGTGAAAAGCCGTCCGGTCAATGAAGTCTGGTCAACTGCCAAATTGCATCAAACACTACGCAGTACCAGCTTTTTTATTTCGCTTTTGCCATGTTAAAAATCATCAATTGAGCCTCATTTTCCGACGCACCACCCCGTCTTCTTCTTACAAGTACATCTTCTCAAAGCCAATAACCTCCCACTTACCGGTATTCGTATTCAGCGTCAAGTTGCTATGTTTGACCTGGCCGTCTCTCAGCGCCCCCGACTCGACCTTCCCACCAGCAATCGGACGCTCCAGGTGATTCCCGCCCGCAACAATGCTAAAGTTGGCCAGGGGAATATCCCAGCCGTTTCTGGTCGCGACGGTAGGGCAGCCTAAGCACGTAATCACGTTTGATATATTAGTCCTCCAGCTCTCCGTTGTTGGGCAGCAAGATCATCAACCCCGAGGCTCACCGTAGTACTGCGCAGTCGCCTTGTCAGGCGTAATCGTCAACTCAAAGTATCCACGGTAATAGCCTTCCTGCCACCCAAGCTCCTCGTTGCGCTTCACCAGGCTTCGAGCACTGTCACCGGCAATAGGCTCGATAGGTCCATCTTGACCACTGGAGCTGACGGCCGTGCCGGCGAGTTCTACGCCAATGGCTCCGTTTCCGGTGGCCTTGTCGTACGGCTTGTTTCCAAGCCAGGCGAGATCAGACGCCTACTATCATCATCAGCAGCAGCAGCAGCAGCTTCACTCGTTCCTGTCCCGATATTTGTTATTTACGTACCCAGTTCTGGTGAGAGTCTCCCGCCAGGAAGATGTTGTTGTCAATCTCGTTGTCGTACATGTGTCGCAGGGTCCTATTGCGGTTGGCAATGTAGCCCTAATATAATACGCCGTCAGCTGTATTATCAACCTACAAATCTGATGGCATATCACTGTAGGCTCGACTTACGTCCCAGGCGTCGCCATTTAGACCCCGGTTGTCGTTCTGCAGGATGCGCGAGAAAACAATCTGGTTACCAATAATGCGCCATGTGGCACCTCGCTCCTTGGACTGACTGAGAGACCGGTAAAACCAGTTTTCCTGACGTGCTCCCATCAACGAGCGGCTCGGGTCATCTGCAATCTCGCTAATGTAGTGTTTGTTCCAGTCTCCAGTTGATCAGTGTGTTGATTCATAACTGGGCCTTTTTCAGCGTACTTACAAAGGTCGGTGATGCTCCGGTCATAGTTTCGGGTGTCGAGGATTATGAGATCCATCAGCTTTCCCATCTGGAAGGATCGCCAAACCCGCAGACCGTCGTCGACGTCGGTTTGACTATGTACACAACAATCAGTCATTCCCAGCTATCACATTGACAGGAAATCTGGCAGGAGAAAAAAATAGTACCGAATTGGCATCCACTCGAAATAGGCGCGAACAGCATGTACTTTGCGGGTATCGACAGTAACTTTGGTACCAGACTTGAGGAATGAGTCCTCAGTGTTATTAAGACCACTGAAGCCATCCCTGTAGCCATTATCTGCAAACTCTGTATCTGACATCAGCATACGGTCTCTCATGCCATGCCACCCGATTCAATTTACCGTGGTCATCCCACGTAGTGATCCAGGGGGAGTTCTTAGACAAGAGTTGCAAATCGGCATCGCTTCGATACTGTCCTCGTGTGAGTAATCAAAATCATGACAAGAACACAGCAATGACAAACCAGCCCGTGGCGAGTCCTATAGTCCCCTAGAGTCCAAATGGTTCCAGAGGGTTTGGTAGCACGCTCACCACCCCTTCCAGTCTCATAAAGGTAGTCACCAAGGTGGATGGCATAGTCGTGCTTATCCTTCCTTGCGGCATTGCCATAAGCGTTGAAATAGCCATTAGCTGCAGACATTGTCAGCCCTCGATCCATCTTCAGTCCAAGGCAGTGGAGCCAGTCCATCACTCACGAAAGTTGCTGCAAGAAAACACTGCAAAGCTCAACTTGGAAACAGCATCGTCCCTGGCAGGCGCAGTCTTGGTACGGCCAACGGGACTCTTGTTGGAAGATGCGCAAACGTTAAACTGATAAAAGTACGTGGTCAAGGGTTTGAGCCCCTTGGCCTCGACCTATATGACACAACCACAATCAGCACTTTTCTCCGACCACACCGCTGACGAAGCTTTCCTACCTTGACGGTATAATCAATGTCTGAGGTCGTGTATGCCTTGCCGCTAGCCACAACCTTCTGGCTGGTGCTATTCGCGCGCTTGCTTTGAAACACCTTCCACTCGACGCAGATGGGGTTAGCATCAGCCTTGATATACTTGTCCGTCTCATGGCTCCAGAGAGGAGCCGTTCCATTGACAGTTGCCTCGCTCTTGTCAGACTCGTTTCGAGGGGCAACACGGGTCCAGAGGATGACACTCTCGGGCCACGGGTCGCCAGAGGCAATGCCATGGGTGAAGTGCAACTGCGACGGCTCATGGGCCACGTTGCCGCGCTTCCATGACCGACGCTCGACAAGGCCAACGTCAATGCCCAGGCTCTCATGGCGCCTAGACGGGCTGTCGTAGTTGACGTTGCCGTCGAAGCTGGCAGTAGCCGTGCCGGCCAGGAGGCTGGTTACGCAAAGCAAGAACTGAGGCCTCATTTTTCTTCTTCTTATGTCTTCGAGTTTTACAGCCAGATATGTGCCTTGAGACACTCTCCTCCATGGCCATGTCTATTGCCACGAGGAAGAGCAGCATAGTTATATCTGGATTCTGGTCCAATTCCCTCTTCACAACCCCCTATCAACCAGAATCACCATCTCATCTCCTCCATGCATTCTCCCCGCAACCTCGTCCTACATTGGCCGGCTGCATCGTCCAACAGAATGCCCCGGATACATACACGTTTCCGCGTAATTTCCACGTATTTCGAAACCGCACGCGTCGGTCTGTCTCTAGCACACGCGACCTCAGATCACTCCTCCTCTCCCGGCAGGACCAGAGGACTCAGGGGACGGCTCGGTCTACAAATGTAGATTGTTCGAGCGGGGGTTGGTCTACGGCATCAGCCCGCGGTTGTACCATGGCGCCTTCAATATCGGCAAGATTCGAGAAATGATCGGCAGGAACATGCCCAACGTGCACATCGCTTTATCCCCAATTGGCCACGGACCTCGGAGGGAAAGGCCATGGATTTGGCCATCAACCTCGCGAGTCCATGTCCGGTTTAGTCTTGCAGGCTTTCCCATCACAGACACTAGCCAGTGCGGAGAGCTGCGGACAAGACAATTGCCCGCGTCCTATTTCCAGGATCTTGTTTGCGTGTTCTTGGCAAGTTCAACATCCACCTCGTAATTGGTAATTCAAGTCACTGCCATTGGCCTGCTCCAGTCGGTGCGGGCTCGTCGGCAAAACATATGCAAGTAAGCACGTGGGGCCGGTTGTTAAGTCTAATTGTTGAGTTATTCCAACGTTCTGCCATGTCCCAACTTCTGCAACGTCGAGGTCACGGGCGAATCACCCTCCGGCTGATTATCTCCCATGCACAATATGACGCGTGGGCTGTTCTCGTGCAAGGCAAAGGGTGGCAGAGTTTTGAGCACGTGGTTTTGACCTGAACCAGGTTCTTCGTCACGGACAGATGCGACGCCCTTGCGAGTCACAATCTAGGCCATAGGCACAGAGCTACATGAGTCAAATTCCTTGCTGGCTCCGTATACTGGCTACTACGTCGCATGTGTCTACTTGGTCAAGGTAGACATACATGGCCGTAGTGAGTGTTTTTCAGAAGCCAAAGTAAACTAATGTTGAGTTTGCTAGCACGAACAGCATAGTATAAGAGAACTCATCGAACCGGTACGGTAGAAGCTATTTCAAATAATCTATTCAACTTCTTTGGAACTGTAAATATATCTTCAACTTGGTTAGACCTCGTGAGTATAGGAACCGATCGCCGTCCCTGAAGTCATGTCAACCGTGCTGACAATTGTAACGAGCCGCATTAGGGGCTAACACATCGTATGCAGTACCAAGTAGAGGGCAGGCAACCTTCCGACTATACGCCGGATCGAACGCTGGACGGGCTCTTCAGACATTTTGCAATTGTCGGCGAGCGTGCTTCGGCCGCCGGCTCTCGTGCATCTGACTTGACGCTAGTCTTGACTCTCTTCTTGCTCTGTTGTGTGCTCTTATCATTGCTCGTATCTAACAATGGTGATTCTTTTCCCCTGGCTAGTCTTTTACATCGGGTAGGCGTTACAAATACACATCTCGACTTTCCCCTTCCACCGCTAGCGGTACGGGGTAAGTTAACGTCATGACTTCGTGTTGGCGTCGATATTCGTTTGGCAGGGACTGACTTTGGCGCTGTGATATTGTCAACTCCTTCTTTGGGAGATGTTGGACCAACTGCCAGCTGTTCCACAAACCCTCTCGAATTCAAAATTGCTGGCTTTCGGGCTAGATCCGATATAGGGTGTAGATTCTGGGGAGCGCCCTGGGCAAGCTGATATTTCTTGCCAGAGATCTGCTTCACCGGGCCGTAATTTATAGCATGCTTGAGCAAGTCTCGCTTCTCTGAGTCGCTACACAGTGGACTCCTGAAAATGTCCCCAGAGAATGTGATCGGGTCTTCTAAATCCAAAACGCGTTCGAGAATGGCCTGTGCAGCCGTGTCGCTGCCGGGCTTCAGGTCGGTTTCCATAACGAAGTCGGGATATATGGCGCTCTGTCGTAGGACATATCTTTGACGTGCTTTAATTAAAGCCGTAATAAGGTTCCTAGTGTTCATGGGCCGAATATGGATGTTTGAGTTCCTTCTACCCAGCGTGGTCACGTCGTTCCAGAAACGCAATGGGCCAAAGTCATGCAACATATGCCACTTCCGGCTACATGCTACAAGGGTTCTAAGGATGAAGTTGGTTACATCCAAAGTGATGTTATTTCCTGCATTTTCAGGACACAATTCTTGTATAAGGGCCTTGTCCTCGTGCTTGCTCCCCAGAATGGTGTCACCGGCGGCGAAGTAGAAGCCATGGAGTCTTGAGAGAATACGATCCTCTATTTCGAGCCGCAGCGACCAGGTGTTGCGATCATGGTCTCTAAACGGATCATTCATCTGGGAGTTCTAATAATACTTGTAAGATACTGAGGTATGCGGATACAGAAAGTGGTGTGATTGTCTTGATGCATACCTGGGATTCCACAAGTCCCGCACGACTTGGAGCAAATCGAGGAACCGGGCGTGACGCAAAATCTATTTGCTATGGGGAGGGTTTGATGGTAAATTTGATTCGATTTCTAGTCTTGTTTTATAAAGAATCAACTACAATGTGTTGCCGGCACCGGTAAACATATAGCTTGCCAGCTGGGGTTGGCACCTGGTTGGCACCTGCCACCTGATGCCAGCATTTTAGCTGTCCGACACGACTGTCCGTTGGACGAGACCAATATTCTACGACTGGCAAAAATGAGGTAGTTGGAATCAAGTACTACTTCGCCAATTCAACAGCCACTACCTAACTGGGCAGGCGCCCGACGCATTCATACAATATCGGGGAATAGCCTGAGAGTGTTGCATCTTGTCGCGTCCAAGTTCACCACTCACTCCTTCAATACCTTCTCCAAAAGAGGTAAGACCTTTCTCAAAACATCAGGGTCTCCAAGCGAAAACCTCAGATACCCCCTAGAGTCGTTCGTTCCTTCATCCGGAAACAAAACGAACACGGAACTGCTAACAAGCTCGGCTCCTTGACAACCAGAAGTCCAAACTCAAAGTGGTCAACAGCCTCCCCGTTGTTGCCGAGAATCTGTATGAATCCCGTGCCTCCGCCTTGAGGCTTGCATGTGGTGCGTCGGCACAGTTTGTTACGCCGTATACATTCGTCAAGCAGAGCAATGCTTTCCCTACACAAAGCCAGATGATGCTTAAAAAGGTTCCGACGCACCTCGGGACCAAGGGCGTATGCCGCGACTCCATCGTCCAGTCGTGAGACAGAGATGGTGGTGTAATCCCTTGCTATGAGTATTTTGCGCAGAAGGGCAGCGTTTCTGGATATCACCCATCCTGCTCGCACCCCAGGAAGTCCCCATGCCTTCGACAGAGGGCCTATCGAGATGGAATTCTCATATCCCAGCGACTCAACTGGTGGCGGTGTTGGATCGTCCGTACGGAAAAGGGGGGTCAAGACCTCGTCGCAGAAGATGGCAATGTTGAATCGTTTGGCTAACGCCACAACCTCCTCAAGGAAAGATCTGGGGGGGGTTGGGGTTGGGGTTGGGGTTGTTTCAATTTGGTTGTTTGGTCTGCTTGGCACCTCGGGCGTCGAGTGAAGCTCGGCAATGCACATACGCAACTTGGCCGAGCCTTCAAAGGGGCCATAATCGAGCTTGAGATCAGGGTCAATAGCGTCAGCGCGGAGAGTGGCTGATAGCTGGCGTAATTCAGCAATCGAGAGAGCCTTTGCACAAGAATATACACCTTGTCAAAATGAATGGAACAATCGAAGGTTTCCCTAGGCAACACACCGTGAAGAGTAACCTGGCACTTTGGCTGCAATTTGTCAGAGGTTTGCTTCAAACTTGACATCAGTCGTCAGATATCAAACACATACACCTTTCTCACGGACTAAGAGTATATCGGCTGCTGTTTGATGTCTACCAGATTGGAAGAGGGCTTACTCCAATTATCAAGAGGGAAGTCATTGATTCTCTACATTGTATAAGTACCCGCTTAGGTAGAGAAGTGGCGATGACTTTGAAGTTGGTGGGATCTCAAAAGACAGACAGACTGCGTAATTGACGCGATAGAACTCATGTTATATGTTAATATCCGGCTCAAGTCACCACGCACGCCGCTCCGATACTGGAGTAATGAACATGTCGAAATTGTCCTCCAGGGTTCCACGTCTTATAACACGTTACAGCCGTCACCTCGGGATACTGAGCAGGAAGCAGAAGCAGGGCCAAACAATGAGTATCGACACCCAAATTCTTCTCAACGTTCAAGCGTGCTTTTATAAGGTATTTGAAGGGTCGGTAGTTCAGAACAAGTTGTCTGCTAGACCAAGGTACATCCGCCTGAAAACTTCAGGGTAAAAGGGTTGAAGGGTCAAAGTGGGGCGCGACTTGTAGTAGAGCCTCGTGGTTTCGCTTCAGGGTCCCAAGACTCCCAACCCATGTTTGTCATAGATCGATCCCTCCTTCATACACAAAAAGTCGCACCAGAGTCGTGGCGACGGGACCTGCCGAACGGATCTGGTGACTGGTCACAAACGGGTTTGGTGTTTTTGCCCTGTCATGCGCCGGCCGAGAGACGACTCTGAAGATGACGAGATTCCGCTGCACCACAAGAAGCCCTTTGGATCTGGGTTGAAGCGCAACAAGATCGAGTTTGTGCGCGCCACGGAATCAGACGACGGCACAGCAGCCGTCTCAAAGCCCCGAGTAGCGACTGCCATTGGCGACTTGTATGCGAGCATAGTTTTGGGCGATGGTCAAGTCAACTCTGTTTCTGCGCCGGCAACGACAACAGCCAGCCCCCAACCAGACGTATGCCCAGTCTGCTCTCTTCCCATCACCACGTCATTGAAGGAACATGAAGCATCACTGGCTCATCAAGTAAGCATGCCTCACTCACATCCACCGTCGGCACTGGACCGGTCACGAATGGGCTTGCGAGCCCTGAAGTCCCAAGGATGGGACCCGGATGCGCGACGTGGTTTGGGCGCGGAAGGCGAGGGAGTGCGATATCCCATCAAGACAAAGGCCAAGGATGATAACCTGGGCATCGGTGCGGCCGAATTACTCGAGAGGCAGAAACAGGAGGCCAGGGAGCCACCGCCCCGCAAGTTGACGGGCAAGGAACTGAAGCAGGCTATGGCAAAGGAGAAACAAAGGGCGGAGCGGCTTCAGGCAGAAATCTATGGCAGAGTTGACGTGGAGAGTTATCTGCGACGGCAAATGGACGATGAATGAAGGCATGGTACGGAGTACTCCGTACGTCGTCGACAACGAAGTTGAGAGCAGGAAAAGAGCTGGGTCGTTTGTACTGGTATTATAAGTACATACTACGGAGTACTTGTGTCAATATTATTGTATGCAGAGGATAATTTTAGCTGGAGAGACAGAATGCATGTCCAGACAGGGCGTCATTCGAGTTGGCACGACTTGTCTGTGGATGCTTCCCGAGTCGACGTGCTTGGACGTGCTTTACCAATTCAGTTGCTATTGTCCGTGAAGCTAGCTGATCAATGACGGACGACTCACCGGCAGCCTTGACTCACGGGTGCCACCGGCGCCATGCTAAAGTAGGCACCGAGTCTTGTCAAGCATGCGGCCGCATGCACAAGCTCAAGGTCCGAGTTCCCGGTGCGTCTCAGGAAAAGGCTCGACTTGGCTGCTTGGTGCTTTGGTGCTTGGTGCTTGCATGTCGTGGGGCCTTGTTCCAGGCCGGCATCCTGCGACAACCACTTGACCGTCTGGTGAAATGGAACCAGACTCGACCAGACTCTCTCACCTGGTCCTTCATCCTCGGCCCTTGAGTCCTTGACAACCCCGCCAAAACACCAAAGCGCCACCACACCGTCTCTGCTAGACCAGCTCTTGCCTCCAACCTTCGCCATTTCGCATACGGACCGGCGACAGAACCACTCGTCCCCCTTGGCTGCACATAGCTGTGACCTACACCGACATCAACATCTTCATCGCTCTCTCGCCCCGCCATCCAGTCTCCTTCCCACCAGACCGTCCTTCCTCGAGCAACCCCCCCGTCTGAGCTGTCCGCGACGAGAGCAGAGGAGCTCTCCTGCTGCCCACCATGGGGTTCTCGGCGACCCAGGAGCATCATGATGGTATGGAATAGGCCGGTTGCGCTGAAGCTGCTTCGACTTGGATTGCGACTAATGCCCGTGCCGCAGCCATCCTGCAAGAGATCCAGAATCGTACCCAAGCAGACGTAAGCCCCGGGACTGCCCCCTTCCCCCCCCCTCTGCGTACTCGACAACAGCACGCGCGCTAATGTATGGCGATTCGAACAGTGGAAATATCTCATTGTCGACGAGGCCTCGAAGAAACTCATTTACAACTCTGTCAAAGAGGATGATATTCTCAGTAGTTCTATAGCCAGTCAGTTTAGCCAAGCCCCCGATCTGTCAACCAGCGCATCCGCCAACTAACCTCGGCAGCCATCGAACGGATCGAGGAGCGGCGAGAGCCGAACCCTGGCATGGAGGCCATCTATTTTCTTACCCCGGAGCCGCACATTGTTGATTGTCTCCTTGCCGACTTCGACAGGAGGCTGTACGGACGAGCATTCTTGATATGGACAAGCTTGTTGGATCCTAAGCTGAGCCGCAAGATTAACGAGTTTCCTGGCGTCGGGAGCCTGATGGTGCAGCCGCAACAACAAAGACCAGGATCAAGACCTGTAGCAAACCCCAAAACCCTCCTTATCGACTTTTATCCTCGCGAATCGCACCTCGTTTCATTTAAAGATCCCTGGAGCTTTCCCATTCTTTATCATCCCGCTTGCAACAACCTGATTCCAAAGCACATGCGAATACTGGCGCAAAGGGTAATAATATTCCATGTTTCCATCTCCTTTTGATCTGTCATCACAATTGCTGAGGCCGCTAGATTGCTGGTGTCTGCATTACTCTAGGAGAATATCCCAAGGTCCGATATTACCGACCGACCGCCGCGTTTCACGAAGCTTCGGTGCTTTCTTCTCACCTGGCTAGATTTGTACAAGAAGAACTAGACGTTTACGCTGAGTGGCACAAGAACGAATACCCGCCCCCGTCGAACCGACCGCCCTCAACACTCATAATTACCGATCGCTCAATGGATCTTATGGCACCATTGCTGCACGAATTCACCTACCAAGCCATGGCGCACGACCTGTTACCCATCAAAGATGGTGACAAGGTGACGTTTCACACCACAGTAAACGCCGGCACCAAGGACGAGAAAGAGGAGGACGTGGAACTTTGCGATGATGATAAGATTTGGGTCGACAGTCGACATAGGCACATGAAAGATACCATTGACAAGCTCATGGGTGATTTTCAAAAGTTCATCGACGAGAATCCCCACTTCACCAAAGACACAGAGAACGGAGGCGCTCCGACTCTCAACACCATGAGAGAAATGGTTGCAGGTCTCCCGCAATTTCAACAAATGAAATCTGCATATGCACTACACCTCAACATGGCCCAAGAATGCATGAACGCGTTCCAGAACCACAAACTTCCAGATCTAGCATCCGCCGAGCAAACAATGTCAACGGGCTTAGACGAGGACTACAGGAAGCCCAAGAATATTCTTGAAACGGTTGTGGGTTTATTAGATGACGAGGCAGTACTGCCAGCCGATCGCCTGCGTCTGATCGTAATATATATCCTTTACAGAGGCGGGGTCATTACAGAAGACGTCAAAAAACTGCTCCTTCATGCAGCTTTACCGCCCCAAGATGGTGAAGTCATTACCAATATGGAGTTCCTGGGAGGCAAAACATCATATACCCTTAAGGAGCCGCGACAGCAGCCCCCGCCCTTGTTTCCCAAGGATCCCAAGGCCTTTCAACCAAACGAAGACTATGCCCTTTCTCGATTCGACCCGGTCCTCAAGCCCGTGCTCGATGAGCTCACCAAGGGAACGCTGGACCAAACCATTTTCCCTTACGTCAAACCACCCTCAGACCCAAATGAAGACCTCCTTGCAGCACAGGGCGGGTCTCTCCGTGCCGGGCGACCAAACTGGGCCGCTGCAGGCCGCCGACCGCCCGAAAACCGCCAAAGGATCATCGTCTTCATGGCCGGCGGCGCCACGTACTCGGAAAGCCGCGTCTGCTACGAAGTCGGCCGCGAAAAGAGCCGCGACATCGTCCTCGCCACCTCTCACATGCTAACCCCCAAGCTCTTTATCCGCCAAGTCGCCGACCTAAGCCGCGACAAGCGCCAACTCGATATACCCATGGAACGACCCAAGCCCCGTGCCCCAGCTCACTTGTTTGAACGTCCACCCCCACCGCCGAGCCAGCAGCTCAACCCCGGCGCCGGTCCTAGGATGGCTGGCAATCCAGGACGAGCACCACCACCACCAACTGGTGGCCTCCCGGGTCGCCCAGTCGTGCCCCCTGGAGGAGCACCCTTGCCTCCCGTACCGCCGCCCGCACCGCCCGTGTCCTCCATGTCCAACCTCAATCTAAACTCCAATGGCGCTCCTCCCGCCAAGCTGCAGGGGAAGCCACCCAAAGAGAAGAAAAAGAGAAACTTCCTGGGCATGAAGAAGTAGGATTCTTTGCGGAGAAGAAGGTTCGATCACAGAACTGGCTCCCATCACGGGAATAGCTAGACGAACGCAATTGGATTGTACATGGATATCTGTTGGACAGACATGTATGACTGGCGCCAGGGTAGTGCCTGCATGGGACGATTGTAGTAGTGCGCGTACAAGTACAATAGGATAATTGCCGTAATTGAAATGGCGAAGAATGATATTTGCCTACATATACTCCAACACTCCCAAACATATATACATATACCTTGCTTGAGAAGGGCGCCAATACCACACTTTGCATTTACTGAGGCGTTGCCAGTGATCATAACTAAGCATGTACACCACGGCCACGGGCTGTTTCCACCCAATGGGCGAAATGGAGGGCAGAAACGAAACATGGAAAACGCCCATCGCGTCAAGATGCCAATTCCCAAGCTTGTCCACCCGGGCTCGCACCAAAAACCATTCACATTCGCGACACCAGGCACAGGTTTCCCAATTCTGCATTTCATGGCTGCCAACTACACGCCAACTACACGCCAACTACCGAATACTAGTGAATGCCAGCACATTCACACCATCCTATTCCCATAATCCATACCAACCCTCACCACCCGTGCTTTGTGCCCCCCCCTATTCACAAACCCCCGAGAGAAAACCAGTCAGCCGATTTACACAACTCCATGCCCTTGTCGCCATTTTTACACATAATCATAAAAAAGCTAGTGATTTGTTTCTTTGCTAGAGATAATCCTCCAAGGCTGTTTCAGAGCTTCTCGCCCCGAGCAGTTAAAAAAAACGTAGGACAATTGGAAAAAAAAAAAGATGTGAATTTGGCGGGAGGGCCACACGGCCTACTAAACGCTACCATTAGAGCTATTGTTTTGCAGTGATGTAGTCTGGACCTCCGTTGCAATTCATCGCCAATAAGATTTGACATACAAACACGTTGTGAACAGCGCGAAAACAAGCTCCAAGCGCAGCGTGGCGGATCACGGAACAATAGTTGAGGATTTCGTCTTGTGCAGTGGTCTATGGGCGGCCATAAGCGGCGCCTCGACCGTTGTTGCCCGCAGAGGGAGGCATTCCTCGAGTTTCGAACGGAGGGCCACCGAATCCCTCGGGTCCGGGAGGAGGTCCGTTAAACCCGCCTAATCCAGGCGGCAAGAAGCCATGCGGCGGCGGACCGCTGAAAAATCCAGGAGGAGGCGGCGGCATATTCCTCGGAGGCATTCCACCCATTGCCTCTGGTGGTGGAGGGGGCATTGCACCAGGTGGAAAGTTGGGGGGAAACATTGGAGGCATGGGCATGTTGCGATTGGGACCGCCAGGGCCACCAAGACCACCAGCAAGCCCAGGAGGTGGAAGCATTGGACCTCCTCTCTGTTGGGGAGGTGGCATCTGTGCAGCACCAGCCATCCAATTTGGCGGCATCTGATCCAGTCCGGGTGGCGGGGGTCTCTGTAGGATCTGGGTTGGCTGAGCTTGTCGCGACTCCCGCTCAAGGCCATGGAACGACTCATCCATAGGAAACCCTGGAGGAGGCTGTGGACGCAATGCTCTCTCGTTGTTTCGGTTCTCCCGTCCGGGGAACTCCTGTTCTCGGTCGTTAAAAGGAGGCAACGGCGAATGCTTTTGAATTTGAGGTTGAGATTGGGAGGCAACACGCCCCTGATCAGGTCGATGAGCGTCTGGTGCCATCCTCATCAAATTCATCAGGAACTCCGTGTTGCTGTTGTTGCGAGCGGCATTTGGCTCAGCTCGATTGGCAGACCCTTGGCTGGAAACACGCTGATGGTGTCCAGCCAGATCTTGAAGAAGCTGCTCAGGCCGAGCAGACTGCTGTGGACGCGGGGCAAGAATCTCCTGGTGAGGCTGTTGGGATGGCGGGCGGCCAAGAGAGGTGTCTCTAGGACCAGCCCCATATTGGTGTAGAGGTTCCGGAGAGCCCATGGAGTTCTTGTTACCCAAGGGCTTGCTCTGGGGAGGAGCCGCAAAGGGAGAAGGGCCAGGCGGAGTGGCGCTCACAGATTGCTTTTGTAGCTTTGCAAGCAAAGACTGGAAGGCTTGTCGCTCTTCATCTGGAGCACCAGAATGTGCTGCTTCCTGACTTGGTACAGAGCCGAGAAGCGCAGCAAGTACACCAGGAGGAACAGGGGCCGATCCAGCGGTTGAACCTGGTCCGTTTACAGGAGGCCCTGCCAGTGGCGTCGACACTTCTGTTCGAGGTCGAGAGTCCCCTTGAGGCTGCGAGAAGAACGAAGTAAATCGAGAGGACTTCCCGCTGGTTTTTGACTTGGAGGATGCCGAGTCCTTTGGTTCGCTTGGCGAGGTCACGTCTGTGCTAGCGCTTGTTCCACCAAAGGCCAGGAAGAACTTGTCCGGACCGGTCTCAACCGGGGCAACAGGCAGGGAGGTTTTGGGAGGCTCAGCAGGAGTATCCGTTGCCTTGGCACTGGAGGATGATCCGCTCTTAGCTTTCTTCATCTGTTCCATCCACTTTTGGAAATCCTGCTGCGTGTGTGCCTCTCGAGCATCGGCTGGCTCGTCAAGCCATTCAGGATCACGTTCGTTTCGCTGATCTCGGTCACGACCCCAGCGACGGTCATTGTTTCGACCGGCACCGCGGTCGTCTGAGGGCTCGGCATCACGGTCTCTATCCCTCCAACTCTTCGTTCGGTCACGATCACGTTTCTCTGGCATGGGAGGAGCCTCATTGCTTTCGGTCGTTCGCCAGTTGTCGGCCTTATTTCTGTTGAGCCCGTTTCGGGGTGGGCGACCCTCGGTATCTGCAGCATCTTTGTCTCGGGTGAAGCCGTCGAAGGGGCGACCGGGACGTTCTCGGCCATTCTCACGATCATCCTTGTTGCTGATGGTGTCTTTTGATGGACGTCGGTCTTCGCGAAAATTGCCGCCCATCTTGCCGTGAAATCGCTCAGCGCCTTCAGCACCGAAGCTCTTGCGAGGCTTTACCATGTTCCATCCGTCGCTATCTTGGTCGCCATCGCCACGACGTCTGGCGGGGTTGGACCGGCCATCACGAAAACGATCTCCATCATTGTCGCCTCGATTTCGAAAGGTTATGCGGCCTGGAGAATCAGAATCTCTGCCGCTCTTATCATTTTCCACGGCCTTGTTTCCTCGAGCCGAGGAGAAGGCCATGCGAGGAGGGCCAAAGACGATATCATCTGGGTCTTTACAGGGGTTGAGTCCCAATTGTCAGCACATTGAAACCATGGAGCGAATTTCGGCTAGAAGGCACTGACTTGCACTGTTGCGGGCGACATGGCGATCCAAACCCGGCCGTCTGTTGGCCTGATCAAGGAGTGATAAATCGTTGGTTCTAGGTCTGTCATTGCTTGGTTTTACGTTTTGTCTTTGAAGTTGTTCGAGCGTTTGGCTGAGAGTGACGGGTTAGCGAAGGTCTGTCTACGTGGTGACAATGGCTCGCGGCGGAAGTCCAAGCGAAAGCCATGGGAGGGACTCACCCCATCCACTCCTCTGCGGGAGGGAGATTAGATGGTCTGGTACATAGCGGTGATTGCCGCAGATGCAGCAGAAAGTCTGCTGAGTATCGAGTGGCCATATCAGGGGGGCAGAGCTGTGATGCCCATCTGACAAACGGCCACCTTGACGCCGCAGAGGTTCGAAGACGAGGAAGGGTTCGGCGGTGTGACTTGGTCCGACTTTGGTACACGCGGCGGCAAAAGACGCAGACGGCTAAATAGATAAAAAGAAAAAAAAATCAGCGGCGCAGAAACCGTGATGCGAAGCTGTTGGGAGTTGGCGATGTAATCGACGTAAAGGGAGTACAGGGGCGAAACGTAGTCGGAGCTGTTGACGAGGCGGGATCAAGGGTGCGATGCGGTGGAGTCGTAGTAGTAAATGTTGGGCGAGGGAGGCGGGAAATGGGACCCGGTCAACCAAGGCGCGAAGGAGGTATGTAAGTATTGCAGTTTGCGGAAGGGGAGGCGGCTTCGACAGAGAGAGCGTGCGCGGTTCAGGTGCGGTAAGTTGGGAGGTAGAGCTTGAAGAAGATGTCGTGGGGGGAAGATTTTTGTGCGACGGAGCGGAATGAGAAGATTTGCTGGATTCGTACTGGGAGAAATGCGAATGAGGTCTCGAGAGGAGAGGTCAACGGTAGGAGGTCTTGGTTGGAGTGGTCAGGTCAGCTGTGTGTGCGTGCGCTCTCGAGAAAGTCGAGTCCAAGTCGAGGCGAGGCGAGTCCCAATAGCAATGGCCTGGACTGGCTTGCTGTGTGCCCCTTTGCCCTTTGCCCTCTGGCCCCGTGCCACCTGAAGCAGGTTTGGCAAGTTGGGCTGGCGTGCATCATGGGGTCAATCGGAGGCCGGAAAATCTAGCGGAGCATTGGCGGGAAGTACCATCACTGAGAAGGCACGGCTATAAGATACATGGGCTTTGGGGCTCAAGGACCGTTGGGGCTCGGGAGCCATGGTCTGGTGGAACTCGCGTCCAATTGATGCCAAACGTCTTTTTGACGTGCGGTTCCTGCACGAGGTTGAACGCCGTGCTTGCCTGGGCACTCGAGTCCGGACATTGAGCCGTCGTGCAGATGCTGCAGAACACGCCCCGTTCTGTTCAGCGTTTTGCCAAGTGTGTGGCTTTTTTCGGCACCTTCGAGTCCGAGATATCTCGTCACATTGCCGGGCAGGGCAGGGTCGACACCAATGACATTGTCGGCTTGGGCGATCATGAGTTACAAGCAACCGGCCCTGAAGGAATTGATCCGGGTGTTATCCTGCGGCCATATGCGCGCAACCCTGCGCATAGCATAGTCCATGGCTTAATCGGCCGAATGTGGATGGCTGGCATGGTGGTCAGACCGGGTCAAAGCAAGCAGGTTGGCTGCACGTAGACAAACGTAGACTTGTATTAATTTCAAGCTGTGTACTCCGTATTTAATAAACAAATGGAACATTTGTCAAGACTACCAAATATTGGTAACACGCCCGAATCCACACCACTTATACTCCACCAATCTTAATTAAATCTTGGCCGTGACCGCAGGAACCTCTTCATCCGCCTTCATAATATGTGGCAACGGTCCGACAGGCGTGATCGCAAAGGGATTAATCTGTGTGTGGCTTCGCGTATAGTGCCATTTGATATGCTCAAACTGCGTGGTCTCCTTGAACGCAGCATGGTTCCAGTACAAGTTGCGCATCCACTTGTGCAGAGCCGGATATCCTGAGCGAATATCGCGGATATTGCACTTGAAGTGCTGGACGTAGACGGGGTCGAAGCGAACCAGGGTGACGTACAGCCTAATGTCGGTCTCTGTAATATTCTTTCCAAAATAGTACGGCCCGTCCTTTTGCTCGCGCAAGTGCTTCTCGGCCTTGTCGAGCGCTTCGAATAGAGCAATGACGTTGTGCTCATAGGCCTCAGATGTGGTTGCGAAACCGGACTTGTACACGCCATTGTTGATGAGGTCGTAGTGCCAGGTGTTGGTTTCATCGATTTGAGAGCGCAGGTTTTCGGGATACAGGGAAATCGCGCGGTACTTTTCTTCAATGAGATCATCAAACTATTGAGAGATGGTCAGTGCCCGCATATCGCTGACTTGCCCGAGATAAACCGCATATTGACGTACCTCAGCGCTGAACATGCGCAAAATTTCGGAGCTCTCATTGCTCACGATCGTCTTGGTCTTCCTGTCATACAGTACCGGGACGGTAAACCGTCCGGAATAGTCTTTTTCAGACTCGAAGTACACCTGTCTCAAGTGTGTGAAGCCTTCATGGCCCTCGATCGGATCAGGAATCACATTCTCCCCAGGCTCCTTCTCATCCTTGGTCACAAAACGCCATCCGCCCTGACCTAGGTGCCAATGCACCACAGAGTACGAGATGATATTTTCGAGGCCCTTGAGCTTCCGGGCGGCTAGTGTACGGCAGGCCTAAATCCAACGTGGGCCGTCAATATACATCCGAGATTGCCGGAGGGCAAGAACAAAAGAGAAACAAAGAAAGAACGTACCCAAGGACAGGCATAGCTGACATATAGATGATATCGTCCCTTCTCAGGAGGATACTTTGCACCTGATTCCCGAGAGATCCAGTTTCTGAAAGAGCTGACTTGGCGTTTAAACTCGCCAGACTTATCATTGGGGTGGACCCAATCGGTAACCTTGCCGGAGGAGGCCTGTGAGCCGTGCATGTTAGTGCTGATTGCTTGAAAAGAGAATAACAAAATTGAAAAATAGAGAAAGCACATGTAAAGGAAGGGCAATATCGGAAAGAATTTGCAGACTTACCATTCTCGTTTGAGCTTGAACTAGTGACTTGAAATAAGATGAGTGATGGGAGTTTGAAGCTTGCAAGATGCGGCGATGAAGCTGGAATGCGGGGCTGCGACTTGTATGGAAAACAGCTCTAGCTTGCGGGGTTCTAAAGTGAGGGGTGCTGTAGGTGATGATTGCTTGGTTGTTGCGTGGGACACCAAAACTTCTCAATAAGTTGGAGGTCTGGATGTTTCTCTTCATTGGCGACCGCGTGCACTTGATGCAGCCGATTCCCAATAATGGCGACGAGTTGCAGTTATATACCTACATGTAGGTAGAGAGCTGTGGGCGGCCATGGACAGGCGTGGATAGGCGCCTAGACTATGGTGGCTGTAGCTGCCTGTTCCCGGTCTGATTCAGCTGATTACGGAGTTGGTGACAATATCCTGACCTAATCATTCAGCTCTATTAATGCCCCTCCTCATCATTGCTAATGGTGACGTAAAAGAGAACGTCGACAGAACCGGCCTAGTGCCTGCGCTTGTCTCGTCTTAGCCATGCTAACCTGTTCCTCTCACCTCACAACTGCTGGCGCTTAGTGCTCACTTCTGGAACATCCTCAAAAGGCGTCGTGTCCAGAACCTCAACCCACAGCTGAATTGTACAATACATCACCGACCATGCAGTTGCATCATTTGCCATTATACCTCACTTCCCCAAGAGTAGCTTGTAACTAGCGCGAAAGGAGAGATTCATCATCTATGGATAGAATATATCAACCATTTTTTTTTCTTAAAAGGTACAAATTTCTTTCTGTAGCCGCATGGTCATAAATTCTAGTTCGCATTGTTTATCGCACCCTGACCTTGATGTAGGGAACCTCTGCATCTTCCTCATCCATGTCCTCGGCCACCATTTCGAAAATAACTTCCTTTTGATGTTCAGGAATTGGTTTCTTTGAAATATTCTCCACGAGCTGGCTGAGCTTCCAGCCCAAGCGTTCCTTCATCTTCGCCGGAGCGTGGAAGCTGGCGTACAACAGGCTAACTCCCGAGCTAAGCATGACAATTGTTAGGCCCTTTGCTTTGAAGTGGTCCAAGAGCTCCTGCAAAGTCACATCCCCAATCTCGAACCGATCCCAGATCTTGTCTAGGGTCACCTTGCCCTCTGGCCCCTTGTACACTACCTTGGGGCTAGCAATCGGCTCACTGAAGCCAAAGAATGGCAGAGCCAGATTGATGAATCCGTTTTTGTACTGCTCAATATCATTTTTGCCGTCAACAACCTTGTACAGCTCCATGACTACCAGGCCAGTTACAAGTGCAGTCGTCGTGGCAATGGCCGGGATAATCTTCCCAGCAATGAACTTGGTTTTGTGTCGATCAGCTGCCTCGATCTTGTAGTTTTCGGCGCGCAGGTTGCTGCAGGCTGTGATGAAGTCGATGTGGTGATTGGAGTCGTCGTCCTTTTCAAATTCAACTGGCTGCAGCTGAAAACCTGACAGCGTGCTTGGTGAAGGAATGCTGGAAATTATTTTCTGGAGCTCGTCCTCGTCATCACTGCCACCAGCGCTGGGGTCCTGGCAGAAGGTTAGTCCAACTTTTCAAGTAAGGTAAGAAATGTGGGAAAGGTGGCATACTGGTTCCTTATCATCGGCCTGGATTTTGACATTGGCATCAGGGGTGAAGTCAGGAACAATCACATTTTCCAATTCACGTAGATAGATGTTCTTATCAGCTCCGGGCGATTTAATATTGAAGTTGAAGGCATGGAGATTGGCAGCAGCAACCACAAAGCCAAAATGGGTCGGGTTGTTGGGATCGAACTTGAGGGCATCGGGAGCGCGTTTCGGGCCAGACCAGAAAGGTGTCCCGCTCGAGGTTTCAGAGTCCTTGGGAAAGTTGTACAGAAGCTGCTGGATCTTGTTGGTGAACTCTGTCTCGAACTGCATTCTTGCCCATGCAATACAATCTTCGAAAGTACGAGGTCGTTCCGTCGTGAGGTAGTTGCGGATGGTTTCCAGTGTCTCTTTCTGATTACCACCCTGCTTAAGGGTTGTCTCCATGAAGTTCGGCTGAGTCAAATACAAATTGACAGTTTGAGGCGCCTTGACGAAGCATTTTTCGAACATGTACTCCTTGGCCCAAGCAATGGTGTGCTCGATTCTGTTGGGGAAGCTTCGGATGGTGCACATGGGAAATTCTTTCTCGGGCGGATCTTGCGACGAAGAATAAGACTCGGTAAGATGAGGTAATACGACTTGGGTATTTCCTTTGGTCCCAAGTGTACCGCTCTCAAGAAGCGGCTTGCGGAAAAACACGCAGCGTCGGTCAACATATGTTCTGGCCTCAACATTGTCTAGCGCATTTGTAACACCATCCAGGCTCTCCCAGAAAGCCTCATCAAAGGTGCCCTCTGTGTCAGGGCCGACTCGGTCCTTGAAAGTCTGAATGTGACCAACAAGATCTGGATTCATTCGCTGCACAGCTTTGGCGGCACAGTCGCTCTTCATGTTGCCAACGTCGCCGGCACGGAACAGAAACTGGCGATTCAGGTTGCTCTTTTCGATGGAATCCATATCAGTAACAATAATTTTGCCCTTAGGCCCAGTGCCTAGGCCCATCATTGCCCAGTTCTTGAGCATTTCACAACCGATGGCGCCGGCTCCAACGAGAAACTGGGTCAAGTTTGCGATCTTCTCCTGGTATTCCGCACCGAACACAGCGATTTGGCCGTCGTATCGTGAACCGAGTGGCTTGCAAAGTTCGGGGCTTCGCTTTGTCGATGTAGGAAGTGACTCAAGGGAATCAAAGTACATCCACTGTTTGATGGGTTGGAACTTGCCAGAGACAGCCTTGAGGATTTCCTGCGCAGTAATACCTCCGAAGAAGGCGGCCATTGGACTCAAATCACCTCGTGCCTGATAGCTAAGCTCCTTCAGCAACTTCTCATCCAGTTCAACCTCCAACTTCTCTTCCTTGATGAAAAGTCTTGCAGCGCCGAGGAGAACTGTAGCGTCGTCATCATCCATTGGGTTTGGAAGACGGCCCTTGGAGAGTTGAAAGGCGTGAAGGGCCTGAAAGCCAACGTGGAGCTGCTGAGGTCGGTCAAACTTGGCAAAGTCCGACACGACGAACTCCGGCTCCTTGAGAGACGCGGTGAAATCCTTGAAGTTAATAGGCTTGGGCATTTTGACTTGCTGGTACATGCCACCTCGTTGGTACTGACCAAGACCGGTCACATCGCCGATAGAGAATGTGTAAGGCCCCTTCACAGTGATCTTTCGAGGCTCGGCGCCATTTAAACCTTCCATCCCTTCAATCTCGGAAAATGTAACATAATCGCCGTCTTCTAAACCATGTCGGGTTTCGTCCAATGCTGATACGAGGCCTTCCTCATCGATTCCAGCGACAATGCCACTCAGTGGAGTCTCTCCGGTCGGGTCAATAACAGTGAAGTTCTCGCCAAAGTCACAGAAAATCGAACCGAACAATCCAAAAGTGTCTGCCACTATAACATAGATGCCTTTGGAATGGCAATAATTGCCAATGGTTTTTTGAGATTGAAGAGGGGTGTTCGTCAGGACGACCACCTGGTACTTGTCGAACTGAGAGAGATCGGCGTCCAGGCTATCATCGAGTTAGCAAAATGCTTTGCTAAGGGCTAGAAAATATGAGGCTACGAACCCAGTTGACTCGTGTATCTTCACAGGGGTGTAAGCATTAAGCTCGGCCACTCGCGGCGCGGTCACATCGTGCCTGGGAATGCCAACATCCGCTGGGGTAAGGAAGAACTGCGAAGACAGGTCGGATATGTGAACGGGCGCAGGGTCGTAGAGCGTCAGACTCTTCACGCCTGCAAGTGCGATATTCTTGGCAATCTCGACGCCGAGACCCTTCAGACCAACAACAAGGACATTCGAGGCGCCCATGCGCTTCATGGCCTCGTGGCCGAGGACGTAGAGCTGTCGGCTGTAAAGGGATTCATCGATTTCGGTGTGGCCAACAACAGACTCGTCTACCTGCATCCTGGTCATAGGATCGACCTCGGGAAGCTTGGTGCCCTGAAATACAGTAATTAGCACGCCAGGCAGCTGTGTCGACTAAATGGGGACCCAGGTGGTCGCAGTGCGGGTGATGCCATCGCAGAGCTCGCGCGGGGCGAGCCCGCCAAGCTGGCCGAAGAACACAGTCCGACTCCATCCCCGTATTTAAGTACTTACCGTCATGATTCTCTTGATATTAGGCTGAGACTCCCCGTTGGAGAGCTTTCGCTTCCCCAGAGCGTCTGGGCTTGCGGAAGGCGGAATGGTGAAGGCAGAGCACTCAGCACCTAGGGTCGAGCTCAACCCCACCAAGATGCTGAATCTGAGGCAACGTAGACGAAGGCGGGGATAAAACGCCTTGATTCGAAGTTCTGGTCTTAAGAGATACCGCCAAGCTCAACTTCGCGGGTGGACTGGTGATTTTGCAAGGCCAAGCTGTAGTCAGGTAAGTGGGAGAGAATAGCTTCGCTGGACTGCCTTTCCACTGGAGCGAAACAGTCCACGTCGGATGGGTTGATGAGGTAAGGACGGACTGAGAGAATCGAGTCCACAGTACGGAGCACTGTCAGGCTGACAAACGAGAGGTCCGGTCGGCTGCTGCGTGCAGCTTGGTTGAGGAGGGGCAGCCAGACTGGGGCCTCACCTGCCGGTTTGCCCAGCACTACTAGTAGTAACTACGGAGAACGCCCACCAGGCTGCAATGTTCCAGATGCCGGTCCTTTTGGAAACCTGGTGGGGATTCCGATGTCCCCAAACGTCTCCTGGCATTTGAAGTCAAAATGACGTTACTAGATGGAGTGTCTGACACAACTCGTTTCTACTATGTAGTTCCAGTCTCTATTAGTACTTCCAGTAGTTCGCTATCCTAGCGACAGCCGTCTGTTTAATAACCGAAAAGCGCTGACAGACCATCTCTCAAACGCGTAAACCGTGCTGGCTTGTAGATTGACACAACCAGGCGCTTGAAAACAAAAACCCGACCAATTATTTCACCACACTCCAGAGCTCCGAGGGACCAGCCAGCGATTTCCTCAGCCGCCTTTCGCACGATTTTGTTCTCATTGTACCGACTTCTTGGATTGCTTGGCCTGGCTGGTGCTACTGTTATTCGGTTTTCTCGCAGTGGAATATTCCATATTGGAAGACGGTGCAGATCGTGCTATTATCACAGTGGCGTAGACAAGCAGTTGGGACATCGAAATACCACTGCTCATACCTGCTGTGGTGTGCGCGTTGGAGTCCACGAGTGTCGTTCAGACAGAAGCTGAGTCTGATGAAAGGAGGCTATTTGATTGTGGCAAATCGACGCACGTGATGTTTCAATGCTGTTTGACGAATAAGCCTGGATATTCACCTTTCGCTACTACCATACACTGTAGGTACCGGCACTTCATCACCGCCTCGAGCATATGCTAGCTTGACGCCTCTCCTGTTCTCGTACTCGAGCTTTCTGCATCCGCTCCTCGGCCATTGCATTCCTCCAAGTGCAGTCGGATGCAAACTCGCACGTGCGACACTTGAAAGCTTCTTCTATGTCGACACCGCTTGCTTTTCGTTCTCCCTGCCACCATGTCATGTATCGTTTCAAATACTCGTCCAATGCCTGCTTGGAAACAGGAAAGTCGTGAACATCAATCTCTTCACCATCATCACGATGAATATACTGGATCCGAAGCATCAAGCCCATTGATTTCTGCCCCTCTGGAAATGTGAGCTTTACCTCGGCTTTCACCAAGTGTAGTAATTCTCCGAGTGTTTGGTACTTCAGTAGCTGACCAGCCCCTTGTTGTGAATCACGGCTCTCCGAGTCCTGGGCCGCATGCGCACAGAAAGCAGATGCCTGGGGTAATGGCGTATCCTGGAAGATCTCATCGTGGAGGCTTCCCATCTGAGCAATGAAACCGTCAGAGAGAGTATCATCAGGGTCAACCCCATAACGTCGGAATAACTTGAAAAAATCTAGCCTTCCGGCTGCGATGTCGGATAGAAACCGGTGATAGAGCAGCAATTGTATTTTTGCAGGTCTCAGCAACGTCTTTGTCACAGGAGCTCGACTTCCTCTCGTCTTAACATCAATGAGATACACCTTAGGCAGAGAGAGCGCACCAGCGGGATTTCCATTGCGTGTGAAATAGCCATGTAAAGACATTTGATCAGGGGCAGGATTGAATATTTCAGTGAGCTCGTTCTCAAACTCGGGGTTTGGATTATCGTGGGTTAGCTCGTCAATCACACCATTGACGACATTGCCCTGGACCATTCCCCAAACCTCCAACTCCCTGGTCATACCGGTTTCACGCAGGGTTCTAAGACCTTGGATGAAGTTCCACATTCTCAATGCGAAGCCATCTTCTTTTGTAAAAACGTCAATCTGGGTGGTGGTGTGCACCTCATCCTCAAGCTTCTTGTGGATTATTGAGCCTCCTTTCATAGCAGGGGTCTTAGTCCGCCGACCGCCGGGGAGCCTGGTGAGAGTATACCAATATTGCAGTTCGCACCAGGCTCCAGCTGTAAGGTCGGTGACAGTCAATGGTCTCCTAGGATATGACCGGAATCTTTGGAGAGGAGAACGATTATCCTCAAACTCCTCTGATTCCGTATCCCGTTCATCCAGGGCCTTGGCTCCCCCGTCTCTGTCATCACCAATACAAGACAATGCTCGACTCACTAGTCGCTTTGCAGTCAGTCAGTGTCAGTATACAGAGTCAGGAAGCTTGGAACGCACAATCGGGATAGGTGACGTCCGTGTCGAGCAACTCGCTGCGGCTTTGCCCCATGGTTGCCGAAGCCATGGCCGTGCCACTGACCTCAGGGGCCGTGGAGTTGTCATGGTCGATGATGTCTGTACAACCAGGCCGTAGGTCTGTATGAGAACTCTCGTAGGGTCCAGGGCGCGGTGGGAGATGAGCAGGGCCCTTTGCCTTTGCACTTTGGCAGTCTTGCGAAGTACGCTCTAGTAGAAGCAACTCGTCCTCTGGAGAGATGTCGGAACCATAGTCGCTTTCAGTATCCAAAATGTTTGGGGCAGCCATGTCACCTTACAGAGAGGTGCATGGCGGCTTTGCGGAAGATTGGTGAGGCCGCCTAGATGTACTGGGAGACGTGAAGTGGGGTGAGTGAAGTGGAAAGGGTGTCGTCAATTGCCGCGATAGAAACACGCTATCACGTGTACTGGTTTACAATACATGGGTTGTTAGGGAGCCCTTCTGTTAATGGCAACTCGACTAGCCGCTAAGGCCTGAAGCCAAGTGCTGCCTTGAGCTAGGCACCAGCCTCTCAGCAGGCACCTTCTCTGAGCAAATATCCAAGGTATCACTGGACCTATTAGGTTCAAATGTCATGTTCCTACTACCTCTAAGTACCTACCTAGGTACTCTTAGGTACTGGTCCGGCGCCAACATTGGCCGGACCCTACATGAAGTGTGTCTACTTACTAAGTAAGCAGGCTGCTCCCATCACGACATGGGACAAATTCCATCGCCTGGGGGATCTTGCCATGGACTCGGCACTCTGAATTGCCTCACAGAGGACCTGGACCGGAAAAGCGGCCAGCTTGCTGGGCTTGTGTTACCTCAACACTCAACGCACAGACTACCAGGCTGATTGGCCAGCCGGCAATGCAAGCAAGGCACACACCAGTGGCCTGCTGGAAATACCTGGCTGACGCATTGAGACCAGCGGCGGATTAGTCTGGTATCAGACATGTCAGCTATTCGTGGACAATACGAACAAACAGCCTCTCGCCCAGCATTGAAGCATGATTCTGAGTGTGCAAGTTTCATGCTCAACGTTGGCATGAAGGGACATGGAGCGAAACACAGCTTGCAGGAGGTACCTGCCAAGGTACGGTAGAGTATAGACTAGGTCAACATTGAAACCTGGTACATACCAGATATAGGTACTCCGTACTACCTCCAAGTTCAAACGCCTCGTCGAAACACACTGGACGGCACTTTCCAAAGTCCATGTCCCTATTGTATTGACGCCAGTATGCTTAAGCACGGGAACCAACTTCACGGCAGATGACAGAGACACGGAATTCTTTTTTTCTGCTTGTCCCCAAGGCTGGACCATTTGGAGGGCACGCTGCGACTAGTGCTGCAGGTGGGCGTCGCTGAAACCGGCAGCCTAAGCCATTGAATACGAGTCGAGTCTGCCACTGGTCTGTCCTCGTCGAGAACGTTAGAGATCATCGGCTGGCATTTCTGCCTTCAATCCTCGTTTCTGTCATGCCCTGCGCCTCTCTGATTTTATGTAGAAGAGGTGGGGGCTGGGCTGAAGCGAATCTAGTACATCTACTCTGTACTTCCAACTTGCTCGAGTGACGACCGATCTGGGTGTTTTATTAGAGGGTCCTCCAGTCGACAAGGGCGACTTTGAAGGCAGCAGCCGACTACATCTCCAACCGCTCTTCTTTCCAACCAAAAAGAAAGCAAACATGCAAACCGAGTCGAATATTTCCGGTTCTTATTCGGCGTACATTTATTAGCATGGGCGCGTCTCTGAAATCCATGTTCGATATTTCTTTCCAGCATAACCATCCGGCCACAGGGATGCCGAGCAGCGCCAAACCACCAAGTCTGGCGCCCTGCCATGAACCCAGCAATGAAGAGAAACAGTGCGACCAAGAAGGCACACATACCGCATCGCCGACGGAAAACCCGTCCAAAGTCTCCTTTTTGTCACTGCCAACAGAGATTCATCTGGAAATATCCAGCCATTTAATTTACCCAGACGCCCTATCCTTGAAGCATGCCAGCAGATACTTCTACAACATTATTAACACCGGCATCGAATTAAAGATTGACTGGCTGATCTCACGGCGGAAATTACACTTGGAGTGTCCCAACAATAAGGGATGCGATCTGGGAAGCGACCTGCGATTTTGCAGAGGAAGTGTAGCGTATGTTTTCTGTTCACGATATACAGCTTTATTGGCGATTTTCACCCGGCGTATTAATGCATGTCGCACAGATTACTCATGAAGCGACGTCGCGAACACATTGAGTGTGACTCTCGTCCTGGAATCGGATGCATCATCTACGGTACACCTACCTGCTCACATCGCGAAAAGAGGCAGAATCGATGGAAGACTGGGCTACAGACCAAATTCACTGTCGAACTTTGGTGGATTCTGCTAGCGCTGTTGTCCGTTTTCATTGCCCGGGGTTGGGTGCTTGTCTCAGCTAGCCGTTGGGATAGGAGTGATGTAGAACGACAGTATTAACCTCTACCTTGCCCGTATTTTATGTAAACCTTGGATCAAGCGGAAACTCTGCACCATGAATATGCCGCTTTATGGTCATGAGATGGGGGGCGCTGCGAGCCAGCATAGTGTTTCTAATATTTACAGCTGCAGGTCAGCAGATCATAACTAACCTCTCATTTATTTTGTTATCAACAATTTCTCCTAGTAGATTTGCAGAGGCACTATTCGTTCAGTTTGCGCTGGAAGCATACTGCCAAACGCGACGCAGAAGTAGCCTTCCATATATAATATGCCATAAGGACTACATCAACTACCATATCAGTTGACAAAGAATGTGCGCCACAGAGCGTCTTCATCGGGCTGCCTATCCGGTGGGTAAAACGATATTGTATGAATAATGCTTCGTTGAGTCAACTGACCACGGCTTCTGACAGCCTTTGGTGGATGGCAATCTGTAATATTCTCGACTCTGGTGTTACAATGGAACTAAAACTCGTCAAAACAAGAATCAAGCCAATTGCAACGCAGAAATTCCTCATTGATGGACACCGCATTGCCTATGGGGTCTTTGGTGTATGTATAGGAGCCAGTAGTACCTATCCACGGCACTCCATCAAGCTCCTTGATTTGGTGCAACGTCGCTCCCCAAACTACGGAAGCAGGCTTCGAGGTCCACGTCTTTTTGATCAGTTCAAGTACTATGGACTTTCCGAGAGGGCCCGGCGTCCAGAAGTTGACGAATCAATGTCCAGCCAAGTTCAAACCCTGGAGGAATTGCTTCGGAATAAAGACAAGTTCCACCTCGTGGCTCATGATATCGGCGGCCGAAATCGGTCAACGCTTCGGTATTTTCTACCCCGATCGCCTACGACATGTCCCCCTCATCGACGCCGTCAGCTTTGACAACTATCCATCTCACGGCAAACTAAGGAGCGATTGAGCAGTGGACTAAGAGCATCTCGTCAAGACCCCCGACAGAACCCGACGACGACGCTTCTGCCAATAGAGCTTCCGTATGCAAAATATGCAAGCTCTGGCGGGTTCTAGGCTGGCGACTTGTGTAGATTATATTTCGGGGTCCTGTGGCATAAGGTGGCATGCTTCAGCGTCAAATTCGATAATATGGGCGGAAACTCCGAAACATGATATGAAGAAGGCGGCCCGACGTCAAGAGCTGGGTATGAATACGCCGACCAGGCTAATTTTGAGGTGCGGATGATTCGTGGCAGGCCATAGACTGGACAGAAAAGTTACACAAGGCTATTCCCGACTCAAAGCAGAGCTCAGGATTCTGGATAATTGCGGACATTTGTCGCTGGAAGACCAACTGGACGAGATGTCGATGGTCTTGACTCTTGACAGGATTCTTTGACCAGTCACAAGTGAGTCGCGCAGCATTGCTGGTCGGCGGTACAGGGCGGAACGAGGAACTTGATATCACGGCTTTGGCTGGCGATCATTTGAATTTGGTGAGGGGCCGGCAGCAGATATATCACAACATGCTGTTCATGGCAAAACGTGTGGAATCTTGGTGGTGCGAAGAGCGACGCATTGCGTCCTCAGGCACATGACCACGAGTGACACTCAGCACTGGTCGGATCCGCTTTACTCTCTCAACACAACTCGACAACTCTCTCCCTCCCCGGCTGGCCAGAATCCAGAATCCAGAATCCAGAATCCAGCCCCCGAGCGCTGCCGCCTCGATTTTCCCCATGGCTCGTATAACGCTATCGTACAATCCATGCAGACGCCAATCAGCGCCAACGGACATAGGCCCGAATGAGTTTAGATGCGGGTTGAGTCTGGCGAATGACCCTACATCGTGGGGCCACAACCGACATGGACATCTGGACCATCAGCATCAGCATCAAGTATCGGCCATCTCGACCATCTGCAATCCTACTCTAGGCAGACCTGACGCCTGAGACATGATGGAAGGCATGGAGACATGGGCCCCGCACCTCCCGTACTGTACTGTCTGTCAGCCGCGGCTTCGTCGAATGGGTTGTCGTGCTGGACCTGAGCCGACTTTGGATGGACCTGCAATACCACGAGTACCCCTCCATCAGAAGCCATATCCGGCATCGCAATATCATGCATGACGAACCTCTCGGCATTGTTGCAGTCCCCAATTCCTGCAAGACGGCTCTCTTTGCGGTTTTCGATCCAATTCCACTGCAGTGTCCCCAGCCCTAGCAAGCCCCTTGTATTAGCCCTCGTTTTCCTCTTCGCCAATTTCCTGCCCTGGATTTTGGAGGGGGAAGAGCATTTGGGCCGAGCCCGTCGAGTTGATACCAGAAAAGCAAGTTTCCGTAGTAGTCCATACTCTGTACGAGAGCCAAGGGTACAGACTTGCTGTTTTGTTTTGTCTTCTTTTATTTCATCATTTCACAAAGCGAACCTGGGAAGCCACTCGAGAAAACAATGGCAGTATCCCAGCATGAACTGTATAAGCTATCTGCAACGCAGGCAGCTGGGCTGATACGCACGAACCAGCTTTCAGCACAGGACTATGCCAAAGCGCTGCTCGACAGAGTACGTGAACGAGACCCGCAAGTGAGAGCTTGGGCATATCTAGACGAGAATGCCATCCTGAAACAGGCAAGGAAGCTGGACGCATTGCCTCCAGAGAAGAGAGGGCCGTTGCATGGTATCGCAGTCGGTATCAAGGATATTTTTCTCACCCGAGGTACCTGTCTGCTTGCGGCTCTGAAGTCCTGGGGGAGAAGTTCCATGCTGACTCTAGCATGATTGCCTCCAGACATGCCAACCAAGTACTACTCGCGTCTACATGCCCAGGATGGAAACGCCGCTGCCGATTCAGCTTGCGTTAGCGTTTTACGCGCAGCTGGAGCCATCATTTTCGGCAAGACGGCGACAACAGAGTTTGCGAGCATGACAGAAGGCAGTCCATGCGCCAACCCACATAATAGTAGGCATACACCCGGCGGTTCCTCGTCGGGCTCGGCGGCTGCCGTGGCAGATTTTCAGGTACCGCTGTCAATTGGCACTCAAACGGGGGGGAGCGTCGTTCGCCCGGCGTCGTTTAACGGCGTTTATGGTTTCAAAGTACGTTTACACGCCCCTCCACCCAAAGATTTCTCTTTCCTCCGCTAACACCCGGCAGCCGACTTGGGGTACCGTTTCGGCCGAAGGAACCGGCATAGTCTCAGTATCTGCAGATACACCAGGGTTCTACGCCCGAAGTGTTGACGATCTTGAGTTTCTAGCACATTTGTTCCGCTTGGACTCCCTGCTCACTGAACCCCTGCACCCACTCTCCATCATCGGTGCGAGGATTGCCTTCGTCAAGACTCACATTTGGCCGGAAGCTCAATCTGGTACCCGGGCGGCATGGAATCTAGCCCACAGATTACTGGCGGAGACCGGAGCCAAGGTTGAGCATGTTGAACTGCCTGAGCGGTTTGGGAGTTGCCCCGAGTGGAGAGAAATCGTTGTTGCTGAGGAGACAAGGGCCGCATATTTGCCCAGTGCGTCAATCCTGTCGGTGTCGGGTCCTGTTCTGTTGGGCCTTGTGAACCTCAGCCTGGCTGTTACGTATACTGACAATGATGTGCAGAATACCTTCAAGACCGGACCAAATTACACGCCGATATTGTCGCCTTCGTCGAGTCCACCAATGTGCCCAGTCGAAAGAAGCTTCTCGAGGCTCATGACGGCATCGCTCGCTTACGCAGAGAATGGGACCTGATTGCCAGCCAGTACGACATAATCATCACTCCCAGCGCAATCGATGAGGCGCCAGAGGGCCTTGAGAGCACGGGTACCGCGGCATGTCTCCTTCTCTCCTTCCGGCTGCCCTTTTGTAGTTATACAGACGCTGAGCTAACATGAACAGATTTTCTGTGAAATGTGGACTATTCTCCACGCACCAGCCATGAACGTTCCGGGCTTTTTTGGCAAGTGCGGCCTCCCCATCGGCCTACAAGTCGTCGGTGCGCGATACAACGACATGCAAGTCTTGCAAGGCGGGAAGCTCATCGGGCAAATATTCAGCAGACCGTAGGGGGCCGTGCACTCAGAGTTGGGGAGAGATAAATAGGTCCGGGTGGCAAGATTAGGGCCTGTATTTATCAACTTTGAATATATCAGACACCACAGACATAACAGCTATACACTCCTACACCGTTCCCTTTCTCCCCCACCCTGTCGGCTCAGAGCTCATATGAAACTCAATCTTTCTGGCATTCACAATATCCTCATGTTTCAGAAGTGGCTTGTCAACCGGCTTCCCGTCCACCTTGAGACTCTTGATATAGGCTTTACCTTGGGTACCAGCACCGGGTGCGGATATAACAAGTGTATGACCGTCTGCTCCAGACATTGAGGGCAATCGAATTTCAACTCTATCAAAGAATGGGGTCCCCACAACGTACTCATCACTCGCAGGGTTCAAAGGATAGAAACCCAAAGCCGAGAAGACATACCACGCACTCATTTGCCCCAGATCCTCATTCCCACTGAGTCCCGCAGCAGTGTTGTTGTACTCCGTCCATGCAATGTCACGTACTTTCTCCGCGGAGCTCATGGGATACCCGATGGCTGAATATAAGTACGGCACATGGTGGGAAGGCTCGTTACTGTGCATATTATGGCCGCCCGAAAAGTGCTGGTCCAACTTGGCCTTCATGTCAGCTTTGCCGCCCTTGAACAATGACGCCAAACCGCCGGCGTCGTGCATGACGTCAAACGTATATACCCACTTGTCACCCTCTGTCCAGCCCCAATCTTCCCTGGCAAAGGTCCCATTAGAGTTGCGCGTCTGCATGAATTGGGTCTCGTTGTTCCAGAGCTTCATGTAGTTGCGGCTCCGGGTCATGAGTTGCTTTGCGGAAGCATGGTCCCCTGCGTATGTGGCCACCACAGCAGCAGCGAAATCGTTGAGAGAATAATCAAGAGTGCGGCTGGCTGCTTCTGCCCATCTGTCGTTGTCAACCCATCCGTGCTCGAGGTAACTCGTCAGACCAGCCCTAGCTTCATGCGGCGTTTTGGGCTCCCTGTCAAAGTACAGGAGCAACGTGTCTCGCTCCGGCGGGATGTAGGCGTCTGCGTAGACAGCTTTCCAGGCTTTCTGGATGTCGAAATCATTGAACCCGCGGACGAGGGCATTTGCTATGACGGCATCCGCGTTGGTAGCAATCATTATGTTTGTTTCAACCATGTTTGCCCAAATCGGTAGGCGGCCGGACCAGTCGAAGATTCGGAGGAGCGAGCGCATCATGGAATTCACACGCTCCGGAGCAAACAGAGTGAGGAGGGCATGTTCTGCCCTGTAAGTGTCCCAGATGGACCACGACTGATAATATGAATCGTGTTCTTCGTGCACGCTGTCCGTGTAGCCGCTGTAAAAGCGCCGCTTGCTCACACCCTCGGAACCTGTAGGCTCCGAATAGTCGTTGGGATATTGGAGGGAGTGGAATAAACCCGTGTAAAAGATTGCTCGCTGATCGTGCTCTGCATCCGTCTTGTTAACTCCCTCGATCGTGATGCGGCCTAGTTGATCCAGCCAAGCTTTCTTGGTCTGCTCCACTGTCGATTCGAAAGAATGGCTGTCGGGAATCTCAATGTCCAGATTCTTTCGCGCTTGCTCAACGCTGATGAACGATACGCCAGTTCGAACTTCAATCCTGTCGTGGGCAGTGTCAAACGTCGCATATGCGCCAACATCCTTGCCATGGAGGCTTCCGTGTCCCCTTTCCGTCTTCCCCCCTTGAGAAGTGCCGTAGGACTCAAACGGCGCTGAAAACCGGGAAACGAAGAATGCGCTAAAGTTCTTGGGATGATCGGGCCCGATGGCGTAGTCTTGTCTCTGGGTATTGCTTCCTGAAATCTCGCGCCTTTGGGGGTCGATTTCCACATGGCCAGTCCAGTTAAGGCGTGTAGCTTGTACCACTACATACGGTCGAATCTGCGACTTGGACCCCGAATTCGTTTGGAAGTCGAACCGGATGTGTCCCACGTGAGATGTGGCAGACATGGCTGCTTTGATGGAATGCTCGTAACCCCCGAGGTTTGCGTCAGACGAATTCGAGGAGGATTCATCTAGGTCTCTTTCCTCAAACGCATCAAACCGATCTGTATAACCTCGCTTCCTCACCCGGCCATTCGAGCCCTCCTCTACACTCTCCGGGACGGTACCCGCGCCGCCAGGACATGGAGGACACCCATCGCCATACTCTTCATGAGCCCACTGCTCTGTCAGATTCCAGTTAAAGTCCCCTATAGAGTCAGCATCCAGCAGCACCTCATAAACATACGGCGTGCTCTTTTCATCCGATTTTCGAAACTCAAGCCCGCGTTTCTGGAACTGCGTCCGAATACTGTCCCCGGAAACTAGTAGTCCCGGGGTTATCGTCATCTGGCCTTGCTCACCCATCCAGATGGCAGGCTGATGGGTTGCCTGGAATCCATGTACTCGCCTATCAAGATCCGAATACGGTACTTGGGAAATGTAATTCTCCCGGGTTTGAGGTGTCCATCTCGTCATGCCGAATGGGGTAGAGATGCTGGGGATCATGCCTCCATTGCTGTCGGGTATGATGCCACGCGTGCCGATGAGAGGATTGACGTATTTCAAAACCCCGGCTCCATCGTGATACGAGGTTGATTTCAGACCGGAGTCGCGGCCCAAGTTGTTTGGATTTGCTGCCACAACAGTTGAGGCGCCCAGAGCAGCTGCCGCCGATGTAAGTGCCCAGCACATGGTGTTGGTAGATGTGCCTTCTGCATTAACTTACGACGTATTGAATAGGCAGTTGATGCATGAAAGACTTGTATTTTTTTTAATTGAGATGAAGATTACGGAGTAATGGCTCTGTACAACGTTTTCAGTGTGTTTGTCTTACCAACCCCCTCACCGAGTCACCCCCTCGAAGAGCGATGATCGTTCTTTCCCCGCGCCCCGCGCGATGACAATGCAGCCTGACCCAGGATGAGTATAGTGCCGGTTTTTTTAAGCTCGAAGGATTATCTGTACGTGAATCAATTTCTCTCGACTAGGCTCTCACCGATTTTGAGATTGTAGTTTCACGACTGGGGTATACATCTCGCTTCGTTGGTTTTGGGCAGGCTACGAAGAATTATAGACGAGCTCAGTCACAATAGATTGATGTAAGCGACTTGGTGGAATATTCTTTACCATTCGAGGAATCGGATTGACAGCCATGGAACACAGCGTCGTCGTCACCTTTCAGATATCAGTTCTTGGGACAAGTCCGTCCAGTAATGTGGTATATAGCTCGCATGTCAAATTGAGATCAACGGATAGTTGTTTCTGTTCGTCCAACCACGCTGCTCAACCCCAGGCGTCTTTATTTCCCCAATGCTACAAATACATGAGATATTTCCGAGGGCTATCCTCAAGGTAGATACCTGGCAGCCTCGTCAACAGCTTCCAGCCACTTTGAACTTGTATTACCATCCGTCAGTGAGCCGTAACGTACGGTTCACAACTCTGTGTCGGACCAAGAAAGGGGTATTCTAGTCATTACCCGTGAAACGAAACTCAGCATTAGGGAAAACGAAGAGTTTTGGGCTTCTGAAATTTATTTCTATTCTATTGAGACAAGCACAGTCATATGGTGCGGCAAACCGAAAGAAAGCAAAGACACAATAGATGGTGAGGGCAGAGTATGTCTGTCTGCCTTCCCCTGGCACATCCTCTATCTGTGCCTCTAATCCAATTGATTACGCGTGGCTTTTCCTGCTTCCGTCCAGAACCTTAGTTCTTCAACTGGTTCTTCATTTCGCTCTTGATTCTCGTGACAGTGCCAGCTCCACCATACACCATGCCTGTGTACACCATGGCAACGCTCGCACCAGCATTCAGGACCTTGAGGGCCTGCTCCCCGTTGGTGATTCCACCCGTAGCGAAGAGGATCTTTTGCTTATCCGAGCTCGCAGGCTGTGCATCGAGCATCTTCCGGTACCGGCCAACCAGGTCCAGTGTGCGGTCAAACATGGCTGGTCCAGAATAGCCACCCGTTTCCATCAACGCTTTCTGTTCCTTATTCTTGAGCTTGATGCCCTCGGGAACAAGGCCAGTGCGCCTCTTGGTAGTGTTTCCGACAATGATGCCGTCGACACCGCTTCTCCGCACAGCCTCGACAATGCCCTCCATCTGCGTGTCTTCGTCCTCGTCGGGCGAAACCTTGACCATAACCTTTGGCCGCGATTTTCTGCTCGTCTTCGCAGCCTCGTCCACCACGGCTGAAAGGAGTCTCGTCAAGGGCTCGGTGGCTTGGAGATCCCGCAGCCCAGGGGTATTGGGACTGCTTACGTTGACGACCACAACGTCCGCATAGCGAGCCAGCCTTCGAACACAGTAGACATGGTCGTCAGCGATGGCCTTTTCGTCACGTTCGTCCGTCTCTTTGTTCTTGGCAATCTGAACAGCGAGGAGTCTGCCTGATTGTAAACTGCCCGGGGGGACGCTGGCAGCTCCATCCAATACTTCCTGCTCAGTAAGACCCAGCGATCGTGCAAATCGACGAAGACGATCCCTCAGTCGTCTGGCCACGTCGTCGGCACCGCGAGAGTTCAGCCCGTAGCGATTCACCATGCCGTCCGTAGCTGGGATCCTGAAGACACGGGGCTTGGGGTTGCCAGCCTGGGGAAGCGGCGTGATGCCTCCTATCTCAACGACACCGGCGCCCAAGGCGAAGAGGGCATCTGGGATCTCGCCATCCTTATCCAGACCAGCGGAAATCCCGATCGGGTTGCTCAACTGGGTGTCAAACACCGATGTACAAAGCTCCGAGGTGCGCAACGAATTCCCTCGCTCACGGGGGTGAAGGCCCAACCCATACAGCGTCTTCAATGCCGAGGTCCCGGCGTGATGTGCTTCTTCGGCGTCGGGGAACAGAGCTCGTAGTGCCGGCGGGACAAGGTATCGGTGGACGAATGCTCTTGTATCAGTCGTGTAGAGATATCCAACGTAAAGGGTGGCCGCCAGAGCTCCTCCGTACAGGATGGCTTTTGCGCGACCAGCTTGCACGGAACCGTTGGCCGAGGACGAGGCCTGCCGCCGTGATCCGGGTATGGAAGTGCGGGAGGCATCGGCGTGGACGCGGGAGGCTGGCGAGGAGCGGATGCCTCTGGCGGCTAGACGCGATCGAATAGCTGATGAGGACATGGTTATAAGGCTCGAGGCCGTGAGAGCCTCTCAATTGACGTCGGGGGTTGCACTTATTGGCGGGCGATGGTCTGGTGGTTTCAATGTTCGTGTTTCGGTGCGCCGGGAATTTGTCGGGTGTCTGGTCTGGTCTGTGTCCTCCGTGTGATGGCGCGAGGATGGACAGTGCTGTCAGTTGGTTAGTCGGTGGATCTCGTATAGGCCAAGCATAGTGCCGGCCACTGCAAATCGAGCTGGAAACATTCAATGTTCAAACATATTTCGGTCTTCCATACTCGCGTGTCGCAGACATTGTTGTCGAATCCATTGGTAAAATAACCATCCTCTGTTCTCTTAAAAGATGATGGTAATATAAGAAAATACGTACCTATGCAGATCAATAAGGTTGCACGCCAGGAGACTATGCCTATTCGGCAACTTGTCATAGTCGCATATGCGCCCTCCGAAGAACGCATTGACTCACGCCCTAATAGTGACTATTACAGACATCTGGAATGATCAACAAGGAACAAAAAGATGCCATAGTCGTGTATTGATTTTTTTTCGTTTCTTATTTTTCAACCCATCCCAATATTCGGGCCAGCACTGCATCGGGTAGGGCGCAATTGTACAAACACCGTGTGCCTGGTCGTACCCAAACCGAAGAATCGTGCCATACTCAAGGAAACAGCGTAATAGCGTAACAGCCGTGTATAATACGGCCATTGCGTGGACGAGCATCTCGACTTACGGAGTACATACCGAAACATTACCATCGTTCCTATTCCATCAATCATCTGAAAACATATGCAATAGTATCTACAACCAAAACCCTAGTTACCGGAGCCATCGCCCAGTATGAGTAGGCAAGCATTCAAGTCTATCTCACTCATCATGTCGCCCTTCCACTGTGGCACCCGAGCAATCGGTCCTGGAGCAGGGCCACTGTTCCTCCAGAGTCGAGGCCTCATTCCAGCCCTCAAAGAATTTGGCCTCCCAGTCCACGAAGTCCAAATCGAGCCTGTGGACGAGCTAGATGGCGAGCTCGCAAAATGCTTCGAAATTATCCGCCGAACATCAAGGCTCGTTTCTAAAGCTCGTGGGAATGGATCGTTTCCCATTGTATTATCCGGTAATTGCAGCGGTGCAGTGGGCGTCGCGGCAGGATTAAGTTCTAGCGGCATTGCTGGAGGGGATCTGGGATGTGTATGGTTTGATGCCCACGATGACTTTCACACACCAGATACTATTGCCAGTGGCTATGGAGACTCCATGCCAATTGCAATCCTGGCAGGGTTGTGCTACAACCGAATGCTGCAATCAGTCCCGGGCCATCAGCCGCTGAATTTGAATCACCTGGTACATGTGGGTATGCGAGATGTTACTGAGGAGGAGAAGCAGAGGGTTCTTGATGCTGGGTTTGACATCATTTGGGGAAACGCTGAGCAGAAAGTGGATTTTGGCAGTGGGTTGCGCACAGTGTTGGAGAAGAAATCGCTGACAGACACAATGGTCCATGTGGATTTGGACTCGCTGGATGCGTCGATAGGCATGGCAAATAAGATGGCCACCTATGGTGGTTTGTTGGAAGCTGACTTGATTGAGTGTCTGGAGGAAGTGGTGAGGCATACACATCCGGTTTCGTTGACGTTGGCTTCGTTTGATCCGGGCTATGAGCGGGCGGACAAAATTGCGCATGTTGGAATTGTCGGTGTTAAGACGTTTTTGAGGGCACTACTGGGATCCAGTCGAGGAGGTGCAACAGTTCATCGATGCTGATGTCACGACTCTCGGGCGAGATGGACAAGAAAATGCGCGTAAGCTGACGTCGTTGGTTTTTGGTTCTGGCTAGGGCTAGACATTGCTTCCTAGGGGTATCAGGGTTAATGGCGCAAGACACAACTGGTTGGGTTTACTTTTGCACGAGTGCAACACAAGCACGGGCAGTTTGTGCGACGAAAAGTGAATTGTACAACATGCTGCAGTGTAATGTTGCAGATGCAAAAAGATCGAAATTGTAACTACTCGGCTCTCTGAGCACTCGAGTCGAAGGGAGACGGCTCCAACACGTGAACTGCACGAGCAGCCAGTCGGGTTCCATATTGACGACAGACTCTGGAATCGGCTGGGCCCCAGTGCCAGTGAACCGACACGTACCTGGAGTCCTGGACAGGTCAACTGGTACGTATACTGCATGTAGATAGAAGGCAGGAAGGATGCAGCACTGGAGCGCGACTTCCACCAGACACTGTCACCGTTCGGCTCCATCAACTATTGCTGGCTCGCTCTTGTCGAAATCGGTGGCAATAGTCTCTCGCCGGCTCAGGCTCCGTCCCGGCATCCAATGAAACCATATCTTGACCGAGTTGTGGACTTGAGCGTGCACGCATGGACCTCAAAACTCCCGGGCCGGATGAAACAGCCGACACAAGCATGTTCAGCCAGTATACGATAGGCGTGCCATCTGGCGGGCCACATCGCGGTGTCAAGGCGAGCCACAAAAAGTCGAGGTATGGCTGTAAGAGGTGTCGGACAAGACGGGTCAAGGTAAGTTTTGCCATTGAGCTTTTCCCATCAATCAATCCATACGTCAACTGGTCTCAAGTCCTATTCCTTTCTCATGCGGCACGACATGCCTGATATCAAAAAAGACACACACCATGCTGCTTGGCTGGCTACCCGTCAATGGTCATTCACGAATCACCACAAGCTGACCGCGTCCTCTCTCCGTTAGTGCAATGAACAGAAGCCAGTTTGTGACAACTGCAAGCGGCATCGGTCAGAGTGCATTTATGATCGTGTGCCGCCCCTGACCACGCCGGTGATTTCATCTGCTCCATTTCGTCCCGAATCTGCAGAGGCTCGCGTTGCTGTCGCCATTGCCCGCAATATCGAGAACTCACATCTCTCTGATCCCCCAGAGTCACGAGAGCGGCGCATTCTGGAAACGAGGTTAATGTATCAATATTCAACATCAACCGGCACCACCATTGCCATTGATGACAAGTCCAAGGGGCTGTATGTGAACATGGTTCCAAGGCTGGCCCTGACCTCGGATGCATTGTTGTACTGCATGTACTCACTTGCCGCTTTGCATTGCAAGGTTGTTGGCGATCTGATGGGGCTCGTCAGTCGCGATGCTCATCGAAAGTATCTCTCCATGGGCTTGCGAGAGCATAATCTAGCCATTGCAAACATAAGCCCCGAGACTGCAGACGCAATATGCTTGACCTCGACTCTCCTTCGAGTCTGCTCCTTCATTTTGCTACAGGACCGGCTGCGCCAGCCATACACCCCGCCAGTGGAGTGGTTAATGATGAACGCGAGCACCAAGGCCATTGTCGGCACAGCATATGAACTTCCCGGCGGAAAAGAAAAGTCTGTTGCCGCAATGATGGTTGGGCTCTCCCCTCTCGTGTCCAACGAGCAAATGCGATTTGACCCAGTTCAGAGACGGGGCTTCGAACCATTACTCCAGCGGGACGAGATTCGGGATGCCAGCGAGCCTTGGGATCCTGAATCCCGAGATGCATATGAATCTACATTGAGCTACCTGGGCGGGGCGATTGAAACAGAACGAGTTGGGGATAGACATGACGGCCTCCGGAGGCTCATTATATTTCCCATGTTGGTAAAAGGGAGGTTTATAGAACTGGTTCAAGAGGGGCAACCTCGGGCGACTATTTTTCTGGCGTACTATTTTGCTCTTTTGGCCTTACACAAGGACAGATGGTGGATTGGAGAAGCAGGGGCTCATGAAGTACGAGCAATGGCGGCCCATTTCACTGACCAGTGGCGAACGTTGCTGAACTGGCCGTTGAGAGTTGTTGAAACAGGCGAAGTCCCTGCATTTGGCTGAGACGACCAGTGATATTCCTACTACTCCATACTGAGCCCAGGGTTTCCTGCGGGCCGAGCACTTCGTTTTCAGTTTGCACAAAGTTGTCCAAACGTTGTTAGCGGGGCGAAGGGTTGTCGATGGCTTACAGATTGCTGTTGGCTAACGGCTTCTCATGGCGATGATGGCCTTGGTTATCTGTCTCGTACTATGACGGCAGCCTTCTATCCACATGGTACGATAAGATGAGAACCACAGCTATTTCGAGTGGACAATTTGCGAAGAACTTTTGTGTCAGAATAAGGTGATTCGACAGCCTGTCGGACACGATTCGTCATGAAGGTTATCACTATTGGTCTTGTGACCTGATGGCAACAAGGATTACTTTTCATGCATCATCATCACACACTTTCAGGGGCTCCTATCTAGACAGTCATGAATTCTACACACGCAAGGAGTTTGTGTCCAAGATCATGCCGTGTAGATGCATGTCGGGACGGCGGAGACACTTGTGCAGCCCTGAGCCTCAAGAGCTATAGCTGCGATTCTCCCGATTGGTACGATCGAGACTCGAGAGATATGTCTGTGTCGTTCCTGTCGGGCGTTGTTCCACTTGCCAGGGATGGGGTGGGGATCTTGGGATGAAGAATGACCTCGTGATCTGCGGAAGCTCGTCACGAGGCAGCAGGAACTGCAGCCCAAGACGTGGCAGTGAAATCAGCAAATAAAGATTTGCTGACACCCATGTAGAATTGCTGATAATAAATCACTCATAGAGATGGAATTGACGAATTGCATAGTTGGTGATGATGCTATTACATGTTGTTGTCACCTTTGGAATCATGCCCACTCACCTTTCAAGTATATAAGTCTGCTGTCTCTCCTTTGCGAACCCCGAGTTGGTGTAACCAAAAACAGCAGTGGAACAAGACACAGTTACCATCTTTAAAAGAAATATCAAAAGCGTCTTCTTTTCTTCTCATTTCTCCTCCATCATGACTTTGGGCATTGTCCTCCCACCACCAAAATTCGACCTCACCCTCGATGAAATGTTTTCCAAAGCAGCCTACATTCTAGAATTGGCCAAGGACGGAATATACGAAATCACCTCTTCAGTCGAGCCCGAGGAAGCAACTTATGAAAACGTCATCATCCCCATTGGCCACGTCGAGAACCAGCTAAGCTACGAAATAGAGCCTCTGTCTATTCTTGAATCCGTATCTCCCTCGGCGGAGATCAGAGCGGCCGCTTCGAAAGCAGTCAAGACGGCACAAGAAGCATGGGAGATCATCTACGACAACGAAGAGCTGTTCCTCTTGATCGATGCCGTCAAGCACCAGCGCCCCGCGAACCTGGACGAGGAATCGGGCCGGTTCCTGGCGGACCTGCATAGCGAGTGTGTCGAAAAGGGCCTCAACTTGCCAGAGGCGGAGGCAGAGCGCTATTCGGAAATCAGGCACCGCAAGTACGAGCTGCACTCTGCGTTTGTGGCGAATCTAGCTACTGACCCGGGCGTCGTTTTGAAATCCGACGCTGAACTGGAGGGCTTGCCGAGAAGTAAGCTTGAGAGTTTTCAGATGGACGAGCAGGGCAGAAGGAGGATCCCTCTTCACAGGACGAATGCTGATGCCATCATGCGGCAGTGCACCAACGAAGAAACTCGGAGGGATGTCTGGGCCGCCAAGGAGTCTATATATCCGGAGAACGCAGCGTACTTCCGGGAAGCGGTTCTCCTGCGGGACGAAGCAGCTCGTTTGCTGGGGTTTTCTTCGTACAACCACCAGCTTGTGCGTCGTCGAATGATGAAGTCGCCCGAGGCAGTTATGAACCTCCTGAGGGCCATGGAGACGAAGCTGAAACCATTGGTGAAGATGGAAATGGATGCTTTGAGGGAGTTGCGTGGCGATGGTGAGCCAATTCACTTCTGGGACCTTGCCTACTACGATTCGCAGACGTTGAAAGGGAGGAATGTGAATAGTGACGTTGTGGCGGAGTACTTTCCCGCAGACTTTGTGTTGGGCAGGATGCTGGGCATGTTTGAAAAGCTATTCCAGTTGGAGATTTCCGAGGTTGCAGACATAAAGGATGACGAGGTGTGGCATCCAGATGTAAAGGTTTACAAAGTGAGCGAGTTGGGAGGTCTGTTTGTGGGATATTTGTACATGGATCTGTATCCGAGGGAGGGCAAGTATAACAGCTCTGCCGACTTCAACATCCGGCCGGTATGTGTTGACCTTGCAGCGAGTCGCTGTATTATTCTAAAACATGTTGCAGAGTTATATCGACCGAGAGGGAAGATACATGCCGAGTGCCACGGCGCTGATTTGCAATGTGACGCCTCCCACGAAAGATACTCCTGCGTTGCTGCACCACTCCGACGTCATAACTATATTTCATGAGCTGGGACACGGTACGTGATGCGTGTTTTTTTTCTCTTGTCAGATGAACGGAAAAACTAAAGCAAGAAGGCAGGAATGCACGATTTGATGGGCCGCACCAGATACGCCAAGTACCACGGGTGGCGTGGCAGAAGAGACTTTTGCGAAGCGCCGAGCCAACTTCTAGAATTCTTCTGCTGGCTCCCCCAGACCCTGAAGCTGATGAGCTGTCACTACTCGTATCTGTCGGAGGAATACAAACAGCAGTGGGAACGGATGAATCCCGCCACGGCCAAGCAGCCGGAAAAGCAGATCCCGGGCGAGATGTTGTCAGCGTTGATTGCGGCCAAGAATGTCAACAGTGCGATATGGACCGCGAGACAGGTAGGACTGAGTATTTTTGATATGAAGGTTCATAATCCATCTTCTCATGGGGAACTGGAGGGCCTGGACATTGCCAAGGAATACTATACGTCCATCACAGAGGCCACCGGGCTGCAGGGACTAGAGGATGAAGCGACGTTGGGGAACGGGTATTCTACCACTGCTCATTTCATGTGGGGCCAGGAAGCCAACTACTATTCCTACATTTCGTATGTCACTTCATGTTGTATTACACGCGTGCCGAGTGCTTGTATGGTTTCACCATGGACAGAGCTGATCTTTACAGGACCCGTATTCTCGCAGCAGACATGTGGAATGCATGCTTCCGCGATGACCCCATGAATCCAGAGACGGGGCTCCGATATCGACAAATGGTCCTGGATAAAGGCGGTAGTGTGGATGAAGCAAAAATGGTGGCTGCGTTTTTGGGTCGTGAGCCCAATTCGGATGCGTATTTGGAAGAAATTGGTGTTGAGGATGTGGCAAAGTGATGACGGAAGAGACAATCGGCGCCACTGCGCCACCAGTCGGTTCATCTTTATCTTTTTTTGGTCTCGATACTCCGTAGCAATTACCGAGTTCCGGCCAGCCGGGACATGCCCAAACACACCAGAGTCTCTCAGCTAGGCAAAGTATGAAACGACGTTGTCACGGCGCTCAAGCTACACTCTTGTAGAAGACTCGAGCTGGCAGGGCTGTAGCCAGCAAAGTTTCGGTTCCCTATTGAGATGCAGGCTGTGACGCAGAACAAAGCGACCTGGGTGGTGGAGGAAGGCGATGAAGTTGGTAGTACGGAGTAATGCCACCACCACCCATGCTCGAGTCCAGAAATAGTACATGGTCAGCCAATGACGGGACCCAAGGGCCAGTTCTCCGTAAAACGGGCCGTCACAGAGTTTGTCTCGTGCGCCAAGATGCGTGCGCGTTGTCAACTCGTAGTCCCCGATGGTGGCGCAGTTGCTGCTGCGCGACAAACTTATGCGCCATGTTTCCGAGAAAGGCTCTGTTGAAGCACGCACGGCAGCAGTCAGACGCCCGTTGCATTGGTGAGGCAAACGCTCGGTTGGCATTGAGACATGTCGCGAATGTTGAGTTTTTTTTTTTTTAGCCGACGTGTTATCTGCTTCGTGGGATTCATCGATGGAGTTCAAAAACCATTCCTGGCGTCATTTCGCTTCATGGCGTTGCCATGGCAAGAAGCGGGTATCAAGACGACAAAGCCGGTTGACGTCGATTGACCCCAGCGCAAGAGCCTGTAAAGAGCCTGTAAAGAGCCTGTCAACGGTCAATTCGAGACACTGGACACTCAAGAACCAAGTTAGCAGGGGTCTTGTTGTCGCTGTGTCTTTGGGAGGAGGGGAAAGTGGCCATTGCTCTTCTGCCAAGCGGCTCGCATTGCATTGCTTGAGTGCCAACAGCCATGTTGTTCAACCGACAGCTGTTAAATTAAGACTCCGTGGTCGTTGTGACGCCACATCGAACCTGAGGGGGGGGATCAATGATAGTTGCTTGCTGCGTACGGAGTACTCAGTCGGTCGGGCACAGGCCTGACGGACGAGGGACACGTTCCGTTGAGTAGAAATGGCGTGAGAGATGTATGTACTAATTCGTCGTCAAGACCTGTGTAGAAGAAGCCCATGTTTTGTTTCGCTTTCATGCCTAGCATGTGGCATGGCAAGCTCCGCCAGTCACGCTGATGGCTGATGTCTGCTGGGTATCAGCTCGTCAGCCTCCTCAATGGCACCAAGGTTCGCATCAGCCAGATCGAGGCCCACAGACGGCGCCATGGGCGGAGCGAATGCAGGGATCAGCTGCTCACAAGTTGCACCAGCGGCTAGTGAGGCACATGGATGGTGGATGGAGGATGGGGGGCCCAGGGTTGCTGCTTGCTTGTGCTTGACGCAGGTTGGCAGGGTTGGCAGTTATTATTACCAGGACGGAGAAGCTCGACGTTACCAGCTCCAATGGATCAATGCTGGACCCGGAACCTCCCCCATCCACGCGGAGTGGTTATCCTATGATAAAACAAGCTTCTAGTCTCCAACAGTCCGGTACCCTGACAAGCTGTGCTCCTGTCAATTGTATGTATGTACGTACATAGTGCTCGAGTGGGCTTTGAATGGAAAGAAAGCCGTTATACTCCGTACTTGGTCGTCCTCAAAACGTCTGGTACGTAACGTACGGAGCTCGACAGACCGAGTTCCAGCCCCCACCATCCTGGCACACGATCCTTCTGGTCTTCGCCAGACTTTGCCTCCATTCAACTCTCCTTGGACGCGAGGCCGGCGCACCCTCTTGACTCTCGAGCTCCTTTTGAACCGCCGCGCGCCCGTCAGTTGCACCTCACCAGCCATATGTACGAGTTGACCGCTGCCGACAGCAAACCCGCACCCCCAAGCTTCTCTCTGTCCAGCCTTGGACTCCCCCGGTGTCGTCACTAACCCGCCCAGTCTACCACTCCTACAGCCAACAACGCATCGTTCGAGGACTCCTTTCCGTCCACGGGCTCTCGTTCTTGACGAGCTGTCGCCCTTGGCCCTTCTCCCCAGATGCGGCAAGGCTTCCCGAGACAAGACTGAGCAATGGACGCCGAGCTCGTTGCTAGAGCCCTAGAGGGACCAGACCGGCCACCATATTACAAGGTCGTAGGTATCGCACTGGCTATTGGTTCTGGCCTGTTCATCGGATCATCCTTTGTGCTGAAAAAGGTCGGACTTCTCAGGGCCAACGAGAAGTACAACGAAGTCGCTGGCGAGGGCTACGGATATTTGAAAAACGCCTTTTGGTGGAGCGGCATGACGCTCATGATTGTCGGCGAGATCTGCAACTTCGTCGCATATGCCTTTACCGATGCGATTCTCGTCACGCCACTGGGAGCATTGTCTGTTGTCATTACCACAATTCTCTCCGCCGTATTTCTCAAGGAACGCCTGAGTCTGGTCGGCAAGGTTGCATGCTTTCTATGTATAGTCGGGTCCGTCGTCATTGTCCTGAACGGCCCTCAGGAATCCTCGGTCGCCGACATTCAGGAAATGAAGACGTTCTTTATCGCTCCGGGCTTCCTGTCCTATGCAGGCGTTATTTTGGTCGGCTCCGTCATTACTGCATTTTATGCTGGCCCTAGATGGGGCAAGAAGAACATGCTGGTCTACATTTCCATCTGCAGTTGGATTGGCGGTCTGAGTGTCGTGTGTACTCAAGGGTTGGGCGCAGCCATCATAGCATGGATTGGTGGAAAGCCGCAGTACAAGGAATGGTTCCTATGGGTCTTGTTTGTCTTTGTCATCGGCACGCTGGTGACTGAGATCATCTTCTTAAATGTGAGTCCTGGGCCGCCATGTTGTGCCACCTCTTTACTTCTGCTGTTCACCAGGTTTGACCGTTCAACAGAAAGCTCTCAACCTCTTCAACGCAGCTCTCGTCACGCCCACATATTATGTTTACTTCACCAGCACCACAATCATCACGTCTTCAGTCTTGTTCAGAGGTTTCAAGGGCACCCCGCAGGCAATTGCCACCGTTGTGATGGGATTTCTCACAATTTGCTCGGGCGTGGTACTGTTGCAGTTATCCAAGTCAGCCAAGGATGTTCCCGACGTTGCCGTTTTCAAGGGCGACCTGGATCAAATCCACACCATTGCCGAACAAGAGCAGCCGGAGTCAGAGCCCAAGGCTGATGCCATCCGTGGCGCGGCCGCTATCGTACGTAGAATATCAAACACTCGTTTAAGGATGGAAGCCGAGGAGTTGAAGAGGCTCCATGAAGAGAAGATGGCAGAGACCATGGCCCCTATTAGCGAGGACGGGCAGTCGGAATATGAGTGGGACGGCCTAAGAAGAAGGAGAACACTGGCGGCGAGCACACGAGCACGCGCTGCAACATCGCCTCAACCTCGTACACCGGTCCCCGGCCCGTTGGGCAGTCCCACAAGTCCTCACCCTCCGCTAGGCATGTCGCGCTTCCCGTCGGACGAGGAGCTTGAGCAAGCGGAGCAAGGCACCATTTTCTCTAGTATAGCTGGCACCATTCGAGGCCGGCCTCGGACCAGCACCACACTACCGTCCTACGAGGACGAGTATCCCATTAAAGGCAGAAGTCCCCTTCATCCCATTCCACTGACGCATATACAACAAGTGCCGACACAGAAGCCTGATGACGAAGCAGGTGCGTATTATGGTCACACCCGCGAGCATGTCTTTAGCCATCAGGATACCGCGTATCACGGCGTCGCGGACAGGAATGTTCAGGACATTCCACCCACGCCACCGCCACACTCTGCACGACGCCAGTTTTCATTCAATCGAGTTTTCAGGCGGAATACAGGGCCTACGGAAGAGGAAAGAGTAGGTCTAGTCAAAGAGGGGGGAACTGAAGGCCAGCCTTCCTTTATCTAGGATGCTTGTATTATTAGACGGAACCGCATAGAGGGATACCCCATCATGAGTGCATGAGTATCAAGCATGAATAAATGAGTACATTGTACATTGCAATTCCAGCTGTGGAAAATTTACCGACAGTCAACCCACACCTTGTGCACTATCAAGATGCCAGCTATACGACACACGCTCACTCAATACTGTCATGCCACAAGATGTCGACAGATACTCTACGAATGGACAAATAAGTCTTGTTATAGTCTGTATTCGTTACATTGTGCTCCTTTCATTCTATGGCTTGCTCTGGTGTGTCATTCATCTCATCATAAAATAAAACGCCGCCAATGCAATCTGGGATGTAGAATATACGATCCAAGCAAAAAAATGAATACAAAAGAAGAGTAAGGACGGCCGGCAACGGACCTTTTGTTTTCAATTTATGCCCACGTCTCCTGGGCCATCACCAGTCCACGGCCCAGCCGTTTTCCTCGATAAAGTCTTCGCACGCTTGGCGCAGGGCAAGGTTTGGTCTGAGTTCAGACGGGACAAGGGGCTCCCGTGTCAAAGGATCGGTAGGCCGCCGCTGGAGATGTTCCATGATGGCTGAGCGTTCATACGACTTGCCCGTCTTTGTCTATTTTAAATTTCTCACGGTCAGTATATTTTTTTTTCTTTTTTCTTTCTCAAAAGACGACAATATGCTACTGCCCAAGCTGGCAGGGGGGGCATGCAAAGTGTGAAGTGCAAATATGTCCTTGGGCAGGAGATTTTGGGGACAGAAACTCACAACAACGGGATCAACCATGATGGCGAAGCTGATATCGTCGATAACCCACTCGGGCACCTCTCTCCGCCTGTCGGCCTGGGCCCTGGCGCGCTCGAAAACAGCCCGCATCTGCTGCACCCTCTGCTCGTTGTCCTCCCGGATCAGGCCCTTTTCGTACTCGCTGGTGGCGGGGTCGGCGAGCATGTCGTCGGCGTCCTTGGCCAGCAGGTCCAGGACGGTGGTCTCCAGGGCCTGTGCTTCCTTGGCCCGCAGCTTCTCGCGGTGCTCCCAGCGCGCCTTTTTGCACCGGAGCACGGCGGCGGTGATTTGCGAGAGGGACTTGTCGTTGGTCTTGGCGCATATCCCGTGCGCGCGGACGGCGTGGGTGACGGCCGACTCGTAGTCCCTGCTGTGGAGGAAGGCCTGCGAGAGGTAGTAGTGCGCCTTCATGGAGTCGGGCGTGATGGAGAGGCACGTCTGGCAGTCGGAGATGACGGACTCCCAGAGGGACAGTTTGAGGCGCGACATGGCGCGGTTGGTGTAGAGGGTGGGGTTTTTGGGGTCTGCTATGATGCTGGATTTGCGTTAGCGGTGAGGGCGATGGATGTGCGTTTGCAGTTGGTGGTGGTGGTTGGTGGTGGTGGTGTTGACAAAGGGTGACATCACGTACGCTTTTGAGTAGAGGCTCTCTGCGGCCAGGTAGTCTCCGCTCTGGAAATGGCGGTTGCCTTGTTCCTTGAGCTCCAGCGACTTTGCCATTGCTGTTTTCTGACAATGCTTGCTCAGTGGTGAAAGGTTTTGGTCGTGGTAGGTGTTGATGAACCCCTTTGGACACGTCGATGCGGCCACCCAAGCGGGAATTACAACTATCTTGCGCTGCAATTACTCTAACTTTTTTTAAAAGGAGGACCTCGATTTAAGCTATCATATTAAAGCTGTACACATGTATCGGCAGCTTGAAAACAAAGAAAGAAAAAAAGGCAGCGGCCAGCGACACTCAAAAGGGGTGGAACAAATACCAAGGGCGGTAGATATTGGGATGGGCTGAAATTGGAGGATTAAGGCTTCTTTGCGCAGGTCGCACAAGGGCTGAGGTGGCGTAATGTATGTACGGCCAGCAGGTTGGTCTGGAGAGTATATTTCACCTCGGCAAGTGAATATTTGAATAAAAGCTGGAAATGGCACAGTTGATTGTTTGTCCCAAGGACAGGAGTGTGGAGTTTGTGCCTTTCAACTGTGAGTCGAGTGTCAAGGACGGGGGGATTTGTAAGGCCGTTGACGAGTTTCCTGGAATATTCGAGAATGAAGATGGCCAGACCAGCGTGGGTGAGGACTGGACGTTAAACCGGGGCAGGGGGATAGGAAGGTCGGCACCGGTCACCGGGCCTATATTTGATGTAACTGCTCCGTACCCAGTACCTAGCACATAGTTGCCCCGCTGGGTTCGGGGTCCGTTGGGCTGACAAGCGATTGACACCAGCATTAAACAAGTAACTTAAACAAAACTCGTAATAGCGTCGGCCTCCGGTAGACCTCTTTTCGATGTCCCCTTTTCACATCAACCGTCCGTCAGTTTTCCATCTCCCCAAAAATGCAACAAGACAAATATGGCACTGGCACCAAGAATATCGCGTCAAGTTGGACGCCAACCTATGGCTCAGGTCATTCTTGGAATGCCAAGCCCGCAATGGGAGGAAAGCGACTTGGAATGATCTCGTCACGCATGCGCCACATTGCGTCGACGGCCTTGATCACGTTTGTCTGAAAATGGCAGCTTTCATTTAATTGATCAAAAAGTGCAGATTCAAGGTGAGCTGAATGGGCCGAAGCAGCCGTTAATAAACTATGATGTCCATGTTATTGTCACCCATTTATCAGAACCGTCCCTTAGTCGCGGAAATATAGATTATCACAGTCTTGAGCTTTCCTGGCCGGTTTTTCCTTCTCCCTTTTTTTATTACCATCTCAACTTTTACCAATTTCCAATACATTGCTGAAGAGATCAGGGTAGACTGGTAGACGTGGGATACCTTGATTAATCTCCATGACCTAGATATATGGGGGCGTGCTTTTGCTCATGGACACTAGGAACAGGTGGGCAGATGATGCTCGAGCAAATGAGCTGCTTTTGGGGGTGAAAAAAAAAATACGACAATGCAAACCTAATATTTATAAATCGAATGATGTTTCATCAAAGTATAAAACATCCAAAACTACTCCGTAGAAACTCGTCCCCAACCTAACCATCGACCATGGAAAATCGTAAACCTACTCCAAACCCATGAACAAAACGCCGATACGTCGCGATCCAAATTCCCCAACACCAAATGCCAAACATGCAGGTCCTCTTCGGTATTCGCAGCTCTCACGGCTTCCTCGCCTTCATCCATTCCACCATCTTATCAATCGCCCCCTTGCCGTCGTGATCAGGCAGCACCAACGGCCACACATGCATCATGCCCGGGCCCTCCACCAGCGTCACATCGCGCCCAGCGGCAGCGGCCTTTTCGACAAACCGCTTCGTATCCGGCGTGAGCAGATCCTCGCCCGCGGCAAGCAGCATCATGGGCGGCATCTCGCCCAAATCCCCAAACAGCGGACTCACCCGCGCGTCGTCAGTCGGCCACTCGCCCCTCACCAGCTCGGCCGCCTCCATGCAGCCCACGACATCCAGCCACGGATCCCTCCTCGACAGCTCGCGCGCCTCGGTGTTGGTAAAGGTAGCGTCCACCACGGGCGTAATGGCGACCAGGCCCGCGGCAGACCGTGTGCCGGCCCTGATGGCCTCCTGCGCGAGCACCAGCGCCATGCACCCGCCGGCGGAATCGCCCACCACCAAGAACGGCGAGTCGTCCCTCGCTGCCGCCATCTCGTCGTGGATGGGCTGCAGCATGGCGTACATGTCCTTGAGCTTCTTCTCCGGCCCGAGCGGGTAGATGGGCACCGTGACGCTGGCCTGCAGTCGCTCCGCCAGCAGCGCGATCAGGGTCCAGTGCGGCCCGAGGATCTCGAACATGAACGAGCCGCCGTGGAGGTAGAGGATGCGGACCGCGTTGGGCGTCTCTGACTTGGGCGCCAGCTCCAGGACCGGGTAGCCATCTACCTGGCGCTCCTCGATCATAAACTCGGTGCGCAGGTGCTGCGGCGGCCGGTAGTCGGGCGGGTTCTTGCGGGCTTTGGCGATGCGCCTGTGGAGGGCTTCGACGGATGTGAAGTTCCCCTTGTGCCAGAGCCAGAGGTACCATGAGGCGAGATGTGCTCTCCAGGTTGGCATTTTGTGTGTCCTTGTCCTTGGATGGTGCTGCTTGGGGATTTCTGGTGATGTTGTGGCGAGAGACTACTCCTCCGTGGATCGTGGATCGGGAGCCATTCGTCGGATGTTCGTCTGGGGTCTGGAGCCGAGGTCCTGAGCTCCCCTCCTGGGGGAGGCTAAGGGCACCGCTTGCGATTTAAAGTTGTGTGTTGACGTGGACCAGTAGATACCGTCTGGGACCAGGATCCTGGGCATGAAGTGATTGGGTCTCCTGTGGAATGCGGCGCCTCTCCATTTGCGGCCCATACCGAACTCACAGCATGGTCAATGGTGGTGTCTCAGACATGTCTGGTGCAAGTCTCATACGGCTTGTAATGTGCGACGCCAAAACGTGTGGCATGGGTATGTTGGGCGTCTTGTCTGCGTATAACCGTGTCTCTCCAGTTCCAAGGGCTAATTACTTATGTGCCTAGGCCTCCGTCGAACTATACATGACATGTATATTTCATCCGCCCTCTCAGGCCTCACGGACCGCTATCTGCTGTTAAGGGCGTCACTCGGTATCATGCTCATCACCCCATTCTGATGAACCAAAAAAGTATTCGACCTCGGTCGAAGATTTTTGTACCGCGCACCAAACTATGACAAAACAAAGTATCATGTGGCAGACATGAAGGGTGCGTTTCATCACTCTAGAGAATAGTATATCCCGCGCCCCAGAGTATTCACTTACAACACCAGTGCTCATTCGGACCGCCACTCCATTATCAGTAAGACCATCTCACGGAAATCACCAATCATCAAGCGATTATCCCGCAGGCATCCCATCAATAGCAGATTCACGCCTTGCCTATACTCCCAAACTAGCCCACATGCCTTCGTGTTCAGCGGTCAAACCGCTCTGACATCTCAGACTCTAGTGTCCGAGAAAACTTCCGAGCCGTCAATAAAGTTCACCTGCCGTCCTCAAGAAGAATAAAACCACCCCCAAGACTGAAACTCAGACTTTTACGCCGCAGACATCAGCCCTGTCGCCACCACGCAGCCTCTTGACGCGAGCGTGGGAATCTGGGCCCCGTCACAGCTCAATAGTCCAGCCACGATCCTCGCGAATGCTAAGCTGCCAGCCATGAATAGTGACCAGTTGTCAAAATGCTCCCTCGGTAGAAAGAGTGTGAAAAAAAAAGAAGACAAGTGAAAAGGAATGCCTTCAAATTGTTCTCCTTCCTTGTAACTTCTATCAAGACTTAGCTCTCTTGCGGCCGAATGCGCATTTGATCTCTTCATCTGACTCCAAAGAACAATGGCTGCCCGGCGAGGCATGTTGGCCGACATTCCCGACTTCAGCATCTTCCGCGGCGCCGCAAAATGCACCACGCACCACAGGCCCGGGACCAAGCAACTTGAGCTCGTGGGCGGGCTCATGGTCTCGACGCTGAAGCTGAGCAAATCCGCGCAGAAAGGATGTCCCTGGTGCGCTATATTCTGGGAGGCCTTCAAGCGCTCGGTTGGCACGAGTAAACCCGCCGACCAGGACTTTATATACTGGCGGCACGATGGCGAGAGCTTTTTCGAGCCTTGGTGCACCAGCGCCCAGTCTTCTCCCGGAAAGGGGGAATTCAAGATTCAGATATATACCGACGGTATGCGGACGCTCTCTTCTTCTTTTTTTTTTTTTTGTATTCATTCCCCTGCCCACTGTGAGGCAGGCAGAAGGGCATTTTTGCTAACGAGTCCATCTAGATCTTGCCGGAGCGACCAGTGTCCACAGCCATTTCCCATTCAAAAACTACCTCAACGGCCAGACAGACACGGAGCAGACAATGTCGCAAATAGACTACTGGCGACAGCAGTGCTCTGCAAACCACGTGCAGTGCTCGCCGGTGGCATCGTGGGTGAACCTCCCCACCCGCCTCATCGACGTAAGCAGCCTCGCCGACATCAAACTGGTCGAGACGAGCGGCCGGCAAGGGCAGTACGTGTGCCTCACCCACCGGTGGGGGGACCAAGGAATGCCCACAAGGACAACGACCAGCTCCCTGGACCAGCTGCGGCAGGGCATCCCGCTGGAGTCGTTGCCGCCGACGTTTCGAGACGCGGCCCTCGTCACCCGGCGCATGGGCAGCAGATACCTGTGGATAGACTCGCTGTGCATCATCCAGGACGACAACGACGACTGGGAGCGCGAGTCGGCGCTGATGGCGCCCATCTACAAGAACGGGCTGCTGACGATAGCGGCGGCGTGGGCGTCTGGCCCGCGGGACGGCCTCTTCCAAACCGTCCCGTCGGTCGTGGTGGACAGCCGCAACCTCGAGCTGGCGAGGTACAAGCTCCCGTTCCCCGTCATGGTCCGCCGCCGCCTGCGCTACAGCGTCGGCCACCTGCGCCGGGACGAGGAGCACGGCATCCTCGACCGCCTGTGGGTTCTCCAGGAGCGCCTCCTGTCGCCGCGCGTCGTGTACTTTGGCTTCAACGAGGTGGCGTGGGAGTGCATGGCCGGGTCGGCGTGCGAGTGCGAGCCTATGCTGGCGAACTACGCCGTCGCCGAGTACTCCCCCCGTGAGCCCTTCAACCCCAAGGCCGCGTACAGCCTGTCCACGTCGGCCGAGCACAGCGCCTCCATCGTCGGCCAGTCCCCCGAGCTGTGGCACCACATTGTGAATGCCTACACGGGCCTCGACTTCACAGCCCGCAGGGACAAGTTCCCCGCGCTGTCGGGGCTGGCGTCGGAGGTTGCCAGGATGCGGCCTGGCGACGAGTACCTGGCTGGTCTGTGGCGCTCAACCTTGATGATGGACCTGCTATGGCGGAAGCGAAAAGGGGGCGATTGGCAGGTTACGGCGTTTGGGAAGCACTACGATCTGAACAATGTCTTTGGGGGCTCCGACGTGGGACAGGCGGCTTTCAACAACAAGATTGCTCGACAAGAGATGAAGAATCGAGAGATTCGGCAACAGGATGCGGAAAAGTTGGCGCCTTCGTGGTCGTGGGCGTCCATCAACACGCAGGTCGAGTATGAAAAGGAGCTTAATTCCGCCAACATGGGGCTGGTTGACGCCGAGGGCGCAGAGCTTCTCGACGCGGATTGCGCTCACAGGTATGGAATGGGCATGTTGCTACATCCCACGACAGCCTCTGTCACCATAAGGGGTAAGCTCGCCACGGTTGAAGCAAAATCGGTCAAGGCTCTGCCCGGTGAGATTGTGCTCTACAGGGACGACCACGCGATGGCTTTCTCCGCAGCAGATAATCCTGCAGAAGTCGGTCTGGGAGGCAGGCTATATTGTTTGTTAATAGCGGCGGGGCGTGTCAAGACAAGGCTGGCAATGGGACGAATATACGGACTCGTTTTGGCCGAAGCCGGTGATGGATTGGGAGGCAAGTTGTTCCAGAGAGTGGGCATGTTTCAGGAGACATTTACATATGGCAAAGAGTGGTGCATGTTTGATGGCATTACGGGAACGGTAGATGTTGTGATTGTATAGTCGTCATGTTTCATGATAGGTTGGCATGGGTATTCAAAAAGTTGTCTACGCACCCGATGAATTTGATACCACACCTATCCTAGCCTTCGGCTAGATCTTCTTGTGGAACCAATATCCGTCGTCTACTCGGCACCGTCGACACAGCTATGAGGGCCAGGGTGAAAAAGGCTGCTGCAAACAAAAACGGCATCCCTACCCAAAACCCGCCCAGCTTCAATCCCCATCGGAAGGTCTCTGCTAGCATAGGTTGGCCGATAAACAGACCACTCTGTGTCATGACTTCAATGACAGTGTACAGGACACCAAGATGAGTCGAATCCACGAGACCCGTTGCCAAACTCCTTACGGGGATGGCGAAGACGTCTCCAACGGAAATTAGCACCAAACCTCCTACCATTGATATGGCGGACGTGGCTTGAAACACAACGAGGCAACCGAGCACGAGCAATAAGCCGCTAGCTTGGGCGATGCACTTGTCTTTCTGCATCACGGAGAGGCGATAGGTGGTAAGGAGAATGGCGGACACTGCCGGAACCAGAACGACGAGGGCGGACATATTGACGCCCGCGCGGACCGATATGAGGAATGACGCCTTACACATTAGCGAAATTTTGCATCATAATATGACGGAGTGAGGGCCGTATGGGTGGGTTTTACCTTGCTCAATGTCCAGTCAAGGCGATTCGCGGCGTACTGAAGCAGCAATGTAAGCCCAGCCTGCTCGCCTAGCTGGAACACAAAAAATGACAGGACGAGTGGTACGAGTCGCGAGTTTGAAGCAGTCCAGTCTGCTATACGTGATGTGCTTGATCGTATGCCCGTCCAGCTGAACCACTGCGCTTTGGAATGGACGCCAGCAATTTCATCCTGGAGCAGACCCTGCCTTTCAATACTGTGAGCCGGTTCGGACGGCCAGTCTCCAGGCACGAGAATCACAGCCGCAATGAAGCCAGAAATCATGAAACCTGTGGAAACAAACATGGGAACCCAGGGGTTCGTGGATATCAAGGCACCACCAATGGGGATGAAAATGAGCTGGGAGAGAAGTTTGGCCGATCTGATTTGAGAGAAGGCGGATGTTCTACAGTCTATAGTCAGAGGTGAATTCGCAAAGGAGGGTCACATGGTTTCGTAAACTTACCTCTGTTCTTCTGGACACGCCTCTGCCACCAAAGCATGTGTGACGGATGATAGTGTCGCGGCTCCGGAACCAATTGCTTGCCACAACCCGGCAATCCACACGGCTCTCACGGGGAAAACGTCCGGGAACCAGTCTAAAACGCCTGGGTAAGTGTGCCGTTGCCAATATCACAGAGCCATGACTCACAAACAAGTCTTATCCAGGCGTCGTTCATAAACATTCCAAATAGAGCCACCAACAGAATCCTTTTCCTGCCCACCTTGTCTGCTAGCGCTCCAAACGGAACTGCCAGCAGCATATTTGGGATATTCTCTATTGCCGCCTCCCATCCTATCACGTAGGCGACTTCACTCTGCACAGGGACAACGCCACATCTGTCTTTGTCCTGGACGTGCGTGGTGCCAGCGAGAGAATCGACCCCGTCGTAGTACTGTTTGCATACAATATCTTGGAGAATGGCGGTTTGGGGCGTCAGCGCGATGTTTGTGGCAATGTTCAGAAGAAGATGTATCGTAAAGGCGGCTACTATGGACCGTAGGGCGTCGGGTTTTGAGGGAAGAAAAGTTGGACATGTTGACGAGGCCGATGAGATTGATGGTGGCCGGTCGACATGCGGTGTAGATGTGGCTTCGGGGTTGAGGAGGGAACTGGTTTCCGAGGCCTGCGCGCCGGCCATGATGCTTAATGTTGTCTATGAATCCTGCCACCATGGATGTATGGAGTAAGGTCTTGGGATACTCCGTAGAGGTTACAGCTATGCTGCGGGTAGCATACCCGTCGATGGTTTGTCCATGTCTTCTCGTCTGTTGTCGGTGTATCCACACCTTGACTCCCAGACTCTAGTTGGTGAAATTGAATTGTCACAACCTGCCCAAACGAGCAAGCAACTTGACGCGTGCTTCGAGTGACGGTGGATCAAGGGATCGAGCTTCGACCAGCAACAGTTGTTGGGGGAATGGAAATATTCCCAGTACATACATATCCTACGCTGTTTGACTCTGGCACATGGCCTTTCTTCTCTTCTCAAAACCACCTATTCGGTAGATGAGCGATGAGCTTCATTCGGCCACAGTACTCCGTATACGTAAAAAAAAAAAACTGGTTCTTGGAACCAGGACGAGTGAGAGTGAATGCTGGCGTGAGTTTACCCGCTTCGCTTCGTTGCAGGCGACAAGAGAGGCTCGAGATCATGCACGAGGCAGCACTTGATCATCTCTGGTGGCTCCGTCCAAGCGCTCTTGACAGCACCGATTTGTGGACCCTGCAACCACCGCATTATCGATCGATGTCATGATAACAAGGCATGTCGCTGTGTTTTGCGTTGGAATGGGCTCTTGGTTGTCAGCCACCCCGCAAGTTTTCCAGATTTGCTGCAAACCCGACCATCGCTGCGCCAGAAAGCCCGCGCCAGATCCTGGGCAGCGCCTTCCCTAGCCTATGGCAACCCCGCCATTAGTCACCTGCACCGGCCGGTCGCAGTCAGTCGCAGCCAGTCGCAGCCACTCACGGTGCCTGCATTTCCTTTTGTCCAGGCCGCCGCCAGAATCCACCCCGGCTTTTGCCGAGGGCCACAAATCTTGAGTCTCTGCGACTGCAATCATCCACCACCCCGGTTGCCCGGTTGAGCCGCTGACCAACGCTTCCACCTCCTCGATGTCAATCCCTGGATGCCCTAGTTCCGTGCCTCCCTCGTCCATCTTTTCCTCTCAACAACCCCGACCGATTGCATCTTCTTGCTATCCAGCGCAGTGCTCGATACCAAGTCCTTGCGTGCGACCGTCTTTGCTCAGCGCCCCATACGCAGTGCGATATAGCCGACTCGCCGTGTGACGTCTTCCTCAACTGCGCAGCCGATCGACCTACCTTGAGGGACTCGGTTGATAACACTGTGGGAAGACGACCTCCACCCAAGGAAAAACGCTCCTCGGATCGACCGGTCAAAGTCGTGTGCGACATTATCCATCGACGCCGGACCAACCGACTACTCACTCCTGTCAACGTGGGAAATTGACAGCCGAGCCTCTCCTCAATCCTACATCGACCAAAACACACTAAGCAAACATCGCTTCCGTCCAAACCATGCCCTCTCAACGCCCCTACTTCCTGTCCTCCTTCATCGCCGCCTTCCGCCAACAAGGCCCGACCCTCCAGGCCAATCAACAGCCCAACAAACACAACAATCAATCCGCCGCCGTCGGTTCCTCCACCTCGTCATCATCATATCCCCAAACAAGCACCGCACCGCGGACCATTGCGACCAGCGCCGCCGCCGCAGCAGCAGCATCGTCCGCCCAAGCAAACAGTCGCTCCCCACCCCCTAGCGTATCTATCCACTCTCCCCGCGGCAACAGCGCTGCTTCTATCCCTATTCCAAATCCTTCTGCGTCCGGGCGGCGACGTGGCAGCGACAGCAGTAGCGAGGGCTTCAGAGATGCAATAGGCGCAGACAAGTGGTATATTGGCGGTAGGACGGCAGGCGGCGAAGAGAAATTCTTCAAGCTGGGCGTAGTGAGGAGGGTGAGAAGTAATGATGGTTTGAGTCTGGATCGGCTGAGTTTATAAGACCCGGGACTGAAGAAGACTAGGCCCAAAAAGAAAAAAAATGCTTCATGGCTCCGGTTATGCAAGACGGATGCCACTTCATGAGATGGAAATGTTTACCAATGGCTTGAAATGTGAATATGAATGAGTCTGGATGGGATGTTGGAACTGGAATCATTGGTGGCGTTTACAGGGCTGCTTTGCTATTAAAAAAATGACGTGGCGGGAAAACACTTCATTGCACCATATGGTTGATGTCTCTGCATCTTGCTTTTTCATCTTAAAGCATCGAATGCAGTGTATGAAATATACATGATTGCTTCGCATTTCATGGGCCTATTCTTTTTGTGACGTAGTGTATGCTTTTGTTTTGCTACCACATGAACCGCTGTAGTCGGCCATCTTCGAGATTCCGCCCTTGTTCATCTTTCCATACATACGGCTTCATAAGGAATATATACCCTGTGGCCACGTTTATCGCCACAAACCACAGTGTCTCGAGGACAAGTCGCACGTCATACCGTTTAAATATCTCTTTGGTTTTGCCAACAATTGACCGTGGTGCTACTCCCTCAAATAGGGAGTTTATATGTGCGTGATCATGGACTCTCCAAGCCGGTACTAACAGGCGCCACATCACCCACGGGAGAATGAAGTAGCGAGGCTCAACAAGTGGTGCTGTCATTAGGGAGAGTGTGGTTGCCAACAGGAATATGAGGCCTGTAGAAGTTGAAGTTGGCTCAGCCGAGACCAGGAGCGGGTCATCCTCCACGGTACCTCGAAGTTCACCGTCCGTTGATGCCGAGGAACTCGGCACCAGGCTCATATCCTGGGGATATTCTACGTTTGTTTGTGTCTTCTTTGTTCCCCTTGCGATCCAGAGAGGATGGCTTGTGTAGGGAGCAGGCTCGTTGACGTTGTACCGGGCAGAGCACAGCTCACGGTTGCTCGATGAGATCCAGTCAGCACAACCTGCCAATGTGCCCCATACCATCCATCTGCTGATGGTATACGGAATGATGAGCATGAATCTGATGAGGCTGCCCCGGCGGATAGTGTATCGAAAAATGTAGAACATGTAGTGTCGGTTGTCGGCGAGTGTGAATGGATGAATAATGGTGTTGAATTTAACAATTGCTGTGGATACTACAAATGTAAGTAGAGTATAAATTATCCAAGGAATAAATTTGGAGTTGAAAATGAAATCCGCGGTCCTTAAGGCAGGAGATGGCGAGCCAAGGCTTGGCGTTTCGAGAGCGACTTGAGAGACGGTGCTTCGAGTGTCCCTCGCCTTGGAACCCTCTGGTCGCTTCGATTTGACAGAACGCGAAGATTCAAAGGACCTAGATGTCTTTGAGGGCTGTGACGACCCCGCCCTTTGGCCACTTTGTGAAAGTGAACGAGACACATTTCCTGCAATGTCAAGAATAGGAATTACATGCGGCAAGAGAAGGGGGAGAGAAAAGAAGGCAAAAAAGGGCCAGATATAAAGTAGCTGGGCCAGGTGAATGGTGGCAACATGATTCGACTTATCACCTACCCAAGGTCAGTGACACGATGCCAGTCCGCTTCTATGAAACAACTTACCTAGGACAACGCCGCCATTCCATGCCACAAAGCTAGCAAAAGCGGCGAGGACGGATAAATATGGCCATATTTGGCGAATGACTCGAATGGGATTGCAGAGAGCTGCGATGCCAAGACTAATCGCTGTGAAAAGCATATCTAACGAAGAATATGAGCACCCCGCTTTGACAAGCCGAAGATAAAAAGGTACTTACCATCTGGCCAAGCCAGATTCAGAGGCGGATCATGAACATCGCCCACAGAGTATCTCCAAGCATAAAACTTGACCTGGTCTGTCAATGTCGTCATGAAAGGCTGCTCTGCGTGTTGCGGCCGCAGTGTCTTGAGCGCATGAACAGCCTCCAGACCCCCCATCCACACCACTATCCAGAAGACATTTGTCTGCCTCATGAACAGAGACAAAGTACCCAGCAAAACTGTAATCAAGTCACTCACAAAGGAGCTTCGATCTCGCCCAACGCGCTTGAGGTGGTTCAAATAGCCACCAACCACCACAGCCGTCGAAATAACGTCGGTATAGTACAGTCCTGAAAAGAAAAACAGCAGTGGAAATAGCGCAATGTTGAAAGCCGTGTGCACGGCGTATTTGGAGATGGCTTTGAGGCGCACCGACGAATGTGCCTCGTATAGTCGCGATTCAATTTCATGTCGGCACAACAGGGTCAAGGAGGCGAGAACGATCAAGCCAAGAACGTTTGTGATGCGTAAACTACTAGTATCACAGCTAAACACCCATGGAAGCTTCACAGTCGCGGCTGTCTTTTGGAGAAGAATTGAAAATAGGTACCTGATACGAGTATTAGTCTATCGCCGTAGCCCATGGGGGGAATTGCTATACGAACAGCCCTGGTGGAGTTGTGATTTTGTCATCCCACTCGAGAAACTTGCCCTCACAGTACCTTTGAGCTTGTGGTATGTGGAATATTTCATCCTAGAAGGCTGTTAGTCGGGAAACTAATTGTAAACATGAGAGAATTTCTGCCATACCAAGTATGGCTCTGATACTGTCTCAGAAACTATCATGAACCACGCTCCGCTTAGCAGAGTCAGCAGGAAAAACGGGGGGAAATTCTGCCACTTTGTTCCGGTTCTGCGAGAGACCAAAATCAATATTGGTATAGAAAGTGCCAATGTGGCCAGGGGCGACGCCCAGCTTCTGGTGACTTCTGTGCTGTCTGCCATGTTGGTGGTGGGCGACAACATGGACTGAGAATGGCTGAAAATAGGCAACGCGGAAAGAGTGAAGGGGGGATATTAACAAGGGTACAGGGCCTGCAAATAACGAAAGTTCTTGACGAAAAAGAAAAATCCAAATCCCATTCTATTCCATTTTGAAGGATCTTTCGTCGGCGCCTTGTGCTCTATAAGCGGCGCGAGCTTGGTTGCAAGGAGATTGATTACCTGGCAAGATGACTTCCATTTCTATGCGGGTTTTGTCTGTGCGAGTCGCACTGTTTCATACTGTACAGTCACCACATCCCTTGGATCCCCAAGCAGTACTCATCGACTCGATATTCACATAAAATAGTTGATTGATTGGAGACAATTCAGTAATAGTGAGTGAGCCCAATGTCTCTCCAAGATGCGTTTGCACCACTACATGCATAGTTTACGCATAATGGCGATTTAACATCCTCCGATATCAGACATCTCGTTAACGATATTCGCAGCACAAATTAAAGAAGCAAAGGTTACAGGCTATTTGAAACAGGCAAAGTGGCTCAGAAAAGTTCTATTTTGAGTATCTTATACAAAGAGAAGAACCCTTGTCGTCCACAGGGCCTTGATAATCTACAATCCATGTTCCACCAGTGCATTTTAAAAGGGCTGCAAATTCGTTAACCATGACATTGTGACTCCAATTAGAATATCTGAGACTCACGTTGTCCTGGGGATGGACCTCAGGCTGAACGAAGTAGCTGCCGACGAAGGGGATTTTCTATGGACCAGCATTAGCAGTCAAAACACTACAATCGGCCTATTTAGCAAACATACCTGGAGAACGTCCCTCTGGACACGAGGAATGCCGGAGACGTAGAGAAGGAGACCGACAACGGCAGCACCACCAAAAGAGGCAGATCTCACACCACTATCCCAATTGTTAGTTTCGTGTTTGCCCAAGGCTCCCGTTGACTGCGCGGGTGTTGAAAACGCTCCCACGCTCCACTCAAATTTGACCCAGCAGGCGGATTTGTGCGTCTAGGCCAAGCAGCAGTCCCCCATGCAAAAAGGAATTGTCCTTTTCCAAGCGTACTGTTCCTTTCCAGACCCAGGATCGCCCCAAGTGCCATTAACCCTCGTTCGACCAAATGCTTCACCCATGCGGCAGAACAAGATCCAACTTACGTTCGGAGGAGAGAAGTCTGGTTCCATCCATTGATGTTGGGCTGGAACTTGTATCTATTGCTCAATGTTAGCCCCCTCCTTCCATTATTCGAGCCAACGGTGCCCAAGGCTAGGCAACTCGGCAGGCCATTTCCGCACGCAACTCAGTTCCTTCGTCGAGATCGGCGTCGTTGGATACATCCGGTACGTACTTGGGGCCGTAGGCGCTCTTGAATTCCGCAGCGCGGACAGGAGTCTGCAAGATTCCGTCAGTCAACACTCCACCTCGGCGCCGTATTATTCACGTAGTGCGGCATTCAGTCGTCCCAAAAGTCATTAGTCATGAGCATACTTACAGTGTAGACCATCTTGACTGGGGGAATGGCAGTCGAAGCCTTTCAATATGATTCAATTGCTTGACGGGGTATCGTCTTCAAAATTGATGTTGGAACGATGCGCGAGTTTACCCGCGGGAAAGGCCGGATGGTGGCCTGAGGCCCACACAGCAGCTTCTGGATATCAGCGGCCAATGAAATGCGCTTTAATTGACCCACTGCAGCTAATACCAACGGCAACCAAGTTCATCGTTCAGAACCTAGGCCAATTCTATCAAATAGTAGTTACCATGTGATGCTGATAGCTCGCCGAGAAAGCACCCGCAAATATGGACAAATACATCGACGGTCGCTTTGAGCGACTAGAAAAGGCATTGTCAAATCTAATTGACTCCGTCACAAAATATCACCCGTCCACTATTCAAGCCGAAGAGCTCAAAGCCGCCGACAACGAACTCAGCAAAGGTCTTGAAGAAGGTACAAAACAAATTTAAAAAATCGCAGAGTGCTCCTTCCTCCTTCGCCTACAGGCCACATCTTCTGACTGAATTCTAGTTCAAATCCATCAAAACAATCATCTCCGCATTCAAAAGCTTCGCCAGTCCTCGGCAGCCCTAGACACCCAGATTCGCGACACGCTGACCAGCCTCGCCAACACGCACAAAGACATTGTCAGCACGCACACGACGACATACCCATCCGAGCCCAACTACCCCATCGTATACGAAGAGCTCCTCCGCTACGCCAGGAGAATCAGCAAAACCACCCTCCCGCCAGCGGCAACCCTTGAGGGCGCGGCAGCATCGCCAGAGACGCAGTCGCCGAACCCCGAGTCTCTAGCACAGTCTGCCCTGACCCCGTCTGCGCGAACGCCCTCGCAGCCGCAGAGTCCGGCCGTCAATGGCACACCGCAGTTGACTGCGGAGCAGCCAACACAGCCCCCTGCAGCCAATCTGAACACGAGTCTGCCCGAGGGAATGAGCCAGTATCTCAACCCGCTGTCTGGACAGCTCTTCTTCCCCTGGCCGTTGGAGGACAAGATTCGCTCGGGATCTTTGGCTTCGTATCAGGTCCTTGTCGAACAGGACATCGATCCCAAGGGGTACGATCCTGCGACAGAAGAGGAAAGAAGGCTCAAGGAAGAAGAGGAGCGCAGGGCCAAGGAGGAGCAGGAGAAGGCTGAGCGTGAGGCGCGCGAGAAACAGCTCCGCGAGGAACGGGAAAGGGCCCGTGCTGAGAGAGAGAGGCAACGAGAAAAGGAACAGGCGGAATGGAGGCGCGCGAGTATCGTCAGTGGGCAGCCTGATGGGCCGGGGCTGTCCAGAGCGGGTACAGCTCTTGGGGAGAAGAAGCAGTTCCAGTTCACGAATTTGGATGATCTAGATGACGACGACGACGATGATTAAGTACCTTACGTACATTGATTTGCTCACCACGTCAATGACGATATGCATGTGTAGCATAGGATAGAACCCGCGAAAGTGATTTACAAGGATAGAAATGCTAATTGTTCATGTCATATTCTTTTTGTCTATCGATAGAGTCGCCTTTCCCAGACATGGCAAACCCCCGTCATCGCTGCGCTCTTGACCCGTTTGCTGACGGACAGTATCAGACTGCACACGCTAGTCATACATATATGGTGTTACACATCCCTCATGATCAGTTTTGCAGGGACCACGACGACGTTCATGGTAATCCCGCCAGCCTCTAGTCCCAACTTGGTTCGAAGAAAGTGGGCATGTCAATTCCCTCAGTCTATCTTGATTGACGAGTAAATCCGTGTGACGAACCACCAACTGGCAAAGTAGCCAATGGAGCCTAAAATTTACGTTAGTCGCCGTTACAGCCTCAAAAATCGAATGTGCAAAAAACATACCCGCGAGGATAAAGAATAGGAAGGAAATGAGGGCACTGTAGCCCATATACAGGACTATCCCAGCCAGGCCGCCGAGCTTTACCTTGGTGATGAGGTAAAGCAGGCAATTCAGAAAAATGTAACCACCGCTCATGCCGGCAGCCAGGAAAGATCGCCACTGCCAATGATAGTTCTCGGCGCAGAGCAGGAAATAAGTCATAAGAATAGTGACGGCAGCGCAAACAACCACCATGAGGCCGTAGCAAAGGAAGAGGAAGCCAAACATGTAGTAGATGCGGCTGAACCAGATGGAGCTCATGATGAAGTAAAGCTCGACAAAGATGGCACCAAAGGGCAGCAAACCAACGATCAGCATGCTGGGAATAGGACGAAGGTATGTCGTAACTGGCGGGATCTGGCGTGGAATCTGGTTGACGCGCACAGGCGCCTCAATCTGGGGGCTTCGGAAACCGAGCCAGGATCCTGCAACCGACAGAGGGATCGAGATGACGAACCAGATGCCAACAATGACGAGCATGGTGGTGAATGGCACAGCGCCAGAGGACTGTTTAGCCCAGAGGAAAAGATCCAAAAGGAAGAAGGCGGCAAATACAATAGCAGGGACCAGAACCGGTGTCAAGGCAATGTTCACCTTCCACTGCTCACCCTGCATTGCCTTGTAAGTTCTCGCCGAAGTATAACCTCCGACAAATCCGAGAAGAGTGTACAGAATGATCATGATGGTCCCAAGGGAGCCACGGTTGGAAGGAGACAGGAAGCCCAGTAGGGCAAAGGCAATGGTACACCCGGTCATGACGAAAAGCTGAGCACCGCTGCCCAGCAAAACGGACAACAAGAGCGGGTGGGACGGGGTTCGGAAGACATCGCCGTGAACAAGCTTCCAGCCAGAATCTTCTTGAACGCCATCCTCGATTGCAGAAGTTCCATTGAGGTCGTCCAAGCTGATGGCATCGAGGCGATTGTAGCGCGAGATGTCCTTCTTCAGTGTACGCACCAGAATTGACATGACCGTCAGTACCAGGATAATGACAATGATTGCAGTGTCGATAAGCCAGAACCAGTGAATCTTGGGGTCGAAAACGTGGAGATACTTGTCCCACCGAGTTGCCCAGGCAGTGTCCGACTTCCTCCAATACACACTGTAACTGAAGTAAACATCCTGGTTCTTGTCGCCTTCTTCAAATATGAGCTTTGGGTGGTTATCCGCGCAGTCGGGTTCGCCAGTATATGCCAAGGAAGAGGGTTGGACGACGACGCCAACCACACGAAGTTGGTTCGGGTTCCCATTCACCTCGTGATACTCGATCCAAATTTCGTAGTGGTTGTTGAAGGAAAGCTTTTCATCCTCTTCTTCATTTTCAGTAAATTGGTAGTCGCCAATGGAGAAGCCGGGGCTGTAGAAGGTAGTGCCGGTGAGTTCATCTTGAATCTTTTGGCCTGCCGGCAGACCGTCAACGAGCCAATTCAAGCTATACCCCTGGTAAATTCTGTCATTGATGAATTCTCGCATCTTCTCCGGATAGGAAACCTTGCATAGAGGCTTGCAAGTCTCATTCCTAAGCATGCGCAAGTCAAATGGCGAAGTCATGATCCTGTCACCGAACAAGATGCTTCCCAGGCTCTCGGATACGTATTTCGGTCCCCCGTTCGGTTGGCAAAACTGGAAAGCAGGATGGTAGTAGTCGTATGAGACCACGGAGTGTAGTCGGTAGTCTTGCATGGCAGCAACAGGCGAAATCTTGTTGACGTACAGCGGTACCTGGTCGTCGGGCTTATACGAGGTCGGCGCAACACCAGGCAGGTAGAAGGCAGACGTCAACTGCGGCGCCACGAGCGCTGCAGCAAAAAGCGCCTGCCGCGCAGTGTCTTTGAATTGCATGATGGCGACGGTTCACGGCATGCCAAGGTAGATGGATGGCTGTGGCTCGACCGGCGGCTCGCGGCTTCGTTATGGTGTCGGCACGATGACGCGGATGACAAGAAGAGCTCTGCTCGAGATTGTCAAAGCTGTGATTAGAAAGTCGAGAGCAGAAGTCGACACCTCTCCTCAACACGCATCAGCAACTGCACAAGCTTCAATGTTCTTGTTGACACGATGGCACAGAACAGAGAATAGCAAACCAGAAAAATGCAAAGTCGAGCCAAGGCCCAAAATCTGACAGCTATGGGGAGTGGAAGTGGGAATCTGGCAAGAAAGGCAGCATGCACATTGTCGCCCAAAGCAGCTTAGTCAGGAGCCTTCAACGTGCCTGTGTCTGCGTGGTGTCGGTTGGCCAGGGCCAACAATGAATTGTACGGAGGATCTGGATCCATAGGCCTGGCGACGCGTGTAACTTATTAGTCAGTACTCCATGCGGAGGCGTTATGATACAGACATGCAGGCAGCAACACGTCTGGTGCGCTGCTTATTGGCTCCGTCAGCACTTCACAGGGTCCGCACTTGGCCATCGCCATGTCGAACGGTGTCTGGTATCGTGCGGTTACACAGTCAATACAACAGGAACTGCCGACTACGCTAGTTTCCAGAAACCCACCTGAGTCCGTACTGAATAGAAAATTGGTAAAAGTTTACTCAAAAGTAATAGAACATTTACCTCAATGTCATCTCTAGCTTCCTTTGGAAGATCATGGCAAACATTTTACGTATGCTTGTTGTCAGCGCCTGCCATCCTGGCATTTCATGATAAACAACCTCAGCTTGGTCCAAAGTGTCCAGGTTTGCAAGGTAAGAAGCAAGTTCCCATGTATAATTAGGACTGGGTTCCAAATTCGGCCTCTTCAAGGCCGTCGGCCACCGTATAAACTCTTAGGTCGACGGCATCTGTCGAGGACAAATGTTCTATCCCAAACGTTTAGAAGTCCCTGCTTGTCGAGTTCATCAATTTCCTTGAAAAGGCTTGGGGCATGAAACACAACTCCAGTCTGGATATAATTTATTGCCCGATGTTATTAAGGCAAACCAAGACGAAGGGAGAGGCAGGAGGAGCGCGAAACAAGCCTAGAATGGCCTTGATTGTCATACTGTGGCTGTTAGGGCGTGGAAGCGCGACGGGTCGTTGTTGGCGACGAGGGGAAACAACCGCGGGGGAAATGCCCGTCATCACCAGCGACTAAAAGTGGACGAGCCGGCCACTTGTACCGCAGGTCCGCAGTGCATGAAGGCTGAAGACATGGTGGGGCAGATAAGGGCAGCACTGTGTCTTTTTTCCATGGCTCACGGAAGACTTTCCACTGGACTGCCCCACTAAAAAGTTTCGCAGGTAATTGAACACTTGAACCATCGTCGGTCTCGATTTCTTCTTCAGCCGACTGCATCAAATCCACTGCACTTTCCAAGGCACCACCGCCATGGCTGCACCGACTACTTTGCCGGCATTGCTGGCTTCTTTGACTCAGTCCCTGTCACTAACTCAAGAAGCCGCCCCGAAAATTGCCGCCATCGAACCGCCTGAAAATGGCATTTCACTGCTCGATGTAAAAAACGAGTTGCTGCTCTCGTACCTGCAAAATCTCGTCTTCCTAATTCTCCTCAAACTCCGCAATTCCAAGCCCGACCCCGAAAACATCAGTCAGCTGGACGAATCTGTTCGAGCTAAACTTGTTGAGTTGCGACTCTATCTCGAGAAGGGCGCCCGGCCACTCGAGGAAAAGTTAAAGTTTTCTATCGAACGATTCTTGCGAACTGCGCAAGACGCCCAGCGCGAGCAGAAAGCAAAAGAACAACAATCCAAATCCAAGAGCAAAAAGAATGCGGATGACGACGAGTCTGCATCAGAGTCTGCATCAGAAGACCTAGAGTCCGACGAAGAGAGCGAAGCAGATGAGCAGCCACAAGCCCGGAAAGGCAACATGGGCGCCGCTCCCAACCTTGGAGCTATGATTGATGAGGTTTCTACTAGCCGCGGCGGACGGGAGGACGGACCAGTAGGGGTCTACCGTCCGCCCCGGCGAGATCGCGTTGTCATGGAAACGACACGATCTCGTGAAAAGTCTCAACGAAGGGCCACCAAATCAAACACCATGGAAGAGTTTGTCAATGATGAACTGGCCACTGCTCCCATGGCCGAACCCAGTATCGGCACAACCATTGTCCAGGGTGGCCGCAAGATGAAAACCGCTTCACAGCGCATGGAAGAGGCCGAGCGTCGCGAATACGAAGAAACCAACTTCACCCGTCTTCCCAAAGAGAGCAAGAAGGACCGCGCTAAGAAGGCTCAGGCAGCTGGTCGCAGCGGTCGTATGCAGTTTGGTGGCGAGGAATGGCACAACTTGGGAGAGGGAGTTGATCGAATCGATCGCTTGACCAAACGCAAAGGGCCTCCCGGTGGCGGAGTACGTGCGATGCTTGAGAAGAGCCGAAAGCGTGGTTTTGATACAACGGATGGCCCGAGAGGAAGTGGCCGCGGCGTGGAGATGGGTGAGCGGTTCCAGAAGAGGGCCAAGATGTTGGAGGCAGGTCGAAGAGATAGAGGCAAGAAGAGGTAGACTGACATAGACGCGTATACTGGGGCAATCTTGACAAAAGAAATCTTGGCATAGATCTGAGACGAAGGCTGAATTTCACATTTCCCTCTCTCTTGAATCGAATAACTTCTGGCTTGTTTCGTCCCGTACATGTAATAGGACCCAAACAGTCTGGTAGGCGCCGGTCACTGCTTTCAATTAGTGGCGAGTTGCAGGGATGGAGAATACCGTGATGGATTCAGTATGGCAGAAACAAATTAGTACCCCCTTTTTTTACCCATGAAAGAGACGTATTTAGCCATGGAAGGTCTAAGGGTTGTGATCCGGGGAGGGAGAGAAAAACGATTCCACGGATACGTACGAACTTAATCGCATCCACCCTAGACCTTGGAGTGTGCCCAACCTTGGTTACTCGATAGAGTCATGGAAGTCAGATAGTGTTTGGCATTTCTCAAATTTGTCATGGAGAGAAAGCCTTGAGATACATTGATATGCGGTATGCCAAATATCAATTCCGTAATCGATTACGAAATTGAACAAGTGGAGGAATGAGAACAGAAGCATCGTCGTCGCTCAGCCAAGTGAGTACACTGATAAGATAAGAGCTCCGCGCTGCCAACAATTTTCTACACCCCACCTCCTCACCTTTGATCATGGCGACATCACTTCGCCTATCCCGATTTTCCTCCAGCTGAGAACAATTGAGCAATATACTCCATTTTGTTCGGAACGGACCATATATCTTCACCGAAACAACGATAATATACGACCGGAATTGCCAGAAACCCACGCAATATGAGCAAGCTTGACAAAATGGACATCGACAATGATGTCGAAGACGACGATCCCATAACTGCCAGCTACCCTGTCTTCCTGAACCCGGCTCTCCCTCTAGGGCGCCGCCTACTCGTCCTGCAGCAGCCCAATCGCACGGATGACACACCGCGACCACCGCCGACCGAACTCCGCCTGAAGGCGCATTCTGGCATGGTCGAGATTGACTTGCCTCTGGACAATACAACCGCCTACGACCGTGAGAAAGGTTTGAAATGGGGCCGCATTCTTCAGTCATCCATGGCGTCAAAGAACGGTGGTAGTCACGGTCTAGCAGGTGGATTTGGCTTCGGCGCCGTGCAGCAAAGAGGCAAGAAGAAGGGTGAGATGGACGACGACGAGTACATGGACTGGAACGAGGCTGTTCGCCAGGACAAGGTGTTGAGGACGCAGACACTGGGCGGGCAGTACCCCGACACAGACGAAGTTCAATACATGGTTGGCGTATTCCAAGGGAGTATGTTGCCACTCCATCTCCCTCTCAATCAATCCATCCACTACTAACTAACCCAATTGCTAGAAAACCTCCACCTCACACCCGTCTCTTCTCTCGTCCATCTCAGACCTCAGCTCCACCATCTCGACGCAGCCACCCAGCAAGAACGCAACGCCTCTGCCTCAGCGTCCAAAGAAGCAGCAGGATCTTCATCAACCGCCGCCCGCGCCATCCACATGACTATCAAGAACACCGCCGACGGCGATGCAGTCACCACAGAAACCATGGCAGACAGGTTACGCTTTGTGCAGACAGAAAACTGGCGGAAGATGAGATATACGGACGAAAACGACGAGGCCGCATGGGAAGTGTACAACGAGAGTCTATTCCTGCAGCTCAGGAACGACACCAACAAATCCGAGGACGAAGGAGAGACGAAGGAGGGAGAAGGCGCGAAAAAGGATATGGAGGAATTAGTGCCCAGGTTCGGGGCCAAGTGGAATGATAAGCAAATGCTGGAGGCTGTGAGTGGCATCGAGAAGCCCGATCCAGAGCCAGAGATCAAGCCCGAGCCGAAAGGTAAGCAGGATGCTGAGGATACAAGGACATCCAAGGGGAAACCACGGGCTGGCGCAGCTCCTCCTGCTACGAGAAAACCCAGTAGAGCCAAGGCACCGTCAAAAGCAGCAATCACCATCGACTAGAAATTTGCTTGATGGAGAGTTGTCAAGGAAGGCAAAGTTGTATGCATGAACCCGGCGCAAGGTGTTTACGAAAATGGTCTACCAGGTTAAGTACTTTACGGATATAGAGACGTTTGTTTTGGAGAGGGTATTTTTGCGGGGAAAGATTAAAGCTTGATTTATACATGCCGACGACACCGGCATTCCAACCCGCCTTCCTCATGCTCGTGATGCTGAAGGCAGCCTTCATCTATGCCCGTGACACGCCATACCATATTTTCAAAGTCATCATCTCCCGTTTCGTATTGTACAGAATGATTTTAGCAAGCAAAAAAAAAGGAGCAAAAAAAGAATGAAGAATGAACAGAGTTGCAAAATGTCATATGTAAAAATGGTTGTTTCCTAGCCCCTTTCCTCCTATCCTTTCTCCTTTACATTCACGGCAAGGCCCCCACCAATTAGCACGGCGTCGTCGTCTTCTTATATGGCACAATCGCTCCACGTCGCAAAGGTTCCCCAAACCACAAGCCAGCCCAAGTTTGCCTTACGGAACTCCCCACGAGGATAATAAAGCCTTGAGTATATGCAAATATATGTGTTGCTCCCGCTTTTCGTTTTCCGTTTTGAAGATGCATTGTTTGTCGCATGATATCGTTTTGGGGTTTACTGCAATAACTCTACATCCAAGCCAATGGATCGCATGAAGAGATTCACACTGCCAAGTCGCTCCGCGGCCATGGTAGGCGGTAAAGTCTTTGACATGGAAACAGTGTCCAAGACACGGTCCTTGACTGCAAGTACGAGTCGAGTCTGCTGATCATGGGTGGCACTAACCCCCATGGCCGCAAGCAATTGCCAGACATAAACGTCGATTCCGGTATTAACGCTGCCAGGAAAAATATATGGTAGCGAAGGCTCTAGTTTACTAAACAAAATTTCAAATGTTTGGTCCCTTTCAAGAAGTTAGTATAGAGTACGTCCGCAGGGACAACTTGAGGCGACTTACCATTTCTCCCACTGCTCCGGATTGCCAGCACCAGTCTGTTTCAAAAGCACAGCACGGCTGAGAATTAAAGTGAGCATCGAAACACCAATTCTCGTTCTGGCAATGAGATCGACATTTAGCTTTGTAGCAATCAGGTTCAGAACACCATCAACGATATCCAAGCCGGTTTCATTAAAGTATTGCATCAAAGAAGGCATGACAGTTGAGATGAAGAGTTCAATGTTCTCGCGCATACGGGAGTTGAGATTGGTTTCGCCACTTGTGACAGCCGCGCCTTGGACAACATCAAGCTGATCAAGGTGATAAATGATCATCGTCAATATCGTCGTTCGCTGCTCAAAAGTGAGGTGGGGGAAGATGCGAGGAATCGCCTTCTTTCCCTTGGCGCACGACAAGAAAGCGATGAATGGATGAGGAACCGTAGCGCCAATCGGCTCGTGCACCTTTAACTCTGTCCACAGCTTTGCATTGTAAGCGTCCAATGTCACGGCCCATTGCCGATGCTGTTCTTGGAGTTCTATGTCAGGTTGGTTGCCCATTGGCGGAGGAATAAGGCGTATGTGGTCTTCGATCTTCATCAAGATGTCGTAAACCTTCTCGACATTGCGTAGAATTCGCTTCCGATCAAGCACGGCCTCTTGGTGAGGAGACCTTTTTCCGTTGCTTGGACGAGGAGTCTCAGTCTCAGCGCGCTTGATGTTGAGCAACGGCTTCGGTGTCTTCGCATTGCTGAAAGAAATCTTGCCTAAACTACCAGCAATGACGAGCTGGGGGTTCTTCGGTTTGTTTTTTGCAGCTTCGACGGCTCTTTGAACCTGTTGTTCCATTCGCTGAATGTGATTCTCAGCAGGTCTGCCATGTCGGCGCATTCCACCATGGCGACTTCCCGTTTGGAATAGATAAGTCTGTGCAAAGTTGCTCAGGGGTTGACTCGGATTTTGTCGTTGGCCGGCACGGATGTGACTGTAGACTTGGTAGTAAAAGTCTTCAGAAATGGAAGAGTCGGAACCTTCAACAGGATTCCCAGTGGCAGAGACAAGTTGTTGCAACTGAATTCGGGTGATGAAATTCTTATCCTGGGGTGTCATTAGTCCGTTGTCTTTAGACAAAAGCCAGATTTTGTGGTTTCGTTTGGCACGTTTAGTTTCCTGGTCTAAAAAGGCGGCCTTTTCGTCCTCAGACATTTGCAACATCTGAGGATGAGCCTGCAGTTGCGCCAAGCCAGGAATGGAGCCTTGGGAACGATGGCCGTAATGACCAGGCGCACTCATAGGTGCAGACTCTCCAGAGAGACGGTTAGGATTCTGTAGGATCTGGGTGGGCTGAACAAGAGGCGCTTGCTGGCGGGACTGTTGTGGTGGTGGTGTAGGCATCTGCTCTGTTGGCCTGGCCTGCATGCTCTGAGGACGCTGCAATATCGTGACCGGGGGACCGTGGCCAGGATGGCCCTGTTGCTGGTGTTGCGTAACATGTTGACCGGCAATATATTCCGTGGCCGGCCCTTGCTGATAGATAGCAGGGTCAGACAGAGGAACCTGGGACTGTGCTTGTTTCGGGGCTTGGGCTCTCATAGAAGCCTCGACTTCTTCGAGACTCATAATTTTTCGGCTGGCTGATGTGGACATTTGTTGGGTAGCGCCCTGCGAAGTGTGTGCCGTCGTCTTGGCTGGCGCAATTCCCCAAATACTCTGATCAACGTGCAAATCTGGGAGTGGTTCCGGCTCCCTATACTTTTCATATCCAGTTCGGGCAGGTCTTTGCGTTGACTGGGTTGAATAGTTCGATGTAGTCTGCGAAGGGATGGCCTGTGACTGCGGCTGGGCGGCCGTTGCTCTGGGAGCAGGCTGCTGACGATTGAACCGAAGATGTTCCTCCTCAATGGCATCAGCAACTTTGGCAGTTTGTCCAAAAAAGTCAAAGTCCTTTCCAACATTTCCAGCGACAGCAGAATCGCCACCAAAAGTATCATCGTTGAAGACATCATCGGTTTCATCGAGTTGATCGCCAAGCCCATCGTATGTGTCCTCAAAGTCGAGAGCATCGTCCTCGTTACCGCGTCCTGAAAGACCGGCGAAAGGGTCGTGGGCTTGTGAGAAGCCCGGAGCAGCCGTGTTATGGCCACGGGGCCCAGTGCCCAAACCGAAGAATGACATTATATACGATATCGAACAGCAAAGGTGGGGAAAGTCAAAGAAGGAAGGACTACTCACGAGCGTTAGCATGGACTTGGAGCAAAGGTGAAACATTAAGGTAGTATTAGGATTGATAACAGAAAAAAAAAACCCCCTCTCAGAGTATTGAACGCAACTTGGACCTGAAAAAGCGGTCCAGATCTGTCCTGTCAAGCTTCGCGACACGGCATATTGGGCCTGCTTGCGCTGATACCCGATTGTAGCAAAGTGCGTCTTGATCAGGACTCAGAAGCTTACAATATCGACTCGCCAAGGGGATAATTACAACAAGATGCATGAATCATAAAGAGAGAGGAACGTACCACTAGAATGACAGTAAGTTCGCAGCGGTTGCCAAGTCGCACAAATCTATCATGGTGTCTTCCAGAGTGGAATCACGACGTCAAAATCAGAGCAAGTAGCTCAAGCGCCGGCGGAGGCGGGACAGCGTCGACAGTAACCCGGAGATTTCTCGCAAGCTTCAAGAGGTCACAGTGTAGAGTCAACACCGGCGCCAGACAGAAAGCGCCAAAACAAGCTACGTGTTGAAGCTTGCGATGCGATGTGAGAAGGCAAAGAGGGAGGACTAATGTTCCGCAACTCCCCACTACGCCTCCAACAGCAACGCCTGTCGTCAATGCCAAGTCACGTGCAAACAAAGGCCTTTACCATTTGCTTGACGAAAAACTCCTGTGCCCAGCATAGCAATTCATACATCTCCCCAACTCCGAAGCAAGTCCTGCGGGTATAATTAACTGTCGAATCATAGTGCCCGGCACTTGCACATGCAGTGTTGCGTGCCTCCTCAGCAACGGTTCTCACTACCATAGTAAAGAGGACGCGCCGGCAGGTTTGGCACCATGAAGGTTCTGGCATTCACATTATAATTAGATCCTACCCCACGGAGTTGGGGTATGACAAGTGTCTACGGAGGACGCCAATAATTCAATTTGAAGAGATGCACGAGCTGGACTGCACGTGGTCTGTTGCTTTGGCTCTGACACAAATGGGAAACAATCTCCGGCAGCACAACAGATGGAGCTGAGGGTTGACGGTCGTACACTTGTGACGTGTCTGATCTTGGCTCAATTGTAGGTGATGACTGACCCGTGTCTTGCTCAGACCTGTCTGCACTCTCCGGCAAGAGATGCATTGGTCTACCACCAGGTCCATTGTACACTAGCTTCCGACATTCACACCTCTCTTGGTGATACTGATTCTGTTTTACCTTGGTTGGTCAAGCACACGCTGTTGGCCCTCTACCCTCTGTGTTTACTCCGAAGAGTCCATACAATCTGACAGCAACATGAAGGTAGATATAGCCTCACTGCGATAGACATGAAAATATTTGCGCAGCTTCTATCCCCTGATGATGGAGTAGGCGGCCATTGAAAACTCTGTAGTAATAGAGGATGATGATACTTGTCACAGGCCAGGCTCGACACTTCTAGGACTCATCAGGGAGACACAAATCCTGTATGACAACCACGTCAGGCGGTTGCACTTGTCCCCGCTAGTAACAGTGCGGGTGAAGTAACTTGGATCGTGGGGTCGAGATTTCGCTTCCTCTGCCAACGACTAGCACTATTCAGTGTCCTGAAGGCATACTATATGCCAGGAAAGGGTTAAGTATTGAATGATAGGCCATCAAAAAGCCTGCCAAGTGGATGGCGAATGGCTCTCCAGGTGCAGTCTTGACCTACCAAACTAGGAATCATGATGCCACAGCACCAGACACCCAGTGCTTAAAAAGTCATGCAGGGCTGTCCGACTGTGCAAATCATTTTATCTCAAAGGCTGGTAATAGGCAGTGATCTGAAAAGGGATCAGCATATCGAAACACACACGGGCCACAACCAGCATACATACGGACTCTTATCGTTCTTTCACGCACCAAAGCACTTTGTTCAGGACAAAGGCATAAACCGTTCCACTAGGCTTGTTTCAGTCGCAGATCGCATGATGGCCAATCCCAGCTGGAAGCGCAACTCTTTGTCTGATACCGACGACACCTACCGTATCGTGCCTGACCATCTCTGTGCTGATCCATCCGAAGATGGAATCCTAAACGCAATATAGCAGTGGGGTCTGCTCCTGAGCGTTTCGCTGCGTCCTCCAGCTGGCCGCGGAAGAAAACACGTAAACTGTTTGGATGATCTGGACGGCCCGCCTGGCTCCATCCCTGGATACCAAATGTCCGTGCCCTTGTCAGCTCTGGAATTCAACGTGGAAATGGCCGAACTGTCTCTGCCTGCCTGCCTGCCCGCCTGCCTGCCTGCCCCTTTCACAAACGTGCCAAAATACATCAGACCAGGGGAACCGGATGAGACAACATCCCAGAAAAACCTATCGGCATCATTCCCCACAATTCTCCGTATTACAGGCCATAAAGCAAGACGGGGCCGTTCATGCAATATATCTGGTTAATACGGGAAGAGACAACGACCAACCTAGAGCCGACATTCTGGCTTTTCCCGACGTGCAGGCAGCAATCTGGTATTGTTGAAACACACTAGTCGAGCCACCGAGGTAATAGACAGTCCGGATTGCACCGTCTCGAACCTTGTGCGCTGGGACCCGTTGCCGTCGTTCAATGTTCGTATTTGAGCGCCGGAAGATCGGTCTGGATGCGGGACACAAGACAGTATGAATGGCACTGACTGCTCTTTGGTGGCGCCTGACGGCTTGCAAACTCTAGAGCGACGAAGCCTGTAAACCTTGTCTCGCTCCCCACTCTGCTTGGCGTCGGGGTCCAAGCATGAGAGAGCACTTGAGCTCGAGACGTCCAGTCGCGGGCAGGCTGGGTGGCTGAGCCGCTGTGATATGTAGGCCCAAGGAAATTATTGCTTGAGGGACATTTGACTTTGTCATTGACAGCTGCCAACTGTCCAGTCTTCAAATGTTGTAGTACATACGGAGTAGATTGCAGCAAGTTCTCGAGTGCCCCGTGCCGAGTACTTAAGTACCTACTTAGGTAGATAGAGACTGGAAAGTCACGCCGGCAGCACTTGAGCTTGGCAGCCCTTTGAAGCGCCCAGCTGCGTCCCCATACTCCGTACTCCGTCCTGAATCTGTTCTTGGCATGCTAGTGTCCTGTGGCTCCCGCTGACCGTCCGCACCTTCCATGGTTCGTTTCCTAAAAATCAATCAATCGAGTGCATTACCCCGAAGTACCTGGTAAAACTTAATTACAAGTACTTCCTTGTACCTTCGATCGCGAACGCATATATCGGTATCGACACTATTAAGTGAGGCACCTAAGTTTAAGTAAGTACCTAGGTACTTTAGGTGTTTATTACTACTTTAGGTACTTACTTTAAGTAAGTACTTGTACCTTAAGTATGTTTTGCTCTTGACCTGTGCTGTCACACGTTCGCATTTTCACCTGCGATCCTTCTGAGACTCTGCTGGCTACTTTATCCTCCTTTGCTCTTCTTCTTCTTTCCCCTCCTCTCCTTTTTGCTCCTTCTCCATCTTGGCGACGGGCTGGCTTCTCGAATGCCATGTTTTTTTTCCTATAGCTAGTCTTTTTTTTATCTTTCAAGTTGGCCACGGTACTATTCGTTACCCGATAAGCCTGGCCTGCGGACCTGCGGACCTGCATCCCTGAGGGACCAGTTTTCGGGCTAACTGACCCCTTAGCCTCCTCGCTCCCATCCAACCCGTCCCAAAAATCGAAAACCTCCCTACTCCTTCATCCTCCGAGTCGCTGGCAATTTCGAGGCTCGATTTCGTGCCACTGATTTCTTATCCGGTCGAGCCTGAAATCAGTCACGGGCACCCCGTGGCAAGTCATTCACCATGGTGGCTGGCAACGCGCGCTACGTTCGCTACATCATCATCGCCGTCTTTGTACGTTGTATGGCGTTTGATTTTCTGATTTTTTCTTTCTTTTCTCGTGCTCTCGTTTTACCCTGCACCTGCACTAGTTGCTAATGCTTGATTCATGTTTCTAGACTCTGGCAGTGTTTTATTTTGTTTCCAACTCAAAGTACGACGCTGTGACCATTCCAACGGGTTTGGATCATGCCAGCACGAATACCAACGCTGGCAAATCAGACGACCCCAGAAATGAACCTCAACAACCCCTCGAGAAACCCGAGAGCTCCGATAACGCTGCGACTGTCCCGAAGAAACAGAACGGAAACAATGCGCAATCCCCGCTGGCTATGACACCAGAAGATCCCAATTGGGATGTTGAACTGGTTTCTCCTGCTCCTGGACCTCGCATGAACGCCACCTTCGTTACTTTGGCTCGCAACAGCGACGTGTGGGATATTGCTCGCTCGATCCGCCAGGTCGAGGACAGATTCAACCGCCGATACAACTATGACTGGGTCTTCCTCAACGACAAGCCCTTCGACGAAACCTTTAAAAAGATCACCACGTCCCTGGTGTCCGGCAAGACGCACTATGGCGAGATCGCCGAGGAGCATTGGTCATTCCCCCAGTGGATCGACCAGGACAAGGCCAAGAAAGTGCGCGAGGACATGGCTGAGCGCAAGATCATCTATGGTGATTCCGTGAGCTACCGCCACATGTGCCGATTTGAATCCGGTTTCTTCTTTCGACAGCCCCTTATGATGAACTACGATTACTACTGGCGTGTTGAGCCATCTATTGAATTGTACTGCGACATCCACTATGACCCTTTCCGCGTCATGCATGAAGGTGGCAAGAAGTATAGCTTCGTTCTCAGCTTGTACGAATACGCAGAGACCATCAAGACTCTTTGGGACAGCACCAAGAAGTTTATGAAGAACCACCCCGAACACATTGCTGCGGATAACGTTATGGGTTTCCTCAGTGACGATGGCGGAGAAACATACAACAACTGCCATTTTTGGTCCAACTTCGAGGTCGGCAATCTGAACTGGCTCCGAAGCAAGCCTTACATTGACTTCTTCGAATCTCTTGACCGTGACGGTGGCTTCTTTTATGAACGATGGGGCGATGCCCCAGTTCACTCTATTGCAGCTGGACTCTTGTTGAACAAGAGCGACATTCATTTCTTCAACGACATTGCCTACTGGCACGTCCCTTTCACTCATTGTCCTACTGGCGAGAAGACCCGATTGGCTCTCCGATGCCACTGCAATCCAAGCGACAACTTTGACTGGAAGGGCTACTCTTGTACGTCTTGTCGGATCTATCTTAAAACACTGCTTGCTAACCACACATCCAGGCACTTCACGATTCTTCGACGTCACAGGCAAGACCAAGCCTAAGGGCTGGGAGAGTGAGAAAGATTGAGATGGGTAACCAACAATAAAAAGAATACTTTTTAGACTTGGTACGTAAGGGACGCGTAGTATGTACCATACATGAATAATATGAAGGGAGGGTATGGCCGCGGTTTGGCTACAGAGGTCTTTCTTCCACTATTGCTGGCTTTGTTTGGCGCGGGAAACATTGAAGCTACATGGGTAGGTAGTCAAGGGCTTTATTGAAACGCACGATGGGATGACCTTGAAACTGCGAGTGAGAAACAAGCTTTGAAGAGACCAAAAAAGGGAATGAACAGGCGTCTGATTGTTTTTTTTTAAGGGGCAAGACTGATAGGACACAATTTTACTCGTGTACATTCATGCTGTCCAAAATGAAGATGCCTGGGAAATCTATTTATGAGAGACATGTTTTGTGCTGTCTAGTATTCTTTTTTACATGTGCGTGGTGTAGTGTACAGTAGCCATATTGGGCGCACGCCATCCCGCCTCACTGGCCACAAATTCGAAAATTTTCTTGTCTGATGAAGTGTCAACAGCCCTTCCCCTTCACATGACGACAGTATTATCTATGCGGCGCCAATCACTCCGTCCATAGCTTGTTCATCCCTTGCTTTCGCTAGCCGACAGTAGCCTTCTTGGGCTTCTTGGTGCCGTACTTGCTTCGACTCGTAGTTCGGTTCGCTACGCCGCCCTATTCGAAAAAAAATTAGCTCATTGCTCGCCAAAGCCGGCGCCGAAGACAAATTTCCGGCCCAGCACCAGCACCACACAGCTTCTCACGTCTCCCCCCTCCCCGACTTACCAGGTCCAATGCCCCTCGCACCAGGTGATACCTGACACCGGGACAATCCTGCGCCCTGCCTCCCCGCACGAGAACCACACTGTGCTGCTGGATATTGTGTCCCTCGCCGGGAATGTAGGCCGTCACCACGGCCCCGGACGAGAGCTTCACACGGGCCGTCTTCCTCTCGCCCGAGTTGGGCTTCTTGGGCCTCACGACGCCCACTCGCAGGCACACGCCCTTCAGCGCGGGGCAATTGGTGTTGGACAGGGCCGGGGAGACGGCGTGGCGCGCGCGCTTGCCCTTGCGAATGCCCCGGAGGACTTGGTTCAGTGTTGCGCCGCGCGCCGGCGTCGTTGAGAAGGGTGCTGGGGCCGCAGGGGCGGCGGAGCGGAAGATGGGTGTGAATCGGGTCGGTTTGAGCAGCGCCGAGGCGAGGGGGGAGGTGAGCGGTCGCCGGGTCGCCGGGGAGAAGAGCTGGCGGACAATTGAACCGACCATTTTGACGGGTTGGGCCGGTCAATGGCTTTGGGTGTGTGCTTGTTGGAGATGGGGGCGGGAGCTCGCGATGATGCAGAATGGAGGTTGGCCAAAATCTACGCCGTGGTCACGTGATGCCTTCTTTGCCTGTTCTTTGTGTGCCTGGGTTTTGCATGATGGGAAATGATTACCGCAACACCTTGGTAAAACGAGGTTGCTGCGGCGCTACTCGATTTTTAATCTGCAAGGCTACATTTTCACCCCCAAGGAGCAGTGATCACAGTCTGTCTGACTCTAAGCACTGCTTCAAAGCCGGCTCGTGGAGCGTTGAAACGCGCGTCTCGAGCCTCGACTCGCCGCTCGCCGTGGCTTCAGCTTGCAGGAGAAGTCTATACCAGCAGGAGAAGCCTATACCATTCTTGTTGAATTCACCTTTGGTTGCCACGTGAAGCTCTTGCAAGGTCTTCTCTGAATCCTGCTGCGACAGCTGGATCCCGCGCGGCAATGCATACATTCTCCGCGATAAGCGACATACGGTAGCCACTGGACAAGCTCGCGGAGAAGCTGCGCAAGCCCATCAAGGTCTTTTTTGCGGAGATGGAGATGGAAGGTATAGCACTGTCTTGGAATTGAGAACGACTCGATAGGGGGTTGACAGGTTCGGTGCTGGGATTCTAAGGGACAGACCTTCTTTCTAGCATGCCGTGCTTGTCCATGAAGCGCAGAAGGTTCACATTAGTTAGCTCGTAGCTGTAATTAAATAGTGGAGAGCGGGCTTTAGCGAAAGAGTAAGCTGAAATCTGAAACATCAATCGATGGCAATGTTTTCATCCGGGGCTAATGGTTGATTTCATTGAAGTACCTATGCCCTTTGATCGATTTGTGAACCAGACACCGTAGAGCAATGGACCATTTATGCAGCCTATAAGTATATAGGGCGAAACTAAGACATTATGAGCGGTGGCTAAGAAGTCGAGGACTTGTTTACTTCCAGAGTGCGCATGGTAGTAGCCACTGCAACGAGGGTCTGCGCGGCCAGCTCATTTCATTCATCTTTATTTCCATGGCTTGGAATCTTGAGCAGCCAGCGCCTGGCACTAGCGAATAGTGCTGGGAAACGCACTTGAAAAAACCATAATGTTCATCGAGAAGCTCTAGATTAGGCAGACAAGATGAGGTTGGAAGTCAAAGGTTGGAAGTCAAAGGTTGGAAGTCAAAGGTTGGAAGTCAAAGGTTGGAAGTCAAAGGTTGGAGGTCGGAAGTGGGAAGTGGGAAGTTGAAAGGTAAAAGGTGAATTTGTAAGAGGCAATACTATCAATATAATGGTAATCGTGCCTTGGAGACATACTGGTTACCAAAAATCCTATTCAGCCTCGACATATATAGTTATGGCTATGAGAGTCGCCATGTTATGCTCATACTAAGTATTTAGGTACATGTAGCTTTCTACAAAGCCAATTGCCCTCTTCTAGCACAAAATGACAGCCAACAACTTTAATCAATCAACCTCGCAAGCCCCACCCATCACATGCCCCAAATCTGTCCATGTCCCCCATTTCCCCAGTTTTGCCAACCATGAATCTCCACAGTAGGCCGTGGTTATCCTCGGCTCAGCAGTCGTCGGCTCACCGGCCAATCTGCTTGGTGGCAAGGTGTACGGGAGAAGCAGCGCAGCAAGTCCGACCAAAGCCACGGCTATTCCATATCGCAGCTATTTTATTATTGTATTTTCCCCTTTCGTCTCACGATATTGCTGTGCATACAATTGATTCTGGGGAGTGCAAACGTTTCTTTCTGGGTGTAGTCTCATCTTGTTTGGCCCTCAATTTTCCTTTGAGAAACTGTTCTCTTTTCGGGTCGTGGGTTAGGGTATTCCATTGGCAGCCGCAACCGCCGCTACCGTCACCCTCCGCGCTTGCCTCCGGCCTTCACCGTTTCCCCTTCACCTCTCACCTACAAAACTCTCTTTTTTCCCCTTCGGTCTGTCCCCATTCCTTGCCTTCCAATTCACAATGTCTTCCTTCACGCGGGTTCTGCGCCCGGCCCTCCGGGGTTCAAGGGGTCTTGCTCAGACCGTCTGTACGTCTAGCCGCATTGCTTCTCGTCCCGCTGCTGCTGCTCGCAACATGAACTTGTAAGTCGCACTTGGGATTCCTGCTTCATGTCGCCCATATTGTAGCCGGAAGCATGCACCCGGAAAGGAGCTTTCGAGCCGCTTAAATTCAAACCATGCTACCGTACTTGGAATTGCGGTCTTTCTTTTTGTACTAACAAGTAACAACGCAGGGCTCGCCCTCTCTCCACCACCTCGGCCCTACGCTCCGAAACCATTGACATCACTGATATCCCTCCCACGCCCATTAGCCACCTCTCCGAGGTTGAGGCCGCCATGGCCGAGTCGGTCAGCAAATTCGCCAGCGAGGTGATCCTCCCCAAGGCACGCGACATGGACGAGGCCGAGGACATGGACGCCTCCGTCGTGCAGCAGCTCTTCGAGCAGGGCCTCATGGGCGTCGAGATCCCCGAGGAGTACGGCGGCGCCGGCATGAACTTCACGTCTGCCATCATTGGCATCGAGGAGCTCGCCCGCGCCGACCCCAGTGTCAGCGTGCTGGTCGACGTGCACAACACGCTCTGCAACACCGCCGTCATCAAGTACGGCTCCGAGGCCCTCAAGAAGAAGTGGCTGCCCAGGCTGGCCACCAACACCGTCGCCTCCTTCTGCCTGTCCGAGCCCGTCTCGGGCTCCGACGCCTTCGCCTTGGCCACCCGCGCCGAGGAGACGGCCGACGGCTTCAAGATCAACGGCGGCAAGATGTGGATCACAAACTCCAAGGAGGCCGAGTTCTTCATCGTCTTTGCCAACCTCGACCCCAGCAAGGGCTACCGCGGCATCACCGCCTTTGTCGTCGAGAAGGGCACCCCCGGCTTCTCCATCGCCAAGAAGGAGAAGAAGCTCGGCATCCGCGCCAGCAGCACCTGCGTCCTCAGCTTCGACGACGTCGTCGTCCCCAAGGAGAACATCCTCGGCGAGCGCGGGCAGGGCTACAAGTACGCCATCAGCCTCCTCAACGAGGGCCGCATCGGCATCGCCGCCCAAATGACCGGCCTCGCGCTGGGGTCCTTCGAAAACGCCGTCAAGTACGTCTGGAACGACCGCAAGCAGTTCGGCTCCCTGGTCGGCGAGTTCCAGGGCATGCAGCACCAGATTGCCCAGTCCTACACCGAAATCGCCGCCGCCCGCGCCCTCGTCTACAACGCCGCTCGCAAGAAGGAGGCCGGCGAGGACTTTGTCAAGGACGCCGCCATGGCCAAGCTGTACGCCTCGCAGGTTGCCGGCCGCGTTTCCGGCCTGGCCGTCGAGTGGATGGGCGGCATGGGCTTCGTGCGCGAGGGCCTGGCCGAGAAGTTTTGGCGCGATAGCAAGATTGGTGCCATCTACGAGGGCACCAGCAACATTCAGCTCAACACCATTGCCAAGCTGCTGCAAAAGGAGTACACCAACTAGGGACGTCTAAACCTGTACAATGCAATGTAGGAAGGATGCTTGGAAAAGAGCAATATACAGTCATGGCATATTACTTGTAGCATAACGCCATCTTGAGCCAAAAAGGGAAAAAAAAATAATGAAAAAAAATTACACCCACCCTAGACCATGACGTGAAGCAAGTGATGATCCCAGGCAACCAACCCAAGATTCAAACACCGGGAGCACCAACACCTCAGTTTAGTGGATATCCACTGCATTATAAGGCTTCTCTATT